GATTCCCCAAGGCTGTTCGCCTATCGAGGGGTTTTCCTGGATGACGAAGTGAAGGATATGGGAATACTAGTATGAGAAGAAGAAGAAGAAACATCATAGAGTCACGGATGAATTGTCCTCCCTGTTGCTTTGCTACCTGCCTCCTCCTTCCTACACCCTTTTTCTTAATTAACCCCATTATCACATTCGCTTCCATGTAATTGGGCTTGTAGCCCGTGTGTATTTGCGAATTCAAATAAAAATATGCTACAAACATAAATCATCGCATGATCATCGATGCTGTAAATTAGTGTGTGTGTGTGTGTGTTTACGAAAAGGAGGTCGTCGGAATGGCATCTGCATTCAACCTGCACCCTGATGGCAGTGATCTCACATTCGTTCACAACAAGACCTCACTTAGACGATGTACCGGTACTGTCTTTGTCCAGGCCAGAGTGTGTTTCACGTAACTACATTGTACATTGTACATTGTACATGTAGTACAAGAGTATGTTGAAAGTGATTTGTCAGGGGAATTCAGTATTGAACTGCTCGTCGGTCCCCATGTACCCGTGGCAATACCAAGTTCGAGTGCACACGACGATTACTAGCACTAGTAGTCGTTTCTGTGTTTCCAGTGGAGGGCCTAGGGTGGTCACTATCCGCAGCATTACAATAGAAATCCGGTGTGTATGCGAGGCCAAATGCCGTTGAGATCTTGTGTTGCCATGTCTCTGTTACAGACACTCATCTTCTTGACTTAGAACCACAACAGCATTGTGTTCATAACTAGAGTCAATTGGCCGGGCATTCCTACCCGATTTACATGATAGCAAGATGGTCGAATCCGAGACCATTTGCTTCGAAAGCGCTATGCAGTACTGGGCACAGGCCACTCCACTGTATACTGGTAAGACGCATCTATAACCGCTGAATTGTGTGGTTTTGTTCTTCACTGAGATGCAATCTTGTAGAGCCACTGAGTGCACGCTTTTCATTGATCGTATCATGATTCATGATCGCTCTGCGACCATACAGGAATCCCAACATTACGTTAGTGTATAAAGTGCATGTACTCTGGCAGTACCGGTCGTAACTTTACATGTACTAGTAGTACGCACAAACACAAAAGATACATACATGTACATGTACTGCATGGTTCGAGGGCACAAGGTCAAGTCCTTCAGAACTGATTTTACTCACCGACAGCAGTAAATAGTTTGGGCCAGGCACCATGCAGGTACCGGTACTAGTGCTGGCACAAAGAAAAGAACGTGTCGTTTGTCAACTAACAACAGGTCTATTCAGCTGCTATTGGCACATGCGAATGCCGCTAGCATACATGAATCCTTTCTCTGATACAGTTGAAGAGAACTCGTCGAACTGCAACAACAATGCAAGAGCCACGACAGTGATCATCACTCATCAGTGTGAGTTCGGACTGGCGTTTTCCAAAACCGATTTTCTTGTGCTATTGTAGTTGTTTACTGCATAATGGAGACTGAAAGACACAGACTGAAGTTAGTAGTGAAGACTAATACTCTGAGTAAAGGCGAAGGAAGACTTGTTTGCACCATTGCCGTGTGAGAAATTGAGAATGGTATGATAAATGTTGTACTTCTACATGTACAACGTAAACGTTACTCGACAACAAGAACAGCAGCAAACAGCTGCAACAGGTGCGAAGGGCTGCTGGGTGACATGTCATACACTAGCACGCCTCCCATACTATAGCTGTTACTACAGTATGAGATACTAGTATGTACTGTGTTGGTATCCAGGACACTAGTGAACATTGTTCTTTTCTGAGCTTCCCATAATTGTGGATGTGTGTGAGGGTCTACACCAAAATAACGTTACTGCATGTAGCATTACAAGTCTGTATTACATGTATACAGTGAAACCTCGTTAGGAAGAACACTGATAAGACAAATGTTTGCCTAAGAAGAACTAGTATTCGTAACTGTATTGGATAAAACCCTGTGTATTCACTGGGTAAAATATATGGATAAGAAGAACTCCCGTTATTGCGAACAAATATCATCGGTCCCTTGATGTTCGTCCTAAAGAGGTTTGACTGTACTCCATATTTCATCCTTGTATTCCTGGTGATGTGTTGGCCTGGAGAGCGTTATAATGAGTGGTGCTCTTCAGGCGCAGTCTTCCTCAGCCTACTCATCAGCTTGACTGATGGTCATGAGGGGGGAATTCCCCGAAACACTGTCTAGTACAGGGAGTGATGCTTTCTTGCAGGTTTGCCGAGTCGAGTCGACGCACTTCCCGTGCTCTCTGGACTGCAGACGCAGTTGCGAGGCAGTTTTTAAACCTGTCCAGTGGGCGGCAAACCGCGAGCTCAAACGTTGCAAGATTCTTGTTGTGAGATAAACACTGGCATGGCCGGGGAAGGGATCCAAACTAAAGGAAACTTCTTGTAACCCAAGAGTATCGGCTCAAGAGTAACGAATAGCTTCCCACGAAATCTCTTCTCTTACATACGTGTATGTCTCAAGTCAGCCATACTACCCAGGTGATTCGTCTGGGTTTGTCCGGAAAGATAGGGAAACTCCCCTCACATTCTCTGGTGATTCGTCTGGGTTTGTCCGGAAGGATAAGGCAACTCCCCTCACATTCCCTAGAGCTCGGCTGTGCTATGCCTGCATGTGTTGTCAACAGCGTAACCGGCATGGAGAGTCAAACAAAAGCTGTTCCGCCAGTCCACACCGACATGTACATGTATTCGGGAGGGAGAATTTCTATTTCTCTGACAGGGACATGCAGGTTTTCTGGGCGTAATCAAGGAAGTTGGTTGGTAGGTAAAACACAGGCAGCGGCACATTAAATGTTGTGACCTCAACTTGTAGGAAAATGTAAATACACAGTACATGTATGCCCTCTCTTGTATAGAACAGGTTGAAGTGTGCAGTGTTGAACAACAATAGAATAGAACATCCGGCTTCTTGTTCTGCTGGTTTACTCTAACTCTAAGATTCTCACTGATGTGCACGCCCAGCGCACACGTACTTCAGGTATAATTATGGATTCTAGCAACATACATGTAGTTTTCTAATGATCAGGCTGAGCTACTGATTATAATTACAAATATTATAATCTTGCCAGAATCAATAAACGTGCGTTGTATGTAGTACATAACTTTGGGGTTATGATCTCTTGCTGCCATGCATGCATAGGTGCTGTGCATAGCTGCCATGCATAGCTGCTGTGCTGGGAAAGAAGATAAGACACTTGTACATTGTACACATGATTATGTACATGATGATGTATTGAACTCACAGGAAAGACCCACCCAGCACTTCACCTGAAGATTGTGGCTTCCCAGGTACATGTACATGTCCTACTACTAGTACTGGCGTGGTGGCTCTGATAGCCCTATCCGCATTATAAACGAAATAGTTATATCTTGGCAAGAGCCCATATTACCCATTGTGACCTTTTGGTGTGCTGATATCGGCAGGAGCCTGCGGACGAGTACAAGCATTTTCTATGTGTTTGTTTATGATAGGGCATTGTGTTTGCTAAGATAGGATAATAGCTATTGCAATGACGTCATGTACAGTATACCTAAGTTACGTATGTTGTGAGCAGTAGAGTCTAGAAGATACCTACATGTACTGTGTATACACACGTTGTCTAGGCTCCTTCCTACACATACTGACATAGTGCTCTATACCCAAGCTAGGATAGAGCTTACCACCAAAATTTTGCCAAAGGAAAACAACAGAGACCAAAAGTCTTTCCGTTACCCTGAGTTTCGTGTTAATTCTAAAAAGCAACCATCGAATGCATTAGTCATTGAAGACTGTGGTATCTGTTGTTTTGCCGTTGTCTGCTACGTATACTTACTCAAAACGGGTTTAATCTGCTACGTATACTGGTGTCTGATGATCGGTTAAAACCGTGAAACTCAGAGTTACAGAAGAAACGCTTTTCGTCCCTCTCAAGTGTGTCTACTGGTACATGTACTTGTAAACATCGTATGAGTCCTTGCCGCTCTCCTCGCTATGCAGTCCTCGTACCATCCCAAATTATGATTAGACACAGCCTGCCTCTAACTAGAATGAACAACTGCATGTCTATAGACTGTGCTTTAAACGAAACTGATGTTTCGGGGGTGCGACACTTCATTCGTCCCCAAATGTCTCCTCATTACAGTGAGGACCCTCCCAAGTGTCTTTCCGTGATCTCACCAGGGGCTGTGAACGCGCCACCGTTCGAGTACTAAAACAGCTGTGTGTGCATATCGTTCTCGACTGGACTCCTAAGTCTTATTTTGTTGGTCTGAAATGCAGCACCCAAACGGGTCGTTGTGATAGATCATAACACTATTAATGTCTGTGTGACGATTACATGTACATGTATATACGATGTGTATTTCCCTATAAGTTTGTAAACAGGTGTGAACAGGCTGCCAGCGCCTGTTTGGCACACACGTCTTCAAATCGGCAATTGACGTGCCCATATCTACAGACCGTCGTCGCCTGACAGTGACACAAACAAGCGATACAGAATACAAGTACATGTAGGTGCAGCTAGATGTACTTGAAGTAGATTTGACATTCTGTGATCGTGTTCTGTCGTCATTTGGATTGGCGCCAGGGTGATAATGACACACACTTTCTCAGCCAATTCTCTGGCTTTTCTGCCGTACTGGTCGGAGATCTATCTGCCATACTATTAGTATTACTTCGTGGCATTCACAAAGTCCCTGCCAAACCATCACCACCGTCTTACTGACAGTCTGTTACCAGTGCTGCCGCTTAGAACACCTTTTACTAACAACCTTATGCGTCTAACATACACACATACTCGTATGCATGTGATGGAGATGATCAACTCCGCACCGCATGACGAACAGTCCGAAAGCCGCTGCCCCTCCTCCTGAATACTGGTTCATGTGCTTTCCGACATACATGGATGTAGGAGTTGATCTGCATTTGCCGCTTCTAGACTCCCTCCCACCCTGACTTTCAACTCCAGAATACCCACACTAAGGCAACGACGACTTCTTTAAACTTTGCTTCCGTGCAGCATTGTACACTGAGGAAGTTCTACAATTATACTTTATCAAAAGCTGAGAACTGAATATAGAGAAGAATTGCTTTGCTTTTGAACAATAAGATGAAGGATAATAGCACGCTATAGAGATAGAGAGCAACAGTTACAACTGACGATGAAAGTCAACTTTAAAATATATCCTAAATTTCCAAGGCATCATGAGATCCAGCTCATGGGTATAGGAAGAAAAATCTGGTAAATTTGAAGAATTAGAATTTGTCGATCGGATCCATTAGAAATGTGTAACCTTAGCTAAGTGCAAGTCGTATCAATTAGTAGCGCTATGCGGAGCATGCATTATCAGTGTATTCCTTAGTCAGCAGTATTGTGTGGAGGTATAAATAGAGCAGAGATTGGATGATGTTGTTGTGATTAGAGTTTGTTTATCGTTCATTTCTCAAGAATTGATCAGGATACGCGAGGTGGAAAGTTTCAACGATTCAAGTTCTGTACAGTAAGATCAGGAGTGTTGTCATGGAGAAGCACATCTGGTGTTGGGAAGCCTGGCACAGATGTAACTGATTCTTCGCGTATTCTGGCTTGCAGCTGGTAGATCGTGTTGCAGCTGGTAGATCGTGTTACGGCTTGAACGCGTCACCTGTAGCTATATCCGTTCTGAGATATGTCTACATAGCAGAAGTCTTCGATAGCATTCGCGCACCGTCTGACCAGGTGAGGTGGAGTCGGGAGAGGCATGGCCTTGAGTCTGCTGGATAATGTCTGCTGTCGCGGTCACACCTCTGTGCAAATCATACTCGATGTTGTTTGCAGGAACACCGGTCGCGCGGCCTGCTGTGCAGACAACCGCTGGAGAAGGCTCTTGGTGGTCGGATTCGTGGCCACGTCTATTGGTGTGCGGCCAAAAGCATCGGGTCTGTGGATATCTCCACCAGCACGTACAACATAGGACACAATGTGATTATGTCCACCAACAGCTGCAGCATGCAGCGGTGTCCAACCGTCATCGTCACTGCAATCAGCACGAGCACCATGTAAAAGCAGAAGTCGAGCGCACTCATCTGCTCCAGCGAAGCAGCACAGATGCAGCGGTGTGATGCCCTGGTGATTGGCCACATTAACCGCTAGCCTGTCATGCACACGGCCGTCCAGTGTGCTCGTGGGCGATTTTGACAGGATTTGTCGGAGCTCTGCAAAGTCACCTTGCTGCACAGATGTCCAAAGTAGTACATTGGGATGGAAGCACACCCTTCGCTTTCTCCGACTGGTACCAGCAGTATGGCTGCTACCACTAGTCGTATGGATGGGACTACCAGTATGGTATCTTCCAGCTCTCCGTACTCCTGGTGCCGGTGGTTCATCCAAGTCATCCATGCTAGACAAACTACTGGAGTATGCACCACTGGATAGCGAAGACAGGGAACTGATGGATGCTGGTGATTCGCAGCGCAGCAAGTTACTGCTACATGTGCTGTTGAGGGTGCTGATGGAGCCAGGAGATGAACTGAACGACGAGGAGTCTTCTGAAATCTGCGGTAGAGACATACACGCGATGCTGTCTCGGTGTCTGGTGGACAATCGGCCACCATCCCCACCGGTGTAATTCAGAGACATGGTTGACTGCATGCCAGCTGCCGGTCGATGTTGCTTGATAGGGACGGGACCCTGATAAACACTGCTAGTGTTGATATTGGCTGGGGAAAGGGTGGGCATTTTGCAGTCTGCACACTCGGATCGATACTGAGTCTTCTGTCACGAATCACGCACAAAATAGTCTCCTGTCCACAGTCAGAAGGCGGTCACTAAGCACTGGCTGAGCCTCTCTGAATCCAAGCACTAAATCCGGGAAGAGAGGACTGAGTGAGGCAATGTCACGGAGCTGAGAAAGAACTAAGAGTTCCCTTACAAGAAGCACTGAGGTGTCTCATCTAAGTGATTGCTTCGCCGTGCTGACGCTTGAAGAAGTGGCGTAATGGCGACAGTAGAGACATTTATAGGCTGCTACCGTCTTGCCTGTGGGCACTGGCAGCGACGAGTGGCGAGAAACTGTCAACCTCTCTACGAAGATCTCATCACACATCAACCGAGATTGCTGTCAATACTGGGTCGGTTTACGGAGCACCGTGCCAACTGCCAACTAACGGGCTTGGCTGTGTACGGGCTTGGCTGTGTACGGGCTTGGCTGCAAAACGTGTAATACAGTGTGAGTGTCCTACTAGAACTAGTAGAAGTACACATGCAGTGAATATTGGCTGCCGCCGGGTCTGGGCTGGGGTTGGCACTGCAAGGGGTAGTGTGTATCACCTCGCATGGGAAACTGTCACCGTGTGGGCCAACCCGATGAGTACCCTGCCGTGACTTCCACACACCATCATGTACGGACGTTAACGCAGAATTGGCTTGCACTACAGCCTACAGCGTACACATCCTGTACATACGTACATGTATATACACAGAGTGGAGACTATACTGGAGGGCATTACCACCACTGGAGACAAGAGACAATAACAACAACCCGACCAATTGACAGGACGATGGGGCCCCGGACTCTTTGCGCTGCTCCCATCCAGTCAGTGCAGCCACTGCATACAGTCTGTAGAGTGGTTTGACAGGTTGACGCCATGCCAGTGCCAGTGAGTATGGGATTAGTGTAAATCACACGCTGCATGAATCCCTGTTACCCGAGGCTACACGCATACTACACGCATACTAGTACACGAGAGCTAGGACTGGTAGGAGGATCATGCCAACGGCCCACTCACACTCTCTCGTAGTGTAGAGTCCACTATGTCTGCACTAGATTGGCACACCTAGTACACACAGTCTGTAGTGGCCAGAGCGGTAAGGACTACACTGTACCTGGATGTGCAGAAACCACAGTGCAGGCTGGAGCTCCGGAGGCAACGCAGCTAAGAGTGGCCCGAACATGTTAATGAATCCACTAGAATCGCCTGTCTCTCAAGAGACTCTCTTACACGGACAGGCTCAGTTCATCAACAAGTTCGTGACAAGCCCAACTTTGGCAGGTGGCTAGACCGCAATTCTGACAAGCAGCAACAGTACACACGTTCTGTCAACGTGTACCAGCAGCACTACACTACTCTACAGCCATGTCTATGGACTATGCCTATGGCTCGGGTAGGTGCATGTACATGTACATAATCATTGTATTGTAGGTCATGGTAGACTGTGTGACAGTGTGAAGCAGCGGGTCATGGCCATGGGGTCCATAATGTACATTGTGCTTCAGTACATGTATTATGGTCATGGCGTCCACATGCATTCTATGCCTACATGTATGTGCCAGTTCGTGTCCGTCACCAGAGATTTAGGCAAATGTATACGTGCATGTACATGTACAATGTAGGTCTATGGCCATTACTGTATGATGAAGCAAGACTGCCACTGTCATCGCCACGTAATATTAATAGGGATGGTGCAGCAACCCGTGGGCGAATGGTACATGTCAAAAGGTTTGACAGACCCTGCACTCGTTGCAGCAATAGGAAAATGGCGGACTCTTGCCCGCCAGTCAGGCAATTCATGCCGTGGATCATGGGCACGTTCCGTGATGGCTCTGCAGGCTCAGCTTGGAGCAAGATAAATCCGAAAAAGGCTGCATCGAAGTTGGCAGTACTCTTCAAATGATCCACAACTTAGTTGTCATGACGTCCACATGAGCTTGGTTCGTGAAGCCATCAAACGGCCATCATTGACTCTGTAACTGTTGTCCGAAATAGGCGTAGATTCTCACGCAAGCCATGTGCCACATTAGCCAGCATGTGTTTGCAATCAGGTCGTAGCCTTGGTGTACATCATGTGTTCGAATAGGATATACATATACGTTGTAGGTGTGATTACATCATGTATTATAATGTGTGTGCGTGTGCGTGCTGTCATGAACACAGCTGGTGCATGTTCATGTACATAATACCGGAACATGTACTCAGCTACTCAGCTACACAGAAGAGAGAGAGAGTGAGAGGAAACTGCTACTTTTAATCAGGTGTAACAGCTTTTAATCAGGCTTGGATAGGCTTGGATATCTCTAGCTTTGATTGACTTGGCTCCCACCCAGCCTAACAGCCTAGATGTGATAATATACAGTCATGTACATGTAGTAGTGTAGGATGAAGATAACAGATGCAATTACGTCCGGTGGGTTGATGAGCTTAGTGTCAGCTTAGTAAAATGACAATTATTATTTACCACTGGGACCTGTCGTATTATCTCTGTGTGAGTGTGCATGAAGTGTCGCAGAAATCGACAGAACACACACTGATATTGATCCTCTGCACGTGCTGGGTGCTAGCTCCCAAGAATAGTGCTGTTCTGCCCGCCCTGCCAGCAGTGCCAGCAGTTCAGCGGTGCTTACTTCTCACACACACGCGGTATATACTGCGAATATCATGCTGCTGGATGATACATGATGACGTATGACAGTTGAGAACAATAGACCCGCAACCATACATTTACAGTGAAGTCAGTTGTCGTCTGGATTTGTGGAGCTAGTGACACACTGACAGTAGTCAACAACTAGATGTGGACTGTCACTGCACACATGTACATGCCCATCCTCACATCCTCACATGCATGTACATGTCCTCACAAACTATAGTCTAGACACTCTCATAGATAGACTGACGAACTGAAGGGTACGAATGGTCCATATTGCTAAAGGCAAACTCATGTACTTCCACGCATGCACTGGTGTGCTGTTCCGAGCTAGTTTTCGTGAATACGAAAGTAAGTAAGTTATCAAATGATCAGATGTGATATCAATGCGTGACCCGTTGTAGCACCTGCCATTTTGGCAATGCGGTCCAATGCTGAATGGTATACACTCGACAAGTACAGCACTGTACTCGACATTATCACATCACAATACACGCAGAATTCATGGGGACAGGGTACGCGTAGATCCACCTTCGCATATACAAGCAATGAACCTACTGTACTACACCATTACTACATGCAGTATGTATGTTACCGGTATATCTGTTTGACAGCTCACACTAAACTAAGTTTGTCTGAAGAAGTTTACCAAGACAAGAAGGGTTGGCAAAGGTTCGTGCACTGAATCAGTTCATAGCCTCGTATGATGTGACTAAGAACAACGAGCCCAGCACAGCTTCTCCCACACATGTTCAAAGTTTCCCATCATACTAGTAGGTACGCCTTGTTTCCGATCAACATGTTCAAAGTTATAAGCATGCGGAGCTGATTAGGTCCAGCTACTATCCACCATTGACAAACACATACAATGTAGCTGCATCGCTAGCAAGGCGCGTGGGGAGGTTAGTAAGAAAGTTAGTTGAAACGCAAGACAGACTACACTTTGCGGTCTGTCTGAATGAGGCTGAATCAGATACTTATCTCAGTGTTCCAAACTCTCTGCAAAAACGTGCAACAACTTCCCAAGTCCATGATTACGTGTACTGATTTCGAATTTAGAATGTCACCATTGCAGCCTGGATGACTGGACAGCAAAGACTGCTCAAGGTATACCAACTTTTTGCAAGTAGCTTCTGCTGTTCCTGTTTGCATTATTTTTTTTATTTTTTCACCTTGTAATATCCCTTCTTCCCTCTCTAATAACAGCCACCTTCCCTTCCTTTCCCCATGAGACTCCCATTGATAGGCATCTATTTGCCTCTTGGAGAATCCTTGAAAATATAATATCAAATAAAAGACTTCCAAATGTCACTTCAGCTCGTCCTACTTATTGCCATATTAAAATAAAAGACTGGTAACGATTATGTAATGACAGACGATGTCATAAATATGTTAGTCACTGTTCGAGTCGCAACTTTCACAATAGTACATGGATGTCGGGAGGGGTGTGGGGGTGTGTGTGGAGGGGGGGGGGGGGTGCGCACAGCTACTGAGACAATGTATACTGAGGCAATACTCTTGGCAGTTCCAAGGGAAAGGGATTGTAATGTTACTGTTTCCAGTACCGGTACGTGACCATGGTGACGGTGTTCATGTACTGACAACAGTTACTGTTAGTGCAGACAAGATGGACGACCTGCGACTAGATAACTGCCTTGCGGGGTGGTAAATGCAGATGAACTGTTACTTTCCAGCACTGTCAGGTATTTGCAGGGCTAGTGCTTAGTATTTGCAGGGCTAGTGCTTGGTATTTGCAGGGCTAGTGCTTAGTATTTGCAGGGCTAGTGCTTGGTATTTGCAGGGCTAGTGCTTGGTATTTGAACCCACTCTACAGTCCACTGTTAGCGTTGCTTTCGTGACGTCATACCGTGGAAAGACATGGTAATTGGTATGCATGTTCCGTTCTATGTTTCTCCTCTCAGACAGACGAACATTCTGAGTCGTTGTTGCCTGGAGGATCACTACAAGGTTATTCAGTAGAGCCGTTTGTTTGCAGCTAGATTGAAGGAGGAAGCTTCATTCCTGCAATTCTGAACATACCGTTCTTATTGAAGTCACCCCAGCCTATACACACACCGTGGAGCATACATGTACTGGTTATCTATTCAATTCACACTGGACTGTGGAGAGTGCTGTGCTAGATCATGCACCAATCGCCATGCATACCAAGCAGAGAGAACTACGCTTGGTCTAGTGGGATTAGTCTGCAATACGTTCAGTTATGCTGCCACTGTACTGCCTTTACCGACTAACACGAGACTCGGAACCAAGTGATGATGTATGAATTGGGGTTGTATCAATCCCAGACACTATGCTGTACTGATTACTCTGATATGGGTCTAGTGTTCCAGCAAATAATTCGACTACAATTAATGGTGGCTGTATGACACCTGCACACAGAGGCTGGACTGTGCATGCATTACAGAGTTACTCTGGGGAAGGCTACCACTACTCGCAGTCCTGCTACATGCTGCTCATTACTCATTACTCACTACTGAATACTAATACTAACGTTAGTGTGAATGTAATGCGAGTAATGCGGAAATCTCGCAAACACTCCCACTCAATAACTCAAACGCATATCTAGATCAGTAGATGGGCGCTCGCCACTCCGCTGGCGTTGCGCTGGAGATATTCAATTCATCAACCAATCACGTGGAAACAGAGCGCCAATCTACCATGCACGATCTACTATTTATTTTGCTCTAGAACCTACGATCGGTCGGCATCTCCCTGCAGTGAATGATCTATTCACCACCCTGCTGCACGCTGCACACTGCATGCATGATGTATGGTGATACGATCAGTGAGGATGCAGTTGGCTAGACGTGTGGCGCTAGGGCATAGGCGGAGTCAATGGAAATGCACACGTCTACTTGAAGTAGGTCTAGCGATGCCGTCTTCTATGGTCTCTACTAAGTATACGGACCAGGCACAGCACGAGTTGATGTACAGCTCAGTGTGGATGTTATTCTCCATACTATGAAGTACGAACTCAGACCTCGTTGGAGCAACCAACTAACTTTATCAAGTACGAGACATACCAAAACATCTCACTTTGTGGGAGAGGCTAGCACTTTCGCCGTGGGGAAGTCGGCATCGCGCGCCCGCTTATCAGCAATTCCCATTCATCAACTTGATCAAGGCAGGACATGAGACCCAGTGGCAGTACACTCAGCGTAGGTCCAGACTGACCAGACTCCCTGGACAGAGTGATTTCGTACACAGGCTTAGAGTTAGAGCTGAGAACAACATCGTGTTCGACCATAAAGAGTAGTAGGAGAGTAGTAGGAGAGTAGTAGGAGAGTAGTGAAGAAATAGCGGTGAAGGACATGACTGTGTACTGTAGGCAGCTGATCAGCCTACAAACTCAACGTACCCGGCTGCTGTAGAGTATAACCTTCACTTTCTACCGGCTGAAGACATAATGCCTTGATGGCAGTGTAGACTCAGACATGTAGTTATCTGACCGGTCCGTGATGGCGTGACTGGCGTCCCACACAGTCCAACTGTCAAGTTGTCATGCACTTGCCTTAGAGCTATTCCATGTTCTGTACTGTAGTGTACCGGCCTACATGTACATGTATGACTGCTAACTTGGCATGCGAATAGGCACATGAGTGTTCTCTGTATAATAATGGTCGTTCATTCCCATAGTTTCCCTGCCCATGGCCAACTCTGCCATGTACCATGAGTCCATGATCGCACTATTCCGGTTAGTCTGATTTGTCAAAATTAATGCACTTACATGCCCATTTACGATAATCATGATATGGGATATTGGTTTTGACTGACGGGTGACTGCCAAGCCTCCAATGTTGCCACTTACCATCTTGGACCGTAAGTGAACTTTGTACTTCACTCTGCCTGTAGTGCTCACTCTGCCTGTAGTGCTGCGGTGTGTGCAGCGTGAGAAGCAGTCGCCCTACGTGGTGCTGCTCCACTGGACCAAGTGATCCTCAGCTCCTAGGCAAGATCAAGGTCATGTTCGACTTCTGGTGTTCGACATGCCCTGTTGTCATGTATGTGTTTCCCAGGCTTTCCACCACTCTAACATGACCAATCTGATTACCGGTACAACCATTGTCAACTAACAATCTTTAGCCTTAGCATTAGCCTATCCACTGCCTGCAGTTCAGCATGTGGCACGAATAGCCGAGGCTACCAGTTGGGGGGATTTCGCGGAGTAGGGATGACAGGAGGAAAGCAATTGATCTGTGGCACTGCAAATGTGATAAGAACGCAATGTACGCTAGCGCTAGCGAGTTGAAAACGTGCAATGATTATGAATTACCCGTACGGCGAGTGGATGAACAATACACTGGCGTTGCCTGTTGGGCGATAAGACACTTGTCGGAACAAACATTGATGCGGCACTGGAGCATGAAAGTAGAAGCACATGATATTGTCGACTAAACAATTACCTTGGACTGGATTTGAAGTCTCACGGATGTGATGTAGCATCATGGATTCATAGCGCTACGGCATTCCGGCACAGCAATACTGCTGATACTGCTTCGGTCCACGATCATAAATAATCATTGGAGAAAAACGTGCAGCCAATTTCCCTGATGTTCCAGTCCGTATCACCATATTTGTGCACGATGTCCTATAGAGGCGAGTGATGTAATGCCAAAATGGTGTCGGGACGCTATCATCCGATCAGATGGTTAACTGTGACTCCACAGCGCACTGTACTGTATGGTGAGTTGGGCAAACATTGCTGCAAAGATTGAATGAGTTGCACTATACTGTCGTATTCTAGTCACCGCCACCGCCAGGGAGTGGGGTATTTTACCAATCTCTTATTCACCGCCACCGCCACCGCCAGGGAGTGGTGTATTTTACCAACCTCTTAGTCACCACAATCCTGATGCAACCTACTTTCTAAATAATTAGAACATTGAATAGTCATTGTTTGTTGTTCTGATGATGGTAATATTGACGACTCATTACTGTTTTCGGCGGTGTGCCTGTTGACCTGAAAACTCTACACACGGTAGTTACGGTCTGGTGCACAGCTGCTCACTGTGTCTAATTACGAATCTGCAAGTCTAGAGAATGCCTAAGGTTTCGGCAAACGTTGCAACTCGATTATAAGCCTAACCGTTTATGTTTCACTGCAGTGGTCTGCATAGTACACTCGACCCTATCATCATGATGGAATCATAATAATGACTTTGTACATGTGCAAGAACAGGTGCAGACATGTCATGTGTATGTGGGTGTGGTTCAGTGGTTAGTACAGTCATGTACTTCGCCTCCAGTGTGTGTGTGTATGTGTGTGTGTGTCTGTGTGCCAGCATGTAGAATATCTCATTCCTATCCAAGACCGGAGGAAGCAGTTTTTGGTTGGTCCGGCCATACTCTAGTCTTTCATACAGTTTGTGTATGATATGTAGCGGGGTAGTCACATGACCTCCTCAATAGTAAACACACGTAACGTTGGTGGACAAAAGAGTTGGTCCGGCTTAGGCCTGACCAAGCGGACTAGTTCCGCCGGGCTTGCTATCAGACACCCCACTTGCGAGGCAAACATCCAATGCCCTACATGTATTCATGGCATACAATCATGTGTAAATACAAATGATGGCAGAATAAAGGTTACACATCGGGGAGGGTAGCAGCCTAGAGGCATAGACCCCTTACAAGGGCGTGTCACCGACGTTGGATAACTCGGAGGCCAGCAGAGTGAACAACCGTCATCATTATTCAGCTCCCTTCCGAATCGAGCAACTTGCTCAGCAATTAACCTAGCTAACGATGTCATCCTCCCTCCGGGCATACGACAGGCATTGCCTGGCTGTATATGAATGGTTCCTACTCTCTCGCCTACTCCTCCCCCCTCTCTCTCTCTCTCTCTCTCTCTCTCTCTCTCTCTCTCTCTCTCTCTCTCTCCCTCCCTCCCTCCCTCCCTCCCTCCCTCTCTCTCTCTCTCTCTCTCTCTCTCTCTCTCTCTCTCTCTCTCTCTCCCTCCCTCCCTCCCTCCCTCCCTCCCTCCCTCCCTCCCTCCCTCCCTCCCTCCCTCCCTCCCTCCCTCCCTCCCTCCCTCCCTCCTCCCTCCCTCCCTCCCTCCCTCCCTCCCTCCCTCCCTCCCTCCCTCCCTCCCTCCCTCTCTCTCTCTCTCTCTCTCTCTCTCTCTCTCTCTCTCTCTCTCTCTCTCTCTCTCTCTCTCTCTCTCTCTCTCTCTCTCTCTCTCTCTCTCTCTCTCTCTCTCTCTCTCTCTCTCTCTCTCTCTCTCTCTCTCTCTCTCTCTCTCTCTCTCTCTCTCTCTCTCTCTCTCTCTCTCTCTCTCTCTCTCTCTCTCTCTCTCTCTCTCTCTCTCTCTCTCTCTCTCTCTCTCTCTCTCTCTCTCTCGCTTGTACGCTTGCCCCTAATCAGACCCTTGAGTACCATAGCATCCTCCTATCTCAGTTACCAGTATCCTGGCAGTATGAGCAGGTCATTGTCTGGAAGTCAGCCCCCCCCCCCCCCCACACACACACACCTCCCCAAACAACACATTTTCCTACGCCACTGAATTATAACCTTTTTTTGTACTCATCCTGGAATCCCTTTTGGCAAGAAGGAGCCCATTCTACTAATCTACTTACCAAACGGTCATTCCTCGTGAACCCACCGCACGGGATGTGTGGAGGATCTTTTTTCCCCACATGCGCACATAACATCCATACCCACACAAGTCATACATACACGTACACATGCAAGCACGGGGCTAACTAACGATGACCTAAGTCCTTGGCATGCATGGTGACCATGGTGACTGAGTCACATGTGCACGGTCCGGTCATGCCGTCACGCACGTGTTCCGTTGGCGCATGGCGAAGGGTGCAGTTGGCACGTGCTTCTGTACATGTGCTAGCTATGCTTGCAGATGTTATCAACAAGTAGGTCGAATGCTGCACACGATGGGCTGAGGTCTCTTTGACTGCTGACCAACTCCAGATGAACTCCAAAGACGTTCAAACCTTTTGTCTTTACGGTTGTTTACTGCCTAGTTCTAGACCAGAGGCTGGTGCAGAGCGAGCAGAGAACATCAACCAACTCGTTAACGATTATCGCTGACTGGCTGTACAGTGCAGGAGGAAGGAAGACACATCCTGCAGTTCAGAGAGAGATCACTGATTATCTTTAGTACTAGTAGTGCTGCTTTTACCAATGTTCGTGAGCGTGAAATCAATGACAATAGCTAGCTAATGTCTGATTCTCTCAAATAGACTGCACCTGTGTGCAATCAGTCAATAGTGGTGTTAGTGTGGCGGGGCGGTAGTGTTCAATGATTCCATCATGTCCTTTGTTGCTGGTGTAGTCGGAGTAGCGTTGCTTGACGGCGTACGCAGTCGCGGTGTTTGTCAACAGTATGGATGACATTCTGCGCGAGCATTTTCAGTTCAACAGAAAGCAGAAAGTACTGATCATGGTCTGCTTCGTAGCGGACATGCTGCTGGCGCAGCAAGTTGGTGTGTTGGTGTTTATTGCTGATAAGCCCACGTGGCACTGCGAATCAATCGCTGCTCCTGTCCTTGCTGGTCATGGCCATGGTAGCAACGTCAAAAGCAGGTACAAGCTGAATCATGATGTAGGAAAGTCTAATGTCTTACCGGACGCTGGGGATAAGTGCCTGCAACTGGCCAGTGGAGCGTGCAAACCTTCGTTCGTGGATATGCGCTCTTTAGCGACAGCAGAGGTGAGAGTTCTAAGATTGTCATGGGCCATGTCTCGAATGTCCTCTGCAAACTGCCTCAAATCACGCTGCCTCAAATGGAGATAAAGGCAGAGAGAATAAATGCAGGGAAACAAGACAGCACACTCTGGACTACTGAGAATGTCACCTGATTTAAAACAGGTACTTTTACAAAAACACACGACAATTGTATTATCACTCTGCGCTGCGTGCGTGTGTGTGTGTGTGTGTGTGTGTGTGTGTGTGTGTGTGTGTGCGCGCGTGTGTGTGTCGGTATGTCTAGGCGTGGAGCCTGTGAGGGGTATTTTAATGTTCAAAACAAATAGCCACACACCATTTGACGGCACAAAGCAGCAGGGCAGCGATGAGACGTATGGAATGGCGGGAGTGGGGTAGAAGCAGGGGCAGCTTTGCCGACCATAGGGTCTCGACTTCATTGCAACCCAGCACTCAACAGAAACAACAGAATACATGCAGTGGTGGTCACGGGACATGAGTCAAAGTAGGCACAATATCAGTGAGTCATGGAGTGAATGGAGGAGAAAACAGGTATGACGTTCACCCCAGCTGTGAAGCCAGAATCCAGTGCTAGTGCAAGGCCGTCCCACTTTTTCGGCCGTTTTTTGTTTTGTTTTTTTGAGCACATTACAACAAAGCACAATGATCGCAGCTTAGCGCAAACATGACAAATCCTTGTCCCCGATCGTGGTTTGTTGCAGAAAAAAAGTCTTTCATTGCAGTTACACTTAAATGGCACCAAATACCCGGAAATGCTTGCAATTGGCTTCAATTTTTGAATTTTTTTCCCGGGGGAGGACCCCGCACCCCCCTTCCATGGCCGCCCCACCTCCAAAGTCGGTGCGACGGGCCTGTAGTGTGCAACGTCCACTACTGCAGTGTTTGTAGCTATACATGTATACATGTTCATTGCAACAAGACTGCTGCTCGAAACGCTTCAAGAATATTTTGACGCCCCCCCCCCCCCCCCCCTCCTAAAAGGTGGACCAGCCACACCACTGGTGTATGTGCACTTATAGCAATGTAACACATACATATACATGTGCAGCTGTGATGCCGAGACCCTTGGTCGGCTGAGCTTCACAGGTCCCACCCACTCCGTCCTGCTGGATATGTACCATTGTGCCGAGTTCTCCTCCTCATGATTTTTAGTTCATTATGCAGTGAGTGTTCAATAGTAAAAAACAAAAAAACAAAAAACATGCTCAATCTGCAGCTACACATATATGTATAGGGATTGTGCCTGTGCACGTGTGGCTTGTGTATGTAAAATACCGCTCAATGAAATCCAGTCGCATCCCTCAAGTAAGCGCCGGGCATTGCGCAGCTCTACACCTGTCAACACTGGGCTGTGAAATGATGCAAGACTCGCAAACTTGAGTGACACGACTGGATTTCATTGAGCAACACTGTGCTTGTATCTGTTCGTCCGTGCATGTGTGTGTGTGTGTGTGTGTGTGTGTGTGTGTGTGTGTGTGTGTGTGTGTGTGTGTGTGTGTGTGTGTGTGTGTGTGTGTGTGTGTGTGTTGTACTATGCAGTTCAGCCTGGTATGCGAGAAAGAAGGAGTCGCTGCGTACGCTCAATCTCTGTACTTCATAGGCATGCTGTTGGGCAGTGCTGTTGGTGGTTGGGCTACCGATCGCTATGGTCGACGTCATGCAATGATATCTGGCGCAGCACTGACAACCGCTGCGTCACTCTGGTCTGGTGTTGCACAGTCCTTCTGGTCACTTGCGCTCTCACGTCTAGTTGCTGGTGAGTACACGCCATTATGCAGGTCACGCGGGGGGATCGGTGCATGTGACCATGTTCCCAGTTACGTATTACACCAAGTGCCCGGCACTGCCTCAACACGACTGACTGGATACGGATAAGACATCAGATCATGCATGAGTGCTGCGCTTGTACACACACACACACACACACACACACACACACACACACACACACACACACACACACACACACACACACCTTGCGCAGGATTCACATGGACTGCGTATCGGGTTCGATTTCGGTGCATGGAGTCTGGAAGGATTTACAAATGCATGTACACTTGATTAGTTGAAATGCACGTAGAGTCCAGTTTTACAATGTGATTTTTAGTAATGTAGTTTAGTGTGAGTGTGAGTATGAGTAGCTTGTACTGGACTCCGTTTCCAAAACTTGTTTGTCACGTGAACGTTGGTATTTGTGTTTGTGTGGCCGTTTGTAGGTTTAGGTGGAATGTGGTGCACAATGGCGTCCATGGTATATGCCAGCGAGATTGTTGCGCCCAGCTACCGAGGCTTTGTCACTAGCCTTATCAGCGTCTCGTTGAGTATCGGTGTGTCGCTAGCGTCACCCGTGGCCTACATCTTTCAAGACAGCTGGAGAGATGTGATGTTAGCAATGACAGCACTAGCGGCGTTCAGTACCTTTCTGCTTTGGATGTAAGTACTCCCATGTTCTTAGACAGTGGTACTGATAACAACAGTATCGCTTTGGAACATGTATTGAACAGCAGGTTTTGAGGTCTGGTCCAGGGCCCTGCCCCAGGAAATGAGTATTGTTGGCTAAGCTCAATTTTATGGTTAAACCTGGCACCCTTTTCCACTAAATATATGGTTTCTGATTTTGAGGGGCAATCCTGAAAAACATATAACTACTTCACACGGACGCACGCACACACGCATACACACACACACACACACACACACACACACACACACACACACACACACACACACATACACACACACCTCAGACCTCAGATCTGCCCATCGCGGAAGTAATGATAGCGAACAGCTATGTTAGTCATAGCAACTTGTGCTGGGATTACACCATTCAACAGCTTGCAAGGCTGATGAATTGACCGCCACTAATTTTAGCCTGATGTCCACCACACAGCTGATTGCACACACACACGCACACACATAAACACACCTTGCACACACACACACACGCCGGAGGCGAAGGTCTGTTGAGTTGTATATTGCTCTGCACGTTGTGTGTGTTGGGCACTGTATTGGAGCTTCCTCGACCGGCCTTTGTTATATTTTACTTCAAGTATTTGATTTGAGTCCTCTAGTTCATCATGATTTCGTGTTTATGTCAGTACAAGTACAGTAAAACCTACCCTAGCGCCCTTGGTGCAGCGGAAACTATCCTGATATAGCAGGATTCCGCTTGATCCAGGGATACAAGCCAGTTTGATGCACAGCGCTTTGGTGTGTGAAAACTTGTCCGGTCAATACATGATTTCGCTGTGTGGTATATGATCCGGAAAATACAGGTTTTACTGTACTTTCGGTTCCACTCACGGTACAGATCATGCAGTGTAGTCTGGCAGTACTAGTAGCTAGCGTATTCTTGTGGTCATAACTCATTATTATTGGTTTGTATCACTCCTGCAGGTTTTTATGTGAATCTCCCCGCTGGTGCTTTACTCATGGTCGTCATGACGATCTGGAAGATCTCCTCATCAACTGGGCATCGAGTGGTTCACAGAAGCAGCAGGCCCTAGCAATGTTACAGACTGCCATCAAAGCATCACACGAAGAGTTGAGCCCTGCTATAGGCAGCAGCAGCAAGGAATCAACCATCACGCTGTCGGCACTCTTTACCGGGCGATTTCGAAAGAAGCTCTTCCCTCTCCTGTGGACATGGTGAGCAAGTGTTGTGGTGTGTTGCGGCAGTGCGTTATATGTAGAGGGTTTTTTGCTAGGTTAGAAGATTGAGTGTGAGCGGTGTGCATTTGTAAGTGTTTATCTCTGTATCACTTGAGACTGGGTGGTTCACCTATCCATAACGGCCTAGATTTTAAAATGAAACTGCAGGGTACGTCCAACCAACTGGTGCAGTATTTCCAGACTAGAGTAGGTGGTAAATCTTCCCCAGGCCACAATGAAACTGTACATGTATATGGCCCAGATAACCTGACTGAGGGTGTTGTTCACTTTCAAATTTGGATTTCACGGAGAATTTCAAAGTATTAGGAAATTACGAGGCATGTGGCCTATAATTTCCTAATTCTTCACTGCAGACTGAATATTTTCCACCGTCATAGATACATGTACATCACATTGCATTTTGCTGTGTACATGCCAGTGCACACGCATCCTGATCAACATGGCAATATGCGCATGCACAGCAGCAGAGGGCTGCAGGTGTGCGCATGCGCGTAGCTGCACTGTACTGCCATCATGGATAGCATCTACTCTATACTCTGTACACTGTTCACTGTTCACTATACACTATACACTATACACTGTACACTGCACTGCAGTGAGTTATACCCTGCACTGTCACGGTACTGCCATCACATGCGCCTGTTGACTTGACAACTCCCCCACTCGCTGACCACGCGACCTGATTTTCTCAGCCACTGTAATAGCCGTGGTTGGCTATAAAAACCCTGCAATCGCCACGCAAAGTGGTCATTGGCTACCCCAGTCATGTATTAAAAAAATAAATAAAAAAAGTAAATTATCGTGTCCGTTCCCGAAGGGAACTCACGATGGCCGCTAACACCCGGTAAACCCTAGCGGCAGATGCAGCGCCTAACGGTGGGGGTGAGTGGATAAGTCTCACAACCACTGGCACAAGTGCCGAGAACGACCCCATTAGCTGCATCCATGTACCCCTTGTGCCTGGCCACAAGTTCCCAGTTGACTGTGTGTAGCAGCACGGCTGGAAAAACCGCTCCCAGGCAGGACTTGAACCAGGTACCTCTCGTATCTCAATCATGGTCTTTGACCATCCCACTGTGCCTGCCTGCCTAGCCATGTATTGCTTGGTGTTAGGTACCTCCTCCCGTACCTTTTCTAGCTGGCCTGCATGCACTTACGTACTCACCTTTTGTCTCCTTTTGTTCCGTTGGCCTGGGTAGCTACTTGCGCGCCCATATTTGCCATAGCTACCCAGGCCCTTTATCTTGCCGTTCAGACTTGATCTCGTCTCTATCAACCTTGTCTCTCTCTTTTCTCACTCGTCAATAATCACCATGTAGTTGTTTCGTTCGTCTTGGTCTCTTGTCTCGTCGTCTATAATAAATGTCGTTCCCACTAACTTGTTCCCGTTGTCAGTCGTCCTGTTTCGAACTCAACATTGGCGCCCGATTATTGATCGACCCACGACCCTGAGATCATCCCATGCCCAGCCGTCCTCAACCACCATTCGTCTCGTCTATGTCAACCTCGTCTCGTCCATGTCAGTCTCGTCTCTCCTACGCCAACCTCGTCTCGTAATTATCAACCTCGTCTCTCCTACGCCAACCTTACCTCGTCTATTCTCGTTCAAGCCATGCAGGTCAGCTACCTTTCTCTCTTTCTTTTTTTTGTATGCTTCTTCGTCAAATTTATTTTCGTGAATTTTTTTGTAGTGTGTGCGCGCGCGTGTGTTCGTAAAACATAACCAAGTTAGGGGTCCGATCATGGTGAGCCACGCTCTAATTTTTGGATGTTTAGCAAAAGTGTAACTAGGCTGTATTAGCCGTGCAAAATACTAGTAATTCACGTTCCTCGTCAAACTCCAATAGTTATTACACACTATAAGTAGTACAGGAATGATCTGTAGTGCATTTAGTAAACACTTTCGTGAGATCCGTGCGCGCGTGCAGTATGTGTGTGTGTGTGTGTGTGTGTGTTTTCTCCTCCAGTTGATTTTTTTAAATCTTTTTCTCTCTTTTTTTTCTCTCCGCGAGGACGCGGGATTTTTTTTCATGGAGGGGTTGTATGTTAGGTACCTCCTCCCGTACCTTTTCTAGCTGGCCTTCATGCACTTACGTACTCACCTTTTGTCTCCTTTTGTTCCGTTGGCCTGGGTAGCTACTTGCGCGCCCATATTTGCCATAGCTACCCAGGCCCTTTATCTTGCCGTTCAGACTTGATCTCTCTCTCTCTCTCTTTTTCCTCACTCTTCAATGTAGTCGTTTCGTTCGTCTTGGTCTCTTGTCTCGTCGTCTACTAGTATAATAAATGTCGTTCCCACTAACTTGTTCCCGTTGTAATGTCTGGATCCGTTGTCAGTCGTCCTGTTTCGAACTCAACATATAATAAATGTCGTTCCCACTAACTTGTTCCCGTTGTAATGTCTGGATCCGTTGTCAGTCGTCCTGTTTCGAACTCAACATTGGAATAAAACAAAAACTAATACTGGCGTGCATGCTCTCACTTCTCAGTCTAGCTTTATCAAGTAATTTCGCTTCTGTTTTTGTTTCCACTCAGGGCTTCTGTATGTTTAGTGGCTTACAGTCTGTCGTTGAAAATCGATGGTTTGGGCGACAAGTACATCAGCTTCTTCTTGCTGGCAGTTGCTGGAGTACCGTCCAACTTTGGCATCATTCGGTGTTTACACTACATTGGACGTAAAGCCTGCTTAATGTGGCTTCTGGCGCTTGTAGCATTCTTCACCGGCCTCTGTGTCTTGAACAAACTGGAATGGTTCACAACACGTAAGTACTTGCCAAGCAGGTCCGGTGCGGTCTGATCTACACGTAGAACCGGCACTTGTTATGTTGGAAGATGCTATGTACAGGCTCGGAAGTGAAGTCAATTTCATACACTTGCTGCACCGCCGCGCACCATCCAGGATTGTGTCAGTGCTTCACAGCAACACACCCGATCCAGGGCCATGCCAGTGCTTCACCCGATCATATTGCTAGCAATCACAATTGATAAGCCAAGTTGCTGCCAGTATGTCAGCGTATCTGAAAGATCACTTGAATATCAGTGTGTCGCTAGCATTACCCGTGGCCTACATATTTCAAGATAGTTGGAGAGATGTGATGTTCCAGCCACCAACAAACCTTTTTTTTAATTGTCTTTCCCTACCCATCGTTTCTGCTGTCTATTGTTTTCAGACTTATCACACACACTGGGAAGTGCACAAGCAACTGCCAGTGGTGGAAGTGGCAGCTATATCAACTGGTTGCTGGTCTTCTCTGTGCTTGCACGCTTTTCAATCTCCTCTGCATACTCTGTTCTCTACACCTACACACCGGAACTGTTTCCAACGGCTGTACGGTAAGTACACGACCCCCCCCCCCCCTCTCTCATCCCTCTCTGTCTCTGTCTCTGTCTCTGTCTCTCTCTCTCTCTCTCTCTCTCTCTCTCTCTCTCTCTCTCTCTCTCTCTCTCTCTCTCTCTCTCTCTCTCTCTCTCTCTCTCTCTCTTCTCTCTCTCTCTCTGTCTCTCTCTCTCTGTCTCTCTCTGTCTCTCTCTGTCTCTCTCTCTCTCTCTCCTCTGTCTCTCTCTCTTTCTCCGCCTGCCTTAGTACATGTTTGTGTGTCATTTGCAAGTGGTGTGTGCCGCATATCTTTATATCTACTTCCGAGTCAGTGCAATTGTACTCTTTGTTATATGATGCAACCTTGCTTAGTGTGACTTGGTCGTTCAAAGGTGATGAATGTATGCCACATCACTGTTTCTGAAATACTGTGTATTTTCTCTCGGTGTACATACCACTGTTTCTTCAATTTATGTTCTGTATGTTCTCTCTCGGTGTGCAGAAGTAAAGGACTTGGTGCATGCACACTGGTGTCTCGCTTTGGTGCCATCGCCTCTCCATTCTTCCTGGGATTGGTAAGCCAATTCTAGCACATAAACAAAAAGACCTGTTGCAACATGGAAATGATTTTGAAGACTCCACTGTAGCTGTATTGCTGTATACATGCATCAACTTGACAATTGCTCACATTGACATGTACATCCTGAAGTAGTCTCTTGCTACACTTTAGTGATGAGTCCAGTGTTTCATGAAATTCCAGCCTTTCGGTGTAAGGTACATATACGTTTGGATTTGCCTGACACATTTCTGCTGTCCCTGGCCGGTATACTTATGTTGCATTGGCTACGTGTATGCACGCCATTGAGTAGGTATCTGTCACTATTGCGGAGTAGATATCTGTCACTATTGAGCATATATTTGTCACTTGTATTGAGTAGGTATCTGTCACTATTGCGGAGTAGATATCTGTCACTATTGAGTAAGGAGGAAAACTTCCTTCTGCCAGCGGAGAGGGCTCGACACAATAATGTGGAGCACTATCACTATTGAGTATACATTTGTCACTTGTATTGAGTAGATATCTGTCACTATTGTGCCATGACTGCTTACAGAGTGCTATTCATCCGGCATGGCCATATGTGGTCTTCTTCATCAGCTCTATCACGGCATGTATGTGCATGCATCGAATGCCGGAGACAAGAGACCGAGACCTGCCGGAATCCCTTCAAGATGTCTACCAGCTGATAGCCGACTCGTGACTGGTTACCATAGGGACAGTGTATGTTTTAATTGCTTCGATTATCAAGTGGTTGAATCACACATTAGTGTTATTGATACACATGTATTATCCTCCTCGTTTCCAGCCGTGAATCCCGGTATTACATTGAGAATTTGCTTGAGAGGAAATGATTTAGTTCTCTCCAGAGAAAACTTGATTCCGCAAAAATAATTTATTTTAGGAAAACTCACGCATGCATGTACATGTAGGTTCATGCTTGAATGTAGATCACTAGGTACTCCGTTTTATTTGGTAGCAGGTTTTATTTCTGACGAAATGAGTGGTAGGGTTTGAGAGTGCCGATTCCAAATTTTAGATGGTCTAGTCCACCCACCTAGAAGGCAGTTGTCTCAGACATTTAGGCTAGATAGACTGAACCCGGCATTTCAAAGAAGTAGTAAGTCATTTACAGTTGTTAAAACGGTGTTTGAAGTTTTCTACTGATTCAGAGTATTTCAGACTTACCTTGGCCAAAGCTGTTTGCTACTGACTAGCAATTCTCTCCAATTGAACTTATCTTCTATAGCCATTTTCAACTTTAGATTTTCAACTTTCGATTTGGTCAGTGAGATGAAGTCACAACTTACTTGAGTTGAAATTTCACCCAGCTCTTACTGTATTCTATTAGGTCAGCCGGTTGTCAATTTGTCACACTGGAAATCATGGCCACTGGCTTTAGAATAAACAGTTCTTGCTTCTCATTATGTGGACTATGGAGTAACAGTATCTCTCGGGCCTGAATCAACGATACTGCCCTGACATCCATGTCTGATTCTATACATAAAGTCCTGCCAGAACTCTAGGATTGTCTACTTCATGCCCTGCCTGTGAGCGCTCTGATTGGCTCAAACCGTGGCAACGATCACGTGGCAAGTGTGAATATGTTTCATGTTCCAGTAGATCTACTCTATTACTAGTACTATTAAGTATTAGCAAGAGTACATGTTATCTCCTCTTGGTATTAAAGTGCAGGCCTTGAGACAGTTGATTTGAACCAGGTCCAGGGAGTTGCAGGCCCGTCGCACCGACTTTGGAGGTGGGGCGGCCATGGAAGGGGGGGGGGGGGTCCGGGGGCCCTCCCCGGGAACAAATTTCAAAAATTGAAGCCAATTGCAAGCATTTCCGGGTATTTGGTGCCATTTCAGTGCACGGTAACTACAATGAAAGTCTTTTTGATTCTGCAACAAACGAAGAAGACGTTACGATCGGGGACAAACATTACCCTCCCCCGGGAAAAAGATTCAAAAATTGAAGCCAATTGCAAGCATTTCCAGGCATTTGGTGCCATTTCAGTGTAACTGCAATGAAAGACTTTTTTCTGCAACAAACCACGATCGGGGACAAGGATTTGTCACGTTTGCGCTAAGCTGCGCAAGCTGCGATCATTGTACTTTTGTTGTAATGATTATGTGCTCCAAAAAAAAAAAAAAAAAAAAAAAAAAAAAAAAACCGGCCGAAAAAGTGGGGCGGCTGAGGCCGCCCCCCGGCCCCGGCTGTGACCAGTGACGGCCTGGAGTCGTATAAACCTGATAATATATGACTCCATGCCTTGCACCAAGAAAGGCACCGGTGCTACCGGCGGTAGCTTGTTTGCGCTGCTTTGCTTGATTTGATCAAGGACAAGGTCGCTCTACCATAGTCCATAGACCATACCAATCAACGACGTGCAAAGCGCACGCGAGTAAACCATGGTTCATCGTAAACAATGCTTGTTTTGTGACAAACACATTGTGTTTGTTTCAAGCGCCGCTTCTCCGCACTCGAACTCGTACGTACAATACAAAGTCATGTCATGACTTTGTAGTCGTAGATCTGTGACTGTGTGTGGTACATGGTGTGATCGATCGTGTCGATCAACCCTCTTTCTACTGATTTCTGGCCTTTGCCGCACGTGTGTAGAGAAAAAAATAAGTAGAATGGACGAGTTTCTTCGTGATTACTGTCCCTTCTCAGTCCATCAGAAACGTGCGGTGTTTGGTGCTGGGCTGGTAGCTTTTCTCAACGCTTTTCCAACTGTAGTTCTTGTGTTCATTGGTACCAACCCCGCCTGGCATTGTCGTGAGGATGATCGCACTAGCGAGCTAGGAACAGTGACTGACGCTGAATACTTGCACGTTAGTCGCAGCACGTCGTTGCACGCTATAGCCAGTATAGCACGCACTAAGCGATCAGACTGCGAACGGCTTGCGTTGGGCGAGTGCTCAGTGACGTATGAAGAACCCTGGGCTACTGCAAGTGCCGAGGTAAGACTGTCCGTCACCATGGCTACTACATACTGATGATAGTTATAGTATTAGCTGGCCAACGGGCATGGATAACCTCCCATTCATCTGTAATCTATCTCCCGTAATTTGCTCGGACAAATCTCTCAAACAATTCCATTGGGTGACTAATTGTTTTAACCAACAGAGCAGTAAAGCCAATTGCTCAGAAAAACTTCGCAAAGGCCCCGGGGAAACAAAAGAAAAACCGGGACACGGTGCAAGTAATCAACAACATACAATATATACATTATTCAGTCAGCCACAATGGATGCCTCCGCAGCGACTACGGCTGTAGACGACACGACAGGGGCATGGGCAGAAAAAACATGGATCAGGTACCACCCACACACACATTACACTGGCCCGTATTAGCGCTACGCTGAGACGACACCGGATGAACGGCATGGTGAGGGAGTAGGACTCACCGGTCTTCTCTGCTAGCAACGCGGCAATTCTCTTGTATAGAGCTGATGCACACTGTGACTTGCTCATACCACCGGTGGTATAGAACACGGCCGGGACAAACGAGGCGTGCTCCACATCACACAAGCGCTGTTTGTAAGCCCGCTTCTTTGCTCTACCATTACGGACGTAGGCGACGGAGATGGAGGAAAGATTTGAGGGCGCAAATGGGTTGAAGCCCCTTACATCTATACACGTGCGTTCAAATCGTCCTCCCCACATCCCGTTAGCGGCCACGTCCAATCTGGTTGCGGCATCGTGAATAGCTGTGAGATTATAGAGCTGGTCAGCCGACAGAGGTTCAGAGTGCGGCTCAACAGAGGCTCAGAGTGCGGCTCAACAGAGACACTGTTAGCCACTCTCTTCTAGAAGCCAGCTGTCACGTCCCCAATTTCCATGGGTTGGATGCTGGGATACCCACCAGTCGGGCAGCTCAAGGCATGGGCGATGGTGAACTGGCTCCCACAAGAGCAGGTAGACGGCATGTGTGCTAATCTCTAGTTGTAACGGGGATGCAAACCATCCCGAAACTCTGCCTTCGCCGAGAAGGGCGCCTCAGTTTGGTTGACCTGCCGATGCGTGCGTGTGTGTGTGTAAGTGGATATGTGTATGTGTGTGTATGTGTATGTGTGTGTATGTGTGTGTGTGTGTGTGTTATTGATGACTGACCCATACTAGTTGAGCACCCACAGTGACCCACAGTGACCCACAGTGACCTGGGGACCTACATGTGCTTTTAAATGCCGGAATTTAGCAATCGCTAGTTCATGCACAACACGGTCTGCTGTGCTGATACAGCTGGTGTGCGTGTGTTCTATTGGTTGTTTGCAGTTTGGATTGATCTGTGAGCATGAAGCTGCTTCAAGCTATGCTCAGTCCTTCTACTTCTTCGGCATGCTATTGGGTAGCTGGCTGTCTGGATGGTGTTCGGATATGTATGGCCGCCGACGGGCTCTTCTACTGGGATTGTTTGTGGCTACACTGGCGTCACTATGGACAACGATTACGTCATCATTTGCAACATTTGCCCTTTCAAGGTTTGCAGCGGGTGAGTGCGGTCACATGACCTCAGTTGCACATCTTTTAAGCTTTGTGTGGTTCTTTTTTAAGCCAGTAAAGTAAAGACCGCCCGCGACTGTACAAAGTTGGCAGACGCCAGCACGAACGGTGTACCAATTCAAGAACGTATCGCTTCTATGAGTGGGCGGAACAAATGAAGATGACGTCGCAGTAATCTGGGAGCACCCCCCCCCCCCCCCCCTCTCATACCAGATCCTGTGCACGCCCCTGTATCACTATCATTCTAATATTAGCTCAATGCCATGCTATATACATGCACCTTGAAGTACTGGACGAGTAGATCAATAATACAATCTCTTGGCCACCGTCCAGATAATGTTCTTCAGTGGGAGACAGGCTACTCTCGTCACAGGTCACAGGTCACAGGTATCCGTGCATGTACTTCAGTTAGTCTTGCCCTGGTTTGTAAGTAAGAGCCGGCTACAACCTGCAGCATACTGAACACGGAGGGGGTGGGGGATACCTCAACCTGTTCAAACGGTATACTGTGCACGCTGTATATGATGGTGTCAGATTTAGGTTCTATTTTACAAGAAGCTATTGACCTTCTCCTACCCAGCAATGTGATCATTGAGTGTATGCCTGATTTCTGTGTGTGTATGTGTGTGTGTGTGTGTGTGTGTGTGTGTGTGTGTGCGTGCGTGTGTGTGCACGTGTGTGCGTGTGTGTGCACGTGTGTATTGCTGCAGGTGTTGGTGTTATGTGCGCTGGTGTAGTTAACAATATAGTGGCTAGTGAAGCTGTAGCGCCCTCATACCGATCCCTTACGACTTCGCTAATGCACCTGGGATTCTGCCTCGGTATGACTGTCACACCAGCATTGGCGTATGCCTGGTCAGACAATTGGCGTGTGCTGATGAGAAACATCACACTAATCACCATGGCGTCCTCTGCTCTGGTCTATGTGTAAGTCCTAAGTCACATGACTGCTGATGCAGTGGATGTGCTATCACATGACGAGTGATGTCATCGCATGCCCAATGTGATCATCGTGCATAGTAGTAGATTTTTATTATTTTACTATGGGAGTCCCAACAGGCGTTGCCTTTTTACTGGGAACCCTAGGTGCATTTTACCATGTTTACATACAGAGTAAGAGACGGGGCCTAACGGCAGTCAGTGGGAAGAGCATTCCACCTGTCTGCCGCCAGGAAAGAAGTAGAACGCATGCCATATTGCGTAGAAACAGGCGGAAGAACTAATGCACGCTGTGCCTGGCCGCGCGTGCGAGCCTGGTGTCCAGGCAAAGCAGCCCTAAGCTGGAACAAGGATTGGAGAAGGGGACTAGCAAGATGTGGGGTCAAGCAGCGGTACACGAAAACGTAGAGTTTAAGATTTATGCGCTGTTCAAAAGAATAGAGATGATATTTGCGGAGAACAATTTCAGTAGACATCATACGGTCAAACCCAAAAACCTTTTTCATTGCTATGTGACTGACCGCCACGATCTTATTGAACAGGGTGGCGCTGAGACAGTGCAGATAAGCGTTACTGGCATAGTCGAGAGTCGATTGCACAATGGATAAATAGAACGTCCTCTTCGCTTCAGGTGTTAGGTGCATAGTGTTATATCTCCAGTGACACCATGATCACATGACCAGGTGATCACATGACCAGATGATCACATGACCAGGTGATCACATGACCAGGTGATCACATGACCATCGTTAGTATACAGGTTACACACACCGTCACACACATACGCACGCACGCACACACTTTTCCGGCCTTGGTCATGCCGCTGTTAGCTTGTTTTTATGGATGCGTCGCCATTGGCACTGTTCCGCTGAGGACAAATACTTACTTTTACTCTGGAATATGTCTGCAGCCTATTGCAGAGCAGCAACGCCGGATTAAATCGGTTGCCGTGGTGTTGTATGTTGCCATGGTGTTGTATGTTGCCATGGTGTTGCATGTTGCCATGGTGTTGCATGTTGCCACTGTGTTGATTGGTGCAGGTGGGTATGTGAGACACCATTCTGGCTGCAGGTGCACAAGAAGCAATCAGAACTGCGCATTCTCCTGACCCGCTGGGTAGCAAGCAGTGGAAACACTGTGCCAGAAAGAGTGCTTAACAATGTTATCACCGGCCGCAGTGCAACAACCCTATCACGATCTAGAACTGAGATTGGAGTGGAGAGTGAGACTGGTCGGCATGACGCTCAGTATGCTGGTGATGCGGAGACTGTGCAGCTCGCAAGTCGCACAGGACAGTCGTTAGCGCAGCTCAAAGCCCTGCTGTCACCAGGTCTGAGATTCTATTCTCTTAGTATGCTGTGGGTCTGGTGAGTGCATGGAGGTTACAGTGGCTAAGCACTGCACATGCACACATGCTGCTCAGTTCTGCAACTCATACCACCCGGTACAGCATGTCATATTTAGGGTCTGTTTTCTTTGGTCATTACGACGTAGAACCATTTTGATCAGATCAGAAATACAGTTCTTAGAGTTCACAGCCGCGTTGGCTTTGTACCTGCAAAACACATAGTATGGTGATTATCACCGTGAGCTAAGGGGCCGTCCGGGGTTACCGATTGTTTTTACAAAACGAAAAGTTTTAGTATTTTTCAGCCCCCACCCACCCACCCACCTTTTCTGCAGGTAAAACGAATTCCAATAAAATATTGATGTCAATTTTCGACATCCAGAAGTAACTGGGCATTCTCAATCAGCATTCAATAATTATTTTCAAAACGAAACTCCATCAAACCCACCCACCCACAAACGAAAACATTTCGTTTTGAAAATATTATTGGTAACCTTGGACGGCCCCTAATGCCATAAGTGAGGGTCCCTGGTTCAAGTCCTGGTGGTGACAGTCAATTTTTTCTTCAGACTTTCCCCGTTTGCATCTTCCTCAAACTAATGAATATTGTATTAGCACTTCCCTTTCCCTTCTTCCTCATTTCTTGTTTCTTGTTTCTTGTTGACAGGTTCAGTATTTGTGTAATGTACTATGGACTCATCATGCACTTGGACGGAGTTGGTAGCAATAAATACATCAGCTTCTTTCTGCTGGCCGCCGTGGAGATCCCCTCATCGGCAGCTGTCATTGTTGCTCTACGACATGTTGGACGTAAATCCTGTATCTTCTGGTGCCTGGTGATGACGACCGTGTTCTGTGCTTGTTCCGCATTCATTGCGCTGCTCAGCACCTGGACAGATTGTAAGTACAGTCATGTACAGTGTAGTGTGTTGTGTGTAGTCCTCCATGTCCATGAGCCCTGTCCCTGCCCTGGTGGCACGTTCAGTACGCTAGCGGCTAGTGGGTTCCTATTTGTTTGCTTGCCGTGTGGATCGATTAGCGATTGTCAGTTACCGTTCCACAGCTCAGTGTTTGCGTCGTCTGATCATGCAGGTATTAGTGCTTGCTGCAGAAACGGTGCCACAGTTGACATTGCTATTGCCATTGATGTTACCATGGTTACCGGCTCAGCTAACATCTACTGCTGCTGCTGCTGCTGCTGGTGGTGGTGGTGTTGCTGCCACCGCTGCTGTTACTTCAACCACTACTGCCTGCTCGTATTGCTGCTACCGCTCCCACGGCCTTGCCATCTTCTGTTATCCGACTTGGCAAACTCGATGCAGCCTGGCAGTTGGCTTTGCAGCCATACAGTCCACACGCCCTGTTCCCTTTGTCTGATTGTATCCAGGCATGTACTATGCATGTAACTGCCAGCTGCCCGGTGTTGTCCTGTACTGTGAAACCGAAAAGTTTAACGACCAAAACATTTAATAATAGCTATGAAAAGTATGGATGCCGCAGACATCACCACACAACATGACAATTTGTTCAAGGTTTGAGAATGTGTGTTACCAGAATCGATTTTCAAAATTGGATTTTTAACCTTTGTTTTTCCCTTGATCACTTTACTTCCGTATTTTCACTGATGATCGGAGCTTGAAAATCGATTCTGGAAACACACATTCTCAAACCTTGAACAAATTGTCATGTTGCGTGGTGATGTCTGCGGCATTCAAACGATTCATAGCTATTATTAAACTTTTATCTCCACGTAGATTATGTGTATATGACCAAAACAACGTTTTTTTTGTATTTTTGGCATGATAACGTGCAGACAGTTTAACGATGGCTACCTGGCCACCCATGTGTATGCGCATCTTTAAAAAGACATTTCAAAGCAGGTTTACGATAACGTTTCTACAAACAACGGAAAAAGTGGTTGTTAAAACGTTAGACTTTGTGACTCATTAGACTTTCCGGTTTTACAGTATCAGGTTGGGCCAAGTCCTTGAATGGCCCTGTGCCTTAATGATGTGTAACATTTCCTTCAGGCTGGTGTCATTCATTTACAACACCACTGTGTTTTCATGTGTCTGTTTGTTTTTGGTACTTTTGCTGCTACCCGTTTAGCTGAAGGTACATTGCCTGCTTTCAAACAGATCAACTGGCAACAGTCCGTTTCAAATTGGCAGTTGACTGTGTCGATTTGTGGCAAGTTTGCGGCATCAGCAGCATTTTCTGTCCTGTATACGTACGTCCCGGAGTTGTTACCGACCCCGATACGGTAAGGCAGCTGGTCTGACGTATGACTTGACCGAGGTTGTAACATGCCCAATACTCTCTATGTGCTTCTCTGTATGGCGCATAGTGTATATCATGCAGCGGGCCGGCGCGGTGTGTCTTTCATTACGGTGTAGAAGTAGTAGTAGTATTCTTTTATTTTCCATCGGAAGCCTCAACGGTGATGAACACAACTTTTAAAGGGGAAGTTAAGGCTAAAATCAAATTTTCACGGTTGTAGTCTTCGGGGTGCTGAGTCGAATGGTCTTGGTCCGAGGAAGCTGAGACGCTCCATTCCTTCTTTATTCCCAATCGAACTCGCGCACTTCCACCGAAACTGGGTGACTGCGCCCTACTAGATGGGGATTTGTATGCAAAATGTCACTAAAAGCGCCATTTCGTTCTTATAAAAGCACGGATGACCGCGATTGGCCCATATGTTGTAGTCTTTTGGACGCTGAGTCGACTGGTTTTGGTCCGAGAATGCTGCAATGCAGCGTTCCTCCATTATTCCCAATCGAACATGGTTGAAAAAGCGGTCACGTGCTCTTGCAGTACACCAGCCACCTGGTCACCGTGCCTAGCGGCCCTAGCCTAGCGCCTGCAGGGTACAACTTACAGCCTGTTTGACCTTTTTTGGGTGCACTCCTGTCACTTGAGTTGAACTCGAGTTGAACCTTGGTGTGAAAGTTCTCGCCTGCTGGCGCGGTGACCAGGTGACTTTGGCACGCAGGAACACGTGACCGCCTGTTCAACCATGTTCGATTGGGAATAAAGGAGGAATGCTGCATCGCAGCATTCTTGCACCAAAACCAGTCGACTCAGCGTCCAAAAGACTACAACATATGGGCCAATTGCGGTCATCCATGCTTTTATAAGAACGAAATGGCGCTTTTAGTGACATTTTGCATACAAATACCCATCTAATAGGGCGCAGTCACCCAGTTTCGGTGGAAGTGCGCGAGTTCGATTGGGAATAAAGGAGGAATGGAGAGTCTCAGCTTCCTCGGACCAAGACCATTCGACTCAGCACCTCGAAGACTACAACTGGTGAAAATTTGATCTTAGCCTGAACTTCCCCTTTAAAGGGGAAGTTAAGGCAAAAATTAAAATTTCACCAGTTGTAGTCTTCGGGGTGCTGAGTCAAATGGTCGTGGTCCGAGGAAGCTGAGACGCTCCCTTCCTACTTGAATCCCAATCGAACTCGCGCACTTCCACCGAAACTGGGTGACTGCGCCCTACTAGATGGGGATTTGTATGCAAAATGTCACTAAAAGCGCCATTTCGTTCTTATAATAGCACGGATGACCGCGATTGGCCCATATGTTGTAGTCTTTTGGACGCTGAGTCGATTGGTTTTGGTCCGAAAAGGCTGCGATGCAGCGTTCCTCCTTTATTCCCAATCGAACATGGTTGAACAAGCGGTCACGTGCTCCTGCGTACGCCAGTCACCTGGTCACCGTGCATGCAGGGTACAACTTACTAGCCTGTTTGACCTTTTTTGGGTGCAATCCTGTCACTCGAGTTGAACTCGAGTTGAACCTTGGTGTGAAAGCTCTCGCCTGCTGGCGTGGTGACCAGGTGATTTGGGCACCCAGGAGCACGTGACCGCTTCTTCAACCATGTTCGATTGGGAATAAAGGAGGAACGCTGCATCGCAGCCTTTTCGGACCAAAACCAGTCGACTCAGCGTCCAAAAGACTACAACATATGGGCCAATCGCGGTCATCCGTGCTTTTATAAGAACGAAACGGCGCTTTTAGTGACATTTTGCATACAAATCCCCATCTAGTAGGGCGCAGTCACCCAGTTTCGGTGGAAGTGCGCGAGTTCGATTGGGATTCAAGTAGGAAGGGAGCGTCTCAGCTTCCTCGGACCACGACCATTCGACTCAGCACCCCGAAGACTACAACTGGTGAAATTTTAATTTTTGCCTTAACTTCCCCTTTAAGAGGGCCGATAGCAGAGTAGTGGGGTGTGGGTTGAGAAAAATAATAATAAAAAGTTTAGATATTTAAATATTAGGTGTCCGGCAATCACGGCTACAGTTGTAGTTGTCTGTGCCGCATTGTCACTATGGGCACTGCTAGGCTGTGTGTGCAGGTGCAGGTACTAAGTGTTAGTACATGTCACCTGCAGAGCCAGTATACACCCAGAGCCAGTATACACCCAGAGCCAGGCGTCGGTCCAGTCATCAAGCTAAAACATGCACAGTTGTAGACTAGCATAATTCTCCCCTCGGCCGATCAGGTGTCCTTGCTGTTTTAACGGCTTTGGCGTTATCTCAATATTTCAGTTCATGTCTCAGGAGTAATGATTATTTCTAATAAAAAGAGCGACGAATGAAAACGGAATATTGAAATGAAGAAAAGGACCGGCTAACAGATCACCTGACTTTTTGCTGTCTGTTCTGTTTTCACTCTGGCAGGACCAGTGGACTGAGTGTTTGTGTAACAGTTTCACGGGCTGGTGCAATTATGTCACCGCTTGTGCTGTCCTTGGTAAGATCTGTCATGATGATCTGTCGTCGTGGTGATCTGTCGTGGTGATAGTAGTCATGGTGATCTGTTGTGGTGATCTGTCGTTGTGATACGGTAGTAGTGGTGGCGGAGGTGCAACGGTGGTGTGCATGGGTGGGTGGGGGAGAGGCTGTGACATTGGCAGTGTGGTGTCAGTGCTGGGGTATTGCCATTGTCGTGTGTGACTTTTTGTCCCGGAACAGGAATGAACCCTGGCCGGTAACCTTTGAAAGAGAGAGAGAGAGAGAGAGAGAGAGAGAGAGAGTGAGAGAGAGAGAGAGAGATTGAGAGAGAGAGAGAGAGATTGAGAGAGAGAGAGAGAGAGAGAGAGAATCGCAAAGTAACACCCTCCTTAGTTCTTACTATGCATGCACCTGTCAAGCAGACAATTGCAACCAGTTGTAAAAGTTGATGTCATCCTCATTGAATCCAGACTGAGGTTGCTGACTCCTTGAACAGTGTGTCCAAACACTGTGGTACATGTGTATGTGTGTGTGTGTAGAGGGGTGGGGGATGACCAGTACTCTGCCCAAATGTAAAGCATTAATTTCTTCAGACTTGTTTCTTTTGAAATACCAATTCTGGCATTCTCACTGTGCCTGATCGTTTCTTGTTGCAGGCTCAGAGTCACCACGCGACAGCACCATACTTAGTGTATGTGCTCTTTGGAACCATGTCCTGTCTTGCCATATATGGCATGCCAGAGACACGGCATCGTGGACTACCAGATACTGTTCAGGATTTACACAGGCTGATCGGGAGTCCTGGATGACCAGACAGACTGTGTGACCCGCAGTACTGAGCCAGTAACGTGGCCACCATTCACAGTTATTATTTATTGCAACATCTCAAGACTCAGGGGAAACACCGCCGGGCTAATGTGAAGCCGAGAGTGCGTGATAGACATCCACAATCACATCATGTGTGGCAGGGATGTTCCATCACGGTCGCACTGCAAGAACAGCTGGATATAGTATATTCTGAGTCTGAGCATGCCTACTCTCTGCTTGGACCCTCTACTTCCTGCCCAGTGCTATGTGTGCCACTCAGGGTGAGCTTCAGCAGGTCCTGGGCCATCAGTGCGCTGTGAGTAGATGACAATTCGGGAAGATTGGCTCTTCTAAGAGCTCCGAAACATTTACTTTGAACAGCTACCAGTAGCTAGGGGGCTGGCGATACCGGCCTGATAGCTAAGCGACAGTGGGCCAAGTTAATAGAGACTGCGAGGCGATGCTAGAGCTGGCAAAGGTCACATGATCATGAAAAGCCTTCAATGCAGTCATGAGATAAAAAATCATGAACTCGCTTTCAAATTATATCTTATCTCTATGATAATATCTATTTAGAACGTGACCCCGGCAGTTTATGATACATGTACACATCCGCTGTCACATGCATGGTATGTCTTGCTTCTGCTGCCTTGCTCCTGGCCTTGGTTATTTATTCTCTAGGTGGCCAGCCTCGGTTATTTATTCTCTCAGGTGGCCAGTCGAGGTTATTTATTCTTCAGCTGACCAGTCGAGGTTATCAAGTTATTCTCTACTGGGATTGTCTTTATTGCTTTTGAGAAGTCCACAACCCAGGCTGTTGACCAAGCCATTACTCCCGGCATTAGTTTGTCCCCAGCTGCCTGCTATGATGTCACAATACAATGATCATCACGGAATGTTTTTTTGGGAAAAAGCTGCCAAATGGGTATCTACAGTATGTTCTGATCCGCAGAATTTATCATAAATTTATCATAAATTTATCATAAATTTATCATAAATTTATCATAAATTTATCATAAATTTATCATAAATTCATTGTCAACTTGAACTGGTAGAATGCAGAACATGATTGTGTTGGCTGCTGTAGTGGAGAGTACGTGGTGTATGACATCATCGGTGGCTCAGCGGCTTTCAGTGCCACTGCTATTCAGAAACTCCGGGGCCCCGTACTACTCTGAGCACCACCATTTAGTACCAGGGAGTCACACATACGTATTACTATAAACCCTGCCAGTCCCAGTCCCAGTGCCAGTCCCAGTCCCAGTCCCTGCATTATACTACATTCACGGTATAGCCTGGCTACCACTTGCACTGATCAGACTGGTTGGACAACACTAAACTTGATTTAAAAACTACCAGGTACCTAACTATTACAGTGAAACTTGTCTAAGACGACCGCTCAAGGGACCTTCAAAACGTGGTCTCTGTTACCAGGTGGTCTCCTTATCCAGGGTCATTTGACTAGAAACGGCATCCCTTGGTACTGGTTGCAGTGGTCTTCTAGGACAGGTGGTCGCCTTATCCGAGTGGTCGCCTTGACAGGTTTTACTGTACTTACAAATAGTGAAATACTGGTGACTCGAAGGCTTCTGTAAGGCTTCTATGGCCAAATTATTGCAATTCACGCATTTCAAAGATTATTCGTGAATATGTGCGATGTTTTGGTGAAAACAGTGTTGATTTGAACGTCCGTAACTTTGCTATTATGTTGATGGATTTTCATTCGGTTTTTTTTATCTGATTCATACGTTCTCTGGCTACAAGAATCCGTTGCTAACTCAAAATGCCCAAAAAACGGATAAGGTCCCTTTTCGCTTGTGCTGGCTCAGCTGTACAAGCAAGACATAGCTAGCTAGCTAGCTAGCTAGCTACTCGTTCGTGTCGTTGTAGCTACTGACTCAAACTGAGTCTGTAACTGTAACTGTCTTACTTACAGTGACAGCTACAACTACTCAGTAACTAAACACAAGGCACATGGATGGGTGAGTGCACGTGACATGCAGTGATTCAAAACAAAAGAACAAAAACTGAAACTCAGTGGCAGTGCAGTGACTGCATAATGCAAGACGTGCCGAAAAGCTGAGTCGCAAAGATAAGACGCACGTGCTGAGAAGAGAACAACGAGTCAGTTCTACAGGAAGAGTTTGATGTCGGCCTTTGTCACAGTTTGTGTGTATTATTACTTTTATTGCAAGCATCCGTCAGGAGTATACCGTGAAGGTAGACCTACTAGGTGCGCAAGCAGACGTCTGAAGTGAAGACAAACGAATGGTACTTCATGTAGTAGAAGGACGTTTGTTGGGCGTGCTGTCACAGCTCTAGGTCGGAGAGTTTATATGATGGATGATCTGCTGCGAGATTACACACCGTTCTCGTACTACCAGAAAAGAGTAACGTTAGTGGTGTGCGTGGCATGTGCGCTAGCAGCACCTCAGTCCGCTATACTTGTGTTCATTGGCGGAACACCAGACTGGCACTGTACAGGCACAGGCGATGCTAGCCATGATACGGCAACTCTTCTAAACAATAGTGATATTGATGAGGTCAGTGGGCCTTCCCAAACGCAATGTCAGCAGTTGGCAAGTGGATCGTGCATTCCAGTGTATGAACACCGCTTGGCCAGTGCTAGCAGTGAAGTAAGTATAGCCTGACTCACCCACAACCAACCATCAAGCTCCATTAGGGTATTAGACATGGTTAGCATTTTACCGTGTTACGCTAAATCCAACGGTACTCGTGCCCAGCACCCAAAATACCGTCGATTTGGTATTGTTTCGACAGAAGCTCTGTTCACCGGGAGAACGAAGCGGTAAGATTCCAAATCCGCAAAGCGATCGTTGTGTCAGAAACGGAAATGCTAATCATATACTGTAGACACAAACTTGTGTGACAACGGTACAGGCCGACCGTTGAATGTAGGGTAAACGGTGAAATGCTAACCATGTATATCACCATTGTTTCAGTGAAGTAAGCACTGCACCAAAAAACATGCACTGCCCCGGTCGAGTGAGTGAAATTGAAGAGAAAATTCCACGCAAGGATTGAAGCTCAAACCTGTAGTGAAGAGACTGGGTGCTGCCCGTATACACAATATGCATGTGCACTACACTCTGGCCAGCGCAGGCATTGAGCACTCCGAGCCTGTAGTTACAGGGTGATGTTAGGGGCTGCCTCTGTACGTATGCTGGGACACGATTGGTGCTCTGACTAATACGCGGCATTGTGGGATGCAGTTGCAGTGATGGTTAAAGTAGGGCATTGGTAGGGTTCTGTCCTGATTCAATACGTGTATGTGTGTGCGTATGTGTGTGTGTGTGTGTGTGTGTGTGTGTGTGTGTGTGTGTGTATGTGTGCGTGCGTGTGTTGTAGTTTGGTCTAATATGCAGCCATGCGACCGACTCAAGTTATGCACAGTCGCTGTATTTTGTGGGAATGTTGCTGGGTAGCTGGCTGGCTGGTTGGTGTTCAGACGCTTACGGTCGACGAGCTGCCATCTTGGTTGCCATGGCGATATTCTTTATTGGCTCGCTGTGCACCGCTCTGTCAGTGTCATTCATCATGTTTACCATCTCTAGGCTGCTTGCAGGTAGGTTTGAATTTTGCACGGTTGTCGGATACTAGAGTCCGCTTATCTAACAACTGGCACCCTAAATCTTTTTTAGGATCTTCCAATTATAGCTGCAGATGTAGTGGAAACAACCGTGCATGCTACACCATGTATCCCGTGCATGCTACATCATGTATCCCGTGAAATTCAAGGCTTCTTGGCCACATGTGAGGCCAGAAAAGTTCAAGGAGTGGGAGTAAAAATTCGGCCAGGCTCTGCAAAATTAGGACAAGTATGGAATTTAAGATGTTGCGATATCAGTGGCAATTTGTGAAACATCGCTCTCACTTTTTCTTTATCATATTAATTTTACAATGATTCCCTACTTGTCCCTAGATCAAGAAACCTCTTTCTAAGTTATGTCTTTTCAGTTAGCAGTAGGACATGGGTAAAGAGGTGATAGTAAGCCACCGCTGGATACACGATAGTAGCACTTGATGTGCTCCGGTTAGCATTCAAAAAGTCTTCACTCTGGCATTTCTACTACAGTACTCTGTGTACATGTTGATGGTGTGTTGCCATGTCACTGCTTTATACTGTACAGGCAGAAAATTTCGTCGGTCAATAATTTCGTCCAACTCCAAAGAAAGGGAGTTCGTCCGGTTGTAAATTTCGTCCGGCATGGATCACAAGAGTGTATTGAAAAGCTGGGCAAATCGACATTAGTCCGACATTTAATTTAGTCCACAAGCTCTTTGGACGAAAAAGACGAAATTAAATTCCAGACGAATATTTCTGCTTCTACAGTAACACCCGGGTTTTGATTGATAGGTACGACAGGGAGGTAGGTGAGGGCCCGTGTGGGGGTAAGGGAGGGTTCAACGTGACTGTGTGTGGTGGTGTCTGGAATATGCACATGCTGCGAAGAGTGCAACACCTTCTCAGGAGCTGGTACTGAGCCGGTCTCGGGGCAGTCAGAGCACTTCCTGATAGCCACACCAGTACGGTAGTTTGCATGCACTCTTTCTGTTGTGGTTGTGCTGACGGTGGGGTGCTGACGGTGGGGTGCTGACGGTGGTTGTGCTGACGGTGGGGTGCTGACGGTGCCGGTGGTGGTTGTGCTAATTCTTTTGTGCGTATTTGTGGTTTAGAAATGTGTGTGTGTATATGTGTGTATGTGTGTGTATGTGTGTGTATGTGTGTGTGTATATATGTGTGTGTGTGTGTGTGTGTGTGTGTGTGTGTGTGTGTGTGTGTGTGTATGTGTGTGTATGTGTGTGTATATATGTGTGTGTGTGTGTGTGTGTATGTGTGTGTATGTGTGTGTGTGTGTGTGTGTGTGTGTATGCGTGTGTGTGTGTATGTGTGGTTATGTTTGTATGCAGGTGTTGGTGTAATGTGTCTTGGTGTGCCGGGCAACGTGTTAGTCAGTGAATCCGTTTCACCGAGTTACCGTGCGCTGGCTACAATAGCCACTAGTATCACCTACAGCCTGGGTCTAGCTGGTCTCTCTCCCCTGGCCTACGCTTGTTCACGTAGCTGGAGAGTGTTAATGGCTGTGCTGACTGCGTTGACATTCTCTGCTGGCCTTGCAGTCTATCTGTAAGTACAGTAGTATTGCATTGCACTGCATACTATAGTCGTCCGGGTATGATCTCATTATAGTCATGGCAATACACGTCACATAGTGCAGTTGCCACCACTCAGCTCCCCGGCATATACAGCGGATTTGACATCATGACACATCCTCCATTGGGATTACAGTAGTAGTATTGCTGTTGTGCACTTATGCAATAGTGGTATGGCAGCGACCTCGGCGATAATTGTAAGAAATTTGGTTGCTAATTTTAAGTCCTCTTCGCTGGCTGAAGGGAACCTCTACACAACGGCCAGGCTCTGTGCAGTACACTTGATAATGTGGATATCATGCTGGATACATGTATAGGGTGATGGGAATGATGGATGGATATAGAGTTCAGTCAAGTCGAGGGGTGGAAAATGTTTAACACAACTTGTGCTAGATGCACTTCAAGTACAAATGTGATATTGACTATACAGCTGTACAGTCAGACCTCGCATAACCGCACACATCCGTTTTCCACGAAAATGTCCGGATAGGCGAGGGACCCGGATAATCGAACACACATACTGTATGTATGCATGGCATATGCTGTAAATCGGTAACCAACGATTTTCTTCCGGATGGCGAGGGATCCGGATAAAACAGGACCGGATAAACGAGGTCTGACTGTACTCCAAGTACATGTTACTGGTTGTCTTCCAAGATTCATTTTGAATGTCTCGCTTTGCAGGGAGACTCACATGCCAGTAACTAGCAGCGAGCGAATGCAAGTGTGTGTGTGTGTGTGTGTGTGTGTTGGTTGTGTTGCTAACAGCTGGTTGAGCGAATCACCATTTTGGTTGCTGACCAACAAGAGACACGACCAGCTGTCGGTGATGTTGCAACGCTGGGCAGCAAGGTCTGGTAAAACCATCCCAGACAGACTGTTGGAAAACTTGACTTCTTCCAAAGAGAAACTGGTTGAAAGTGATGATGAAACCCACCAATCTCCATCTCACCGCCCAACAGTTCATCTTAGTTCACTGCTGGTCTTACCGGTATTTCGATGGCACACACTATCAGTACTCTGGGCATGGTAAGTCACAGTGAGTGATCTTGTGCTATCAACTCTTTTTTTCAAAAAGTCCTCATGATGCCAATGTGCATTGTTACCGTTTCCACTTGGTTTCTCTACCGAATTTTGATGCTGAATGATAATCCAGGTCTTCATCTTCTGCACAGTTGTCTATGTTCTAGAATCACAGTTTGAAGATTAGACTGACTACTACTGGATGACTCCCCTGAGAATGTATGTCGGAGACAAGATAGCAATTATTGATAGAAACTAGGGGTGAAACGATTAGTTCGAATATTCGAGTATTCGTTCGAAAATTTCAAACGAGCGAGTATTCAAAATTTTGCACTCGATCGTTTATATTATTTTATTTTTTTATTATTTTTTTTAGTATTGGCATTCTATTTTTCAAAAACTTTTGTTGTACCGCTCGTCCACTGGTATACATGTGTAATGCATGCCTTTGAGTCAGTATTTTATGACTTGGACGATGCAATCACCATGGCAAGTAACGTCAGTTAACGTTCTGAGATATGAAAGTACTGATGAAAATCGTTACTTCGTACAAGACGTTGGCGACTTTTGTTTTATGTTCACAGATAATTTCTTCCCGAATTTGTGGAGAACTCACAAATCTAGCCCTTTTGAATTTTGATAAAATACTCGAAATAATCGGATACTCGATCGAATATTATGAACGAGTGATCGATTGGTCAAAATAGATACTCGTTTCACCCCTAATAGAAACACAACCAATCCACAACCAACGGACACCGATTCGTGGTTTTGACAGAAACGATTTTCTGCAGAATCCATCAGTGACTAATTCTGGTAGATGATAGAGAATGAACGAAGCAGCTCATAGTAGCAGAAACGAAAGCTATTCCAGGTGTCCAAGAGCAGTAACAAGGCCTGTAGTAGCTTTAGTTTCTGCTACCACTAGCTGCTTCGTTCATTCAAGTTCTATCATCTACCAGAAGTAGGCACTGATAAATTCTGCAGAAAATGTTTCTGTCAAAACGAACCGGAGTCCGTTGGTTGTGGATGGTTGCCACGGTGTTGCTATCAATAATGAGAAGGTCCCTGGTTCGAGTCATAGTGGTGATAGTCAGTTTTTCTTCAGACTTTCCCCGTTTGCATCTCACGGTTTCCCTCAAACCAGTGCGTGAGAATGCAGCAGTAAGAGATAACACATAGCTAGACATTACACTGTGACCTACACGTATGTAGAAGTGATCATGTAGCACGTATGATGGTGTGATCACAGGATTCACAGCACGTATGATGGTGTGATCACAGGATTCACAGCACATACAAAGGCGTGTGTACTGCACACATGTGACATGTAGCCGGTTAGGCAATCCATGGCAATCCATGGCAATCCATGGCTGCTTTCTGCTAGACTAGCAACACAACTGAGTACAACAGTACCACAATAATGCATGTAGTCAATCTCCGTGTGTGTGTGTGTGTGTGTGTGTATGTGTGTGCACGTGTGTGTGTGTGTGTATGTATGCGTGTGTGATCATTTGTTGTCCAGGTTCACAGTGTGTATGATGTACTACGGTCTGACGTTACACGTTGAAGGTGTTGGCAGTAACAAATACATTAGTTTCTTCTTCATGGCTATAGTTGAACTTCCAGCTTTGCTTATTGCCATTGTTGTGCTAAAGTACATCGGTCGGAGAACCTTCATCTTCTGGACAATGGTGATGACTACAGTGTTCTGCACCCTATCCTCGTTCATTGCTAAATGGTCTACACAGGTCAACGGTACGTGTACTCATGTGTACTGTACTCTCTTCCATATTCATCAATTTGAGGGGATGAAAAGGGGGAAAGTCTGTAGAAAAATTGACTGGCACCACCACTTGAACCAGGGACCTTCGCCATAGGCCAGCAATGCTTTTAAAAAGTTAATACAGTCAGACCTCGCATAACCGCACACATCCGTTTTCCAGAAAAATATCCGGATAGGCGAGGGAACCGGATAATCGGACACGCATACTGTATGTGTACATGGCATCTGCTGTAAATCGGTAACCAACGATTTTCTTCCGGATGGCAAGGGATCCGGATAAACGAGGTCTGACTGTACTCTCCTCCCCGGATACTAGTAATTTATTTTAATTAATTTTATTCCCGTAGCTATGCAGAAGACGTTACTTCAGTAACGTCTTCTGCATAGCCAGGGTCCACACAGCTTTAATTTGGTGTTTGTTTGTGTCACGCCTGGCGCTATCCGTATCTGACGGCAAAAAAGCATAGGATGTTATACATTTTTCAATTCTCCTTATTTTTTCAGGCATATCCTGGGATTCGAACCCGCACTATCGCCCTACATGCATTCCCCATACACTTCGCATTCATACCCATTCTTCCAAGTTGCTTTACGTTATTATCTTGCGTTCGAAAGCCCTATTTGAATATTGCGGGCAGCTGTATGTGGCCAGCTGTGTTTGATGGTACGGTACGGTACGGGAGACGGTGTCGTATTACCCTCGATCGTACCTGTCCCGTCCCTATCCCCTACCGTACCGTGCCATCAAAGACGGCTGGCCACAATGCATATTCAAATAGGGCTTTCAAATGCAAGATCACAATGTGAAACAACTTGGAAGAATTAGTATGTATGCGAAGTGTATCGGGGGATGCATGCAGGGCGCGCGATAGTGCGGGTTCGAATCCCAGGTTATGTCTTAAAAAAAAGGAATTTTTTAAAGAATTTATAACATCCCTATGCTTTTTTTTTGTCTAGGTCATCAAGGCAAAAAAGCATAGCGTAGGGCCCTGAGCTTCCAAGCTCTCTCGTTATTTGCTGGTTCTTTAATGCATATTAAAGCTGATATAGTTGATGACAGAAGTATGATATCAAATATGCTTGTTCTGTAGACTATTTAATGCTGCCATTTCATGAGAGGCATGCATGGGCAATGTATTTGTATTATACCTTGCCCATGCATGACCCTCATGAAATGGCCGAAATGGGTCTATAGAACAAGCGGATGTGTGTGTATGATGATTGTTCTGTGTACAATTCTACATTGTGTTTATCTAACTCAGGTAATGACAGTACACACATGAAAGAGACGATAGCTAACTGGCAGCTTGCAGTGTCAATCTGTGGGAAATTCTCATCGTCAGCCGTCTTCTCAATTCTCTACACATATTTACCAGAATTACTGCCCACGCCGGTTAGGTTAGTACCGTACTGGCAATATATGTTGCCGCAGTGAGGCCATGAAGCGTTACATTGGCACATGTTTGCCGCACGCAGGGCGTTACATGCAAAGTCGCACAGGAGCCGTTACACAGGTTTCTATATTGCCGCAGTCCTTTTTTTGCTATTGCCGCATCACTTTTTTGCTATTGCCGCATCATTTTTTTGCTTTTGCCGCATCATTTTTTCTTTTCATCCACATTGAAGGCACAGAAATTCAGTTGCTATCCAACTGTTACAAACCCGACGGCAAAGGGCGACAACGATATCAATAGAAGACTGTATATTTTAACTATCAGAGTGCAAAACGACCTCGGGAAAGAAGAAACCATTGAGATCGCCAACCACTGAATGATGCGCCTTCGAGTGTCAGGACTTCCTGCTGCGTCCAGTTTTGAACTTTTCACCACGCGGTATACACGTGCTCAGCCTTTTTTTTGCAGTGCAAACTGCAATGAAAAGATCGCCGCACCCCGCCGGACGCGCGTTACGAACTCAACGAAAAGTTGTCGCACTAGCCTGGTCGCGCGTTACGCCGCACCCCCCTGCGTTACGCGTTACGCGGCAACATAATATGCCAGTACGGTATACAAATAACGTGATATTGTAATACATGTAGTACTAGTACATGACTATGTGACTACATGACAACATGGGATATGCAATGGCCGTGTGTTTTCCAGGGAGGTGCTGCTTGTCTATTACCATTGCTGATGTAGAGGTGCTGATACCGGTATGAAGGATAGTGTGGTAAAAAATCCATTCACATGCTCTGTGTATGTGTGTGTGTGTTTCACGGTGTTTTTTTGTTTGTTCTTCTTTGTCCACCACTGTCTACAGGACAAGCGGCCTTGGTGTGTGTGTGGTTGTGTCCCGATTGGGTGCTATCATATCACCATTTGTCTTGGCTTGGGTAAGACTTGTGTGCGTGGTTACCAATTTACCAATCACTCTTTCATCATTTCTGTTTAGGAAAGTGAAACTGTTGTTGTACGGTAAAACCTGGGTTCAGCAACCTCTGGTGTTAGCGACCACCTGATCTTAATGACTGTTTTTATGCACCAAAAGTTCTGTATAGAAACTGCACTGAAAACAACGACCACCTGCGTTGCACGACCAGCGACCGACTTTCAGTGTACCAAGTGCCATATCTGGTCTGCATGATTATAGCGACCAAAACTAGCCATCAGAGCTATCCTGTCTGGCAGGCTTGACTGCAACACGGCTGAAGTGGGGTGTGAAGCTGGTGCATGCAGTCGGGGGTTGGCTGCTAGCTTTAGAATTGGTACAGCGAAAACAAAGTGATACGTCACTTGATCATGAATTCAGTGAGAGTGTTGTGAGCGCCAAACTGGGTGAAATAGGGGTGGGTGGTTTGCCAGGGTGGACGCCCGTGCGTAGTGCGAATTGCTCGCTAATAGTACTCAGCTTTTCCACACGCAATATATTGGTGGAACTGAGGAAAGGGTAAAAATGCATTGGAGGCATATTCTAAGTCCGGTTGTATAAGTCTAAAACCGGAAGGCCTTTCTGCAGCTCTTGTTGATAAATTGCCGGGAACGTTATCTTACTTCTTGCCCTAATATTCAAATCGTCATGGTGATAATGGCTACCCATGTATGCCATTGCAGTCTGAGTGAGCAGGTTGCGGCCTTGATAACAATGACGTGTTGGCATAGACCACAACTCGTGTGTAGAACTTGCAAATGTGTGCATCATTTCGGGTACTTCTGTCTTGTGACATTCACATAAAAACTATGGCTCCATGATGTACAGAGATTGTTACATACGGTGTCTTGAGCATTACTAAGATTCACTGATCTAGGGTTTTATTAATTATTTATGTGTGTTTTGTTGTCATGACGATCTACAGGGTCACAGGCACCCCATGGCTCCGTACCTGTTGTTCTCAATTTGTGGTGCAATAGCGTGTGCTGGAATATACCGATTACCGGAAACCAAGGACAGGGATTTACCAGAGACGTTACAGGACTTGCACCAACTGGTGACTAAAGGCTGAGCGGCCGCTGACAGACATCTACTTCTACCGTGACTGTATACACAAAGTGACATGCAGCACTGCACTACTCACATGTACTACATGTAAAACATCTCCATCGTTGCCTCCTTTACTGAAGTCAGTGAAGTCGGAGGCCACACACACAGAGAAATTGAGAAATTATATTACCACTGAGTGGAGGTGATGTTTCACATGCAAACAGTCATGCATGCATGGCTAATGAATTCTAAGCTCTGGTGTGCTTGACGGCAATCTATTTTAAATTATTACAATGGATCACTTAGTGCAACGACCATGACTATGAGTTTTAAGAAACCTACTCTATAGCGCTTTCTTAGACTAGGTGCTAATTTTGTTACTGCTCTGACCGCCAAACTGCCGGATATAAGGACTTGCTTTCTGCGGGTTTAATCACCACTGTATTCGACTTGAAGAGTAATAATAATCGGATACGAAAGACCTAGTCGAAACATTATGGCTTCTGTGCTGCGTGTGATGATTTGCTTCCCTCCAACCGAAAATCTATTCAACTCTAGACTCTAGCTATATCGCTAGTGTTTTTACATTCTCAAATTGCCCGTCATACTGAATAATGGAATGAGTGGAGGCTGCTGTTATACATCTACCAGTATCAATATGTTTAGAAACAATGTACGTGTGGTACATCTGGTACATGGTGTGTGTGTGTGTGTGTGTGTGTGTGTGTGTGTGTGTGTGTGTGTGTGTGTGTGTGTGTGTGTGTGTGTGTGTGTGTGTGTGTGTCTGTGTGTGTGTCTGTCTGTGTGCGTGTGTCAGTTTTAGACTGAAACAAAATTGTACTCTGCAAAACGATCAGTCCAATGCCACTTTTGTTTAGTTGTGACCGGGTCAACATACATCTGTGTTTTGTTCGATGGGGGGGGGGGGGGGGGACGCGCAGGTGAGAAGGTGAGGACAAAATCTCACCTGGTTTTGATTGATTGGTCTTGGCAGAACTATAGATAAGGATTGTCCAAAGGCTGCGGGAGCCTATCGAGGGGATCTCCTGGGGGCATGTACATGATGTACAGGTACTGGTATTGGAGTTAAAACGGGAAAAAGCTAGTAGTACATTGTACCTGTATAGACAGGAAGTAAATCGACTGTCATCTTTATGGCCGACGATATCCAGATATCGAGTCGTCAAAAAATTGATGTTGACTAGCTTTTGCTGGATTCGCGCTGTACACTACAGTAAGTATCGTTTATAAAGTGACCGGATATAATGATATACCGGTTATAGTGATAGAACACGTCAAAATCAAAATCAAATCTGAAAAAATACAGCTAAAATATCACTATATACACTATTATCGGCTATACCGATATATCGCTTATTGTGATGGCCTTCAGGAAGCAAACCATATCAAATGTACAGGAAAATATCGCATATAATGATCAAGAGTGATCTTTCTGCATGCTCTTGTCCGTTTCTGGCTGTGTTGCCTCTCACGATGATGTTGCCAACTCACGTACACAGCCACTCATGTCTATTTCTGGCTCTACGCAACTCGTTGGACACCGAGTAGATCTACGATCTACGTGAGCAGGGATCCAGCTCAGGCTTTTTTTGGAGAACACGCTGAAGAAGCAGCCATGCCACATGATGTATCGAAGTTCTAGTACATGACAGTCTGTACTCGTACTGCACTGCCATGCACTGCTCTGTGTCATGCACCGGTACACAGTCCGCGGAGCATGCATGCACTTTCAGCATGCTTTTTCCAGCGTGTACGCATCATTTCATGTGCAGTCATGTGCCATGTGTCGGTCAAACATGCAAATCGGCTATAGTGATGCACCGGATATAGTGATACATTTTCGAAAATCAAAGGGGCACGTTATATCCGATATTTACTGTACATCAGTACATGTGCCATCCACGTGCAACTCAGCGATTCAAATTTTTTTGAAAGTGTCTTTCACTCGACTCACCGCGATGCATCGATGACAGTACGTCCAGAAAGTAGAGAACAAAGTCAAAGGACTTGTAAACAATGTAGGTTTTTTTGTTTTCTTTCAAACAAGCATAGCAGAAGGTTTGCACGCCGTGGCACGATTTGCTCTCTGCAACGTATGTGTAGTCTGTAGGAAGTTTGCCAAGTAATTAGTTCCATGGACCATGATCGGACTCGGAGTGAGAAACGTCTTACAATCAAATTTTGTTTTGCAGAAATCACATTCAATTTCACCAACACCTCAATGCACAGACAGGTTGATCTACTACAACTAGGTAGTGCAGTGTCAGTCGTGAATTATCTCTGCAAGTGAATACGTATGGAATCGTAGGAGGACGTTCGGCCAATTGGTGGCAGTCGGCTCTATGCCAGGGTTTATATGATGGATGATCTTCTACGAGATTACACTCCGTTCTCGTACTACCAGAAAAGAGTAACGTTGGCGGTGTGTGTGGCATCTGCTCTAGCAGCACCTCAAGCAGCTATACTTGTGTTCATTGGATCTGTACCTGAATGGCATTGCGCTGGCTCAGCAGCCAGTAGTAGCAATGCAGTAGCAGCTGCTCAGGGTCTAGGCAATCATTCTGCTCATTGGCAGCATAATAATATTCCGGGCGTCAGTGACTCTTCGCCAACTCAATGCCAACAATTGGCAAGTGGATCCTGCTCTCCGGTATACAAACATCGACTGGCCAGTGCGAGTAGTGAGGTAAGCCATACAGTACTGATTGACTGGGGGTGAGGGCGAGGGGTTAGTTCCTCATCTCGGCGTTACCTACAGTTACCATGGTTACACAGTCCAGACACCGACATGTCGACAAAGCATTTTGGCTGCCAATGCTTTCCATTTGCAAACAGTGCGCGTGCTTGTGGCCACCATATTCAGTGCTGCCAAGCCGTCTGATTTTTCGGACAGTGTCCGATTTGTGAAGGCTCTTCCAAAAACCTGTCCGAAAACGAATACGTCCAAAAAGCAGCCAAGAATGTCAGGGATCAGTGCTTTCCTATGCAGAAGTCCTGTATTTTCACTTTTCAGCGCAACTGAAGCCACAAATCACTGCGCCTGGATGGCATGTACATACACGGTGCAGTGTGTGACCACACTCATGCATTACAAAATTCATGGCAACTTGGGAGCTCCTTATCGGTTACCATGGCAATGAAGCGAATTCTTTTTCTTGGTATTTTGGGCGACGTTCTCTGGAAAAATTTGCTGAGAAGAATTATTCGCGCCATGTGGCCAGTAGGGGTGCGCGGATTATGCTCGCACGCATCCGATATTATGCTTTCGGGCATTTCCCGTGGAACTTCGAAAGTATTCTCTCAAAACATCGAAAAAAATTCTCTAGAATCCCCCCCCAAATGAACCCCAGCACGAACCGTGCCTTGCGCATGCTCTTTAGTATGCAAAATGGACGGTCAGGCACGTGATCACTGCATGCAGGATCTACACTACAAGGTCATGTATTATCAAGAGTACATACCCCCCTACATGTACATGCATGACTAGTACCAAGAGTAGATAAAACAAGAGTGTGCAACTCGCGGATGGGTAGGCCCACGGCGGAATTTTTTGTTGACGTAATCTTTTCGACGACGCACGCGCTGCGAGTCTTTCGGAAAGTTTTCCCTCGTGCTCTTGGCCGGCTTTACACTACAAGCTCGGTGCCCAGCACGTGCTCTCACACTGCTCTGCGGCAAAATGCGCGTTCTTCTGAAAAAAGGTGACGTCAACAAAAAATTCCGCCGTGGGCGGGGGTATCTGCAGATTGTGCAGGAGAGATCCGGAGTTGCACACTCTTGTTTATCTACTCTTGCTAGTACCAACAGTACATAACCCCCCACAAGAGTACTCTTGGGGGGTTATGTACTCTTGCTAGTACACAGCTACCGGTGTCGTGTCCGGGTGTTGCTGCATGTACATGTACATGTACATGTACGCGCGTCCAGAGGATGCGCGCTTGTTCTCTGGCAGGTCGAAATTGACAGAATTCCCCCAAAACTCTTCTGAAGGTCAATGGATCTGGCAAAAGATCGATAGAATTCCCCTCAAATTCCCAAAAATTTCTCAACGATAGTATTCCCAAATTATTCCGGGAATAATCCGCGCACCCCTAGTGGCCAGCCTTTGGCCTTGGCGATAAAGGGTGTCAGATTTTGGGCAAAAATTATTTTTGGCAGCATTGCATACTGTACACTGTACAACACAAAGTGTGAAAGGGTTATACAGTATACAGTATACAGTATACAGTATACAGTATATTAGGCTATCGCCAACATCATCTACAATGGTTTTACTTTTTTAATTAAAGTCCGTATAAGGAGCCGAAAGAGGTTGCAAAAGTCAGAAAAAAGAAAATAGGCCCAAATACAGGTAAAACAGGCCCAAACACTGTAAATATACAAAATTCCGGCGCTGCAAAATTTCAGCACTTCACGATTTTTGACATTTCGGCGGCGATTTATTTTCGGCGTGGGGTAGAGGGCATGGTATAGTGCGACAGATGCTGTGAAAAATTTCATCGGCGTTTTAATTTAGGCGTTTTGTGTCGGTGCCGAATATAGCCGAAATTAAATAGCTGCCGAAAATTTGTATATTTAGTACAGTACAGGTGAAATAGGCCCAAATACAGATGAAGTATGCACATTAGGCAGTGAGTGCTTAGCCTGAATAACCTCTGCTTGTATTCTTGCTTTCCGGTGAGAAATTTAGGCTGACCTTGATTTGCAGCATTTGGCCATCCTCAAACATTGCCCGTTTGGACTTTTCCATGTTTTCACCACATGCAGGTATAACACAATCTTGCGTTATTTGCATCTGGGACAAATTTTGGCCAGCGATTCACTTTGGCTGGTTGGCACCAAGTGGCGCAATCAGAGAAAATCCATTGACGGCAAAAACTTAGTTGATTTTCATTTTACAACGAGAGAGCTTGGAAGCTCAGGGCCCTACGCTATGCTTTTATGCTTTTTTGCCTAGCTCATCGTACATGTTATAAGAACTGATGGAATTGTCTTTTTCCGTTCATTGGCCACATCACTGTATTGCAAAAACGTTTCAATCGGTTTGAATATTATGAGTTAGGCAAAAGTATTTGCAGAATTTATTGCGGATTGTTGTTTCTCTAATAATCATCTACTTTTGTTTTGCTCCTTCTTTAATTTTTATCTCCTTATATTGGAAATCAACAAATTTTGGCCGATGAGAAATAGAAACCTCTCGATTAGAGAGGTTAAGATGCACGTTATTTCCGACGTGACGCGCAGTTTCACGTCAAATTTGAAATCGATCGGTATTTTTGCTCTCACATGCATCCATTGCTCAATCATGCATCATTTGCCTATATGACAAACGTTGGCCTGCGATTTACTTTGTCCGGTTGGTACCAAGCGGCGAAATCAGCGAAATTAAATCGCCAGCGAACATTAGTTGATTTTAATACAGGAATCGAATTTTCTGGCCTTTTTGTAGTAATACATGTACATTGACCTGTTGAGCCAATGACGACGCCGAATGCATGGTTGCCTGTGGAGCACATTACATAACTTTACAGTCTCGTATAATTATAAATACGTATCCTGTTCGACGGCAAAAGAGGCTGCAGATTTAGTTTTTCTGCGCGTCGACGGGATGTCTGTCCTGACGTTTACTGGGACCGGCGCTGACTCTGCCGATCACGGCGTTCTGGACTCGACGGGATGTCTGTCCTGACGTTTCCTGGGACCGGCTTAGACTCTGCCGATCACGGGCGTTCTGGACTCAACGGGATGTCTGTCCTGACGTTGCCTGGTACCGCCGGACTCTACCGATCACGGGCGTTCTGGAGTCGACGGGATCTCTCTTCCGACGTTTCCTGTGACCGGCACTGAATCGCTCGTTCACGCTTATTTTGGAGACGACGGGATCTCTCTTCCAAAGTATGTTTATGCTGACGCATCCTATCACCTAATCGGCGTCTATTCTAATTTAATTTCCTCCTCGTCTCCCTATTTCTTTCCAAATCCCACTCTACATCAGGGAGTCGTATGCATAATACGACGAATATTGGTACGGTACGGGACAGATACAGGAGCCCGCAAATATTGTGGACAGCTGTTATGTACAATCCTGTAGAGCCTTTGTAGTCACAGATACGGGACAGATACGGGACAGATACGGGATAGCGCCAGGCGTGACACAAACAAACAAACAAACAAACACACAAACAAACAAATACCAAATTAAAGCTGTGTGGACCCTGGCTAGCGCCAGACGTTACTGAAGTAACGTCTTCTGCATAGCTACGTGAATAATGTCACTGCTTGCTGAGTTAGTGAGTATTATAGTCAGTGTATTCTGATTTCATCTGTCAGAAGATACGTGTACTGTAAGACCCGTGTACTGTAAGATACGTGTACTGTAAGACCCGTGTACTGTAAGACACGTGTCAACAAACAATGGATCACTCGTAGTGTTTTGCTACTCTGTAAGACCAGTAATGCTAACGAACATTTAATTCTAACAAGTTCACGGATTTGAAAGAATCGTTAATTTAACTTTTGAAGTCGTTATGTTCAAAACAGTATGTACATGTACAGTCATTTGCCGGTTTTGAGACAGAATTCGTTAGAATTTCACCTCGCTAACCCACAAAAATCCGAAGATCGTTAACTTTAATTACCGTTAAAGTAAATGGCGTTACAGTATGGCAGTAAAAAAGAAGAAAAAAAGTAAATTATCGTGTCCGTTCCCGAAGGGAACTCACGACGGCCGCTAACACCCGATAAACCCCAGCGGCAGATGCAGCGCCTAACGGTGGGGGTGAGTGGATAAGTCTCACAACCACTGGCACAAGTGCCGAAAACGACCCCATTAGCTGCATCCATGTATGGCAGTACTGGTGAATGAAAGTCACCAGTGTAACTACAGACTGTATTGTACAATGTCATGTACCGTAAAGTACCGTTGATCCGCCCCCTCTCTAATTCCCGCCCCCTGTCGATTTTCTCCTTGTGAAGCGACTTCGGCGTATACAACGAAAATACGATGTTGAACCGACGCATGCACTGCTGTACACAATACTTGCCAATCCAGGATGAAAATATGCACAATCCAGCACATTGAGTCTGATCCTCTACGTTGTTGTACATCATACTGCACTTGACAGCCTTGATCTAATTCCCGCCCCCTGCCGAAAACCCAGCTGGGAAGCGACATGGCGTGGGGGTGGATCAACGGTACTTTACGGTACATTCACACTGGGTTCTTCAAGTCTCTAAACACCAGGACTCTAGTCTAGCCTCTAGGCTGCACATTCAAACACATCACTAGTTTTATTCCCATCTCCAGGCTGTAGCACTGGGATTTCAGGTGGTCCGGCCAAATGGGATGCTTCACAGGAAATAAACATTATTGACGAAACCTTGAACCCCGTTTTGCACGAATTGGGCTGAATTACGTCATTGTATACGTCATTTTGTAAGTATTTGTGTACGTCCAGTCGCATATGTGTCACTTCCAGGGCATCAAGGGTCGGGCAAATTGAGGACACCCAATACATGTATGCACTCAGGGTCGGATTTCACCGAGCACAACTGCCAACTGTACGATGTATAACGTTATGTTCTGTGTGTGTGTGTGTGTGTGTGTGTGTGTGTGTGTGTGTGTGTGCGTATGTGTGTGTGTGTGTGTGTGTGTGTGTGCGTGTGCGTGTGTGTGTGTGTGTGCGTATGTGTGTGTGTGTGTGTGTGTGTGTGTGTGTGTGTGTGTGTGTGTGTGTGTGTGTGTGTGTGTGTGTGTGTGTGTGTGTGTGTGTGTGTGTGTGTTGTAGTTTGGTCTAATATGCAGCCATGCGACCGACTCAAGTTATGCACAATCGCTGTATTTTGTGGGAATGTTGCTGGGTAGCTGGCTGGCTGGTTGGAGTTCAGACGCTTACGGCCGACGAGCTGCCATCTTGGTTGCCATGGTGTTCTTCTCTCTTGGCTCACTGTGGACCATGTTGTCGGGATCATTTGGTTCGTTTGCCATATCCAGACTAGTTACAGGTATGATGTACAGTGTAGAGGCGACGGTTTCAAATAGGACATAGGTTGCAAACCGGAACGGACTCAATATTCACTTTCTCTCTTGGTATTTTGATTAGAAAACATATGTCACAGTGAGACTACGATGTGTTATACTCCGAGCCAAAATTTCATGGCTCTGCGATGACCAGAAGCGCCATATCAAGCAGGTGAGTTTTTGACGTGTTGCTTCGCACTGCGACTTGAGTTTTACGACTTTCGAAAAATCAACTTCTTGTCGCAGGTAAACAGCGGCTCGCCTCTCGACAATAAAGCACCGCATACCAATCAAAACTAATGGAAGCACACACAAGGCTTATTGTTACTCTGTACTGGCCGTCGTGGAGCGATAGCAATTACCTAATTTCAGACCCAGAGTGAATTTGACGGGCACTCTAAAACGTGTCCGGTTTGGAGCCACCTCTGATTTGAACTTTTTTGAAGCGAAAAATTGGGCAACTTGGAGGCAATGGGTCAACACAAAGGAGTGGCTCAGTTCGATTGACTCTGGCCCCAGAGCAAACTTCAACATGCCAGTTTCCTTCCACAAACATATTTCGAGTGAAAAATCAACGTTGATGATCGTTTTGGGTCTATACAAATTTGGCTGTCAAAACGTTCCGGTATCGAGCCGTCTCCTCTACAGTGTATGCATGACTTATACCTGCAGTAACCATGGCAACTGAGTAAGGCTTTATAGTGATGATGTCACAAGTCAATAAATAACGACTTCTGGGGGTAGGTCATGTCGCATGCACCGCTATGGCTTGTACGCATTTAGTTTCTTAGGTGCAGATCGCTGGAATTCGCTCCCTGCTTCTGTTCGTATTTGCTCCACGCTATCAGACTTCTGCTCGTCCATACAAAAATATATAGGGTACCCCGTAAGAAGGCCTTAGGGAATGCCCTATTCAAAATTGAATAAATAATAATAATAATCATAATGCAGGTGTAACCTTTCTTTCTGTACCGACAATGAATCCTTGGGCAGGAAGGCCTAGGTCAGTCAGTACCGGCGGATCTGTCACCCTAGAGACTATGCACCGAAAACCACGCCAAACCAGGGTTCTCGCCAAAGCGACATAATGTGCGCCCTCCTTCACTTTGTGACCGCCCCCTTTCACAATGAGTGTGCCACCCTTCAGGGTGCGAGCGCCACCACATTTTTATATGCGTGATGAGGACACATCATGTACATGCAAGAGTATATACCCCCCCCCCCAAGAGTGTGTAACTCTGCATATGGGGTCTCCGACGGCGAAACTCACATCACATGTCTCAGATGCGTTCGTACTACGTACAAACGAAGGATAGCGTGCGTGCAATCTGAATATCTGTCATGATCATGCTGGGGATTTGCATATGCGCATATGTTGTTGTTATTGTTTGTGGCGATAGCGGTCTTTTTATGTGTGTTTCTTCTCTGCGCAGGTATCGGTGTAATGGGTCTTTGTGTGACCAGCAACGTGTTAGTCAGTGAATCCGTGGCCCCGGAGCATAGAGCACTGACTACAACATCGTGCAACCTCTTCTCTAGCATTGGCTTAGCCGGCCTCTCTCTATTAGCAAGCTATAACTCAGCAAGCTGGAGAAGGCTGATGGGCATACTGACTGTGCTGGCATTCTCCGCTAGTCTGGTTGTATACATGTAAATATTGGACAGCAAGAATTCAAGGTTGAAAAAAGTGTTTTTACTCCGAGTTTCATGCACTAAGCAATCAGAACTAACTCTGCCCTTCGGCATTGAACACTCTACTAGTATTGGGAAGCCTGGAACCTCTCTGTTTTGTAAGTATTGGGCGTTTAGTCCTGCAGAATATTAATTTATTCAACAGCGTCTGCTCCTGAGGGTGCTGGATAACTGACACTCATCTGTACACCATGTCAATTGTTTCAAACTTACCTCGTTACAATAAGTATGTGTGTGTGTGTGTGTGTGTGTTGGTTGGTTGTATTGCTAACAGTTGGGTGAGTGAATCTCCATTTTGGTTGCTGGCTAGCAAGAGACACGACCAGCTGTCGGTGATGTTGCAACGCTGGGCATCAAGATCTGGTAAATCTATCCCAGACCGACTGTTGGAAAACTTGAGTTCTTCCGAAGAGAAACTGGTTGGAAGTGATGATGAAATCCACCAATCACCATCTCACCACTCAACCGTACATCTTAGTTCATTGCTAGTCTTACCGGCATTTCGATGGCACACACTATCAGTACTCTGGTCATGGTAAGTGACTGCTCTTGTTCTTGTTCTTTTTCAAAAACTGTTCTCATGATGCCAATGTGCGTGTTGCATTTCCCCTTTGTTCTGCTAAGAGTGACGATGACGGTGGGGATTAGTCTTCTAAAAGTGACATTGATATTGTGGGGAGTAGCGAAGAGTACATAACCAAGAGTGTGCAACTCAATGATCTCTCAGCTCACATCGGATTTGACATCAGTCTTTCACGGCCATTTATCTCACCCGTATGCCATCATGCGTGGCCAGAGGTTGATCAAGCAAAACAACGTGTACGTTTCAGCTACTTGAGTACATGTACTGTAGTTGAAGCAAAACATCTAACTGTTGATCCCTGCATCCTGAACCTAATGAATTGACATTGTATCTGCAAGACAAATGCGGAAAGGCATACGCACTTTATCATACTTCTGCCCAAAGATTATGCAATGAAACATTCCGGCACGGTTGAGTCCATCGCAGCTCTAGAAAGGATTTACGCCGTCTTGGTTAGTGTTTTCTCTTGCTGATAGACTGCAGCAATGTGCAAGTACAGCTGATAGACTGCAGCAATGTGCATGAAGCTGCTATAGCCATAGGTGTGCTTGTAACCATTCTCCTTGTGTAGTGATTCCTTATGTCATATTAATTTTGTGTTATTGCACACAGTGTATTTCCAAGTTCCAGACGATTCTGAGATACGCACATCCTCCGGTTCCAAGGTGGTCAGATACGAGAGGTCTGACCTGTACTGTATTTTGAATGTGTGTGTACGTGTGTGTGTGTACACGTGTGTGTACGTGCATGTGGTACGTGTGTGTACGTGTGGTTGCTTGTTGTTCAGGTTCGCAGTGTGTATGATGTACTTTGGTCTGACGTTACACGTTGAAGGTGTTGGCAGTAACAAATACATTAGTTTCTTCTTCGTGGCTATAGTTGAACTTCCAGCTTTGCTTATTGCCATTGTTGTGCTAAAGTACATCGGTCGGAGAACCTTCATCTTCTGGACAATGGTGATGACTACAGTCTTCTGCACTCTATCCTCGTTCATTGCTAAATGGTCTACACAAGTCAACGGTACGTGTACTTATGTCAGCTCAATTACTACTCATGCAGGGGCGTCGGACATGGTACGCTCAATACGGTCTTGGCCGTGCCACTTTTGCCTTAGGTACCCCGTGAATCAATATAATGCACTGATTTGGGCTCTAAATGGCCAAACCTTTCGTCTCAGCCACCCCTCCCCACGAGTAAGTTGTACTTCAGATGTCTGACCGTACCACACTAAAATACCTTCCGACACCCCTGTCATGTGTGTACTCATGTCATGTGCCTATTCTCTCTTCCCCGGACAATTTTCTGGCTCTATGCTTCTTGTACTGAGTCATCAGTTCCTTGCTTCATTTGTAATTTTTATTGTTGTTATTGTTGTTGTTGTTGTTGTTGTTGTTGTTGTTGTTGTTGTTGTTGTTGTCGGCTTCATAGACAATAAGTAGGGGCTCTACTAGGGAGGTTTCGTAACTTTTCAGCATTCGTGTTTTACTTGCAGGCTGCATTGAGGTACATATAGATGTATGACCACCATCCCCTTTCTACTTGAGCCCTTAATATTTTAACAAGGACAATAGGAAAGAGTTCGACCAGTACAATGTCTGCACACACGGTGAACCAGTGACAACAAACAAAAGAGAAAGTGAAGATTTGAAGGGACCAAACACAGCATAATAATTATTTTGATTTGCGCATTGGAAACTTCTCCAGCTGAGCACCCTCACAGCTTGCACAATGCGCTCCTTTTTGAATTCCACTCACGTTCTGGCCCTACGTGGGCGAGCTCACGCACACACTAGCCCGCCAATCAGAAAACGTGATACGTATAATGTTTATGTCATTGAACATTGGCTGGGGGACACACGTAACATGCACGCACATTACGTATGACTAAACCTCCCTTCTGTCCTGCCTAATGTTCTGCGTGTAAACCTTCCATGTATGCTTCTATGTATGTGTATGATGTGCTGTGTACAATTCTACATTGTGTTTATCTAACTCAGGTAATGACAGTACACACATGAAAGAGACGATAGCTAACTGGCAGCTTGCAGTGTCAATCTGTGGGAAATTCTCATCATCGGCTGTCTTCTCAATTCTCTACACATATTTACCAGAATTACTGCCCACGCCGGTTAGGTTAGTAATTTAGTATACAAATAACGTGATAGTGTAATACATGTAGTGTATGACTATGTGACTACATGACTACACGGGATATGCAATGGCCGTGTGTTTTGCAGGGAGGTGCAACTTTTCTACTACCATTGCTGATGTAGAGGTGCTGATACCGGTATGAAGGATGGTGTGGTAAAAAATCCATTCACATGCTCTGTGTATGTGTGTGTGTGTGTGCGTGAAATTTTGAATTTTTTTTTCCTTCCTGTTCATTTGCAGTCGTTGTCACTGTAGCTGTCAGGTTGTTGTTACAGTACAGCAGTCGTCCGTTCTGCTCCATTGTTTCATCTGTTTTGCCAGTTCTGCTAGCTGATTCTCTTTATTTGCCACTGCCCTTCATAGTGCTCATGCTTGGGTGGAGGGCGGCGTGACCCGTTTAGGGTAGCTGTATCATAGTAGTAGTAGTAGTGTGTGTGTGTGTATGTACATGTGTGTGTGTACGTGTGTGTGTACGTGTGTATGTGTGTGTGTGTGCACGTGTATGTTTGTTTGTTCCTTTGTCCACCACTGTCTACAGGACAAGCGGCCTTGGTGTGTGCGTGGTTGTGTCCCGATTGGGTGCTATCATATCACCATTCGTCTTGGCTTGGGTAAGACTTGTGTGTGTGGTTACCAATTTACCAATCACTCTTTCATCATTTCTGTTTAGGAAAGTGAACCAAAACTAGCCTTAAGTGCTATCCTGTCTGGCAGGCTTGACTGCAACACGGCTGAAGTGGGGTGTGGAGCTAGTGCATGCAGTCGGGGGTTGGCTTGTTGTTGTTGTTGTTGTTGTTGTTGTTTGGCTTTATTTATAGTGGAGTTCCAAAACAGGCCTAAACCTAATGACAATGGTCCCACTGATAATAAGAGAAAAGAAAAATATATAAAAATAAGCGGACAAACAGAACAGAGAAGAAGATAGTTAGCTTCAGCTCTGACTCAGTGGAAGAGAGAACACAGCGATGTACAGCGATGTACAGAGATTGTTACATACGGTCATTACGGTGTCTTGAGCATTACTAAGATTCACTGATCTATACTTTTATATTTTAAAGTATTTATTTGTGTGTTTTTGTTGCCATGGCGATCTGCAGGGTCACAGGCACCCCATGGCTCCGTACCTGTTGTTCTCAGTTTGTGGTGCAATAGCGTGTGCTGGAATATACCGATTACCGGAAACCAAGGACAGGGATTTACCAGAGACGTTACAGGACTTGCACCAACTGGTGACTAAAGGCTGAGCGACCGCTGACAGACATCTACTTCTACCGTGACTGTATACACAAAGTGACATGCAGCACTGCACTACTCACATGTACTACATGTAAAACATCTCCATCCTTGCCTCCTTTACTGAAGGCAGTGAAGCCGGAGGCCACACACACAGAGAAATTGAGAAATTATATTACCACTGATACGGTGTCTTGAACATTGCTAGGACTCACTGATCTATGGTTTAATTTTAAAAGTATTAATTTTATGTGTGTTTTTTTTTTGTTGCTATGGCGATCTGCAGGGTCATAGCCACCCCATGGCACCCTACCTGTTGTTGTTACTGAGTGGAGTTCATGTTTCACATGCATAACAGTCATACATGCATGGCTATTGAATGGTCGGCTCTGGTGCGCATGTGCTGGACGGCAATCTATTTTAAAATATTACAATGGATGATCACCTAGTGCAACAACCATGACTATGAGTTTTAAGAACTCTACTCTATAGCGCTTTCTTAGACTAGGTGCTAATTTTGTCACTGCTCTGACCGCCAAACTGCTGGATATAAGGACTTGCTTTCTGCGGGTTTAATCACCACTGTATTCGACTTGAAAAGTAATAATAATCGGATACGAAAGACCTAGTCGAAACATTATGGCTTCTGTGCTGCGTGTGATGATTTGCTTTCCTTCAACCGAAAATCTATTCAACTCTAGCTATAATATATTGCTAGTGTTGTCACATTCCCATATTGCCATACTGAATAATGGAATGAGTGGAATGAGTGGAGTGGAGGCTGCGCTTGTACACCTACCGTGATACTGAGCATCACTGAGAAGTTTAGAAACAATTATGAACCCTCTGATTCTCTAAAGTGTCAGGAACGAACGACCACGCGGCACGAGGACAACTACTTCCTCTTAACGGTATTCAAAGTGCAGCCTAGGCGCCGACGACTTCCCCGCCAACCAACCTGCGACTGATTCCCCCACATCGCTCAGCGCATGGCTGAAAAGCTCTCAACGGTTCGGTTCCGCCCTGCCACGGTCAAGAGAGAACTCCGGCGCTTAAATGCATCGAAAGCTACTGGACCAGACGGCATTCCCGCGTGAATTCTGAAGATGTGTGCTGACCCCCTAAGTACACCACTCTCCAAACTGTTCTCCCTTAGCTTCTACGGCATGGTTATATCAAAAAGTATTCTTTCTAGACCAAAGAGTGGTATATTTGATAACATTAATTTTAATAACGATAGAAATTTTTACGATACTTCTCCAGACGTTTCGTTGTTCTGAACAACATCGTCAGTGGATAACGAATGGAGGGCTTTGGGTGGTGGCACGGGTAAATAGGGAGTGATGGTGGTGAGATGAGGTGAGGTGAGAAGGTGAAGGTGGGAAATACATGTATCTAAGTTAATGGTGAAGGTTAGGTGCGGGTCGATACAGGTGGGAAGGGGTACACCCTTCGGGTAGAAGTGTAGGTTGGTAGAAGGTGTTCGTGTGCGTAGAAGGTGGAGTGGCGTAATGGAAGTGTCGGGTTGATAAATGTGGGAGAGAGTCTAGGTAGGGTGTGGATCAGCAATAGGTGTTGGTGTATGTGGTGGGTAGAATTGGCAAGAGGTGTGTGTGTGTGTGTGTGAGAGTGCGAAGAAAAAAAAAAGTAAGGTAGTGAGTATTGGTAAAAAAAAAAAAAATTCTATCGTTATTAAAATTAATGTTATCAAATATACCACTCTTTGGTCTAGAAAGAATACTTTTTGATATTACAATGAGAGTGAATAATCAACGGCTTGTCCACCAACTCTTTGACTTTGGCATGGTTATGCCGACATCCTGGAAGACAGCTAGAGTCACACCCATTCACAAGAAGAAATCCAAAAACCTGCCTCAACATTACAAACCTGTGTCTCTGCTGTCTATATTCCAAAGTGATGGAAAGGATTGTCAATCGTCAGATAACCAGTTTCCTGGAGTCCCCCAATGTCATCTCCGCGAAACAGTTCGGGTTCAGAAAGGGCCTGAGCGCAGCTGACATCTTAACCAAGCTCCACTGTGAATGGTCCAGAGCAGCCGGCCTTGAAGAAGCCGCCCATGTTTTGGCGATAGATATAGCAGGCGCCTTTGATAAAGTCAGCCATGCTGGCCTGCTGCACAAGGCTTCCGTGAATGGTCTAGACGGCCCGCTTCTCGGATGGCTGGAAAGCTACCTGCACAACCGGCGCCTGCAGGCTGTTGTGGGCGGCCAATAGTCCTTCCTGCACCATATCCAAGCAGGAGTACCACAAGGTAGCATCCTTGGACCTACGTTATTCGTCCTGTATGTAAATGACTCCAAGGACACTATGCCTGCTGGTGCTGAGCTCGCCACCTATGTAGATGACACGACACTGTATCAGTGCATCTCTGCCACCGCCAGCATATCTGGCTCTGCAACACAACTCCAGGAAGCAGTGGACGCCGTCTCCCACTGGGGTTCCAAGTGGAAGGTCACCTTCGAGCCATCCAAATCTCAGGCCCTCATCATCGACCACCGCAAGCCTCCCCCAGCGCTCCCACCAGTGCTCTTCAATGGCGTGACTGTTCCCGAAGAGAAGGAAATTAAACTTCTGGGCGTAGCATTCGACTCGCAACTGACCTACTCAGCACACCTCCGGGCCGTGGCCTCAAAGGCTGCCCAACGCCTACACTTCCCGAGAAAGGTTGCACCCCTGTTGGACTGTTGGCCGCACGGCAGTCTACAAAGGCTTCGTGTGGCCAACAATGGAATACCGCTGCCTGGTGTGGATGGGGTCATGCACATCCAGGCTGGACAAAATACAGCACAAGGCACTGAAGGTGATTGGCCCAGGCGCCTGGCTCCCCAGCCTGAAACACCGCCGACTGGTTGCTGCGCTTTCGTTCACGTTCAAGCTGTCCTACCTTCCAACAACAAACCCCCTGAAGCCCATCCTCCCACCTCCAGCCAACCCCCGCCCAGTGGGTGGTCGATCCACTAGGTTAGCCACGGAGACCACTGCCACCCGCTCCAGCTGAAGTCGACGCTGCCCGTGCGCATTCGTAGCAGCCTCCAGGGTTCCTACCCAGACTGCATTAGGGAGGTTCTGCTCTATGTTTCGGGAATGCGACGCAAAGAATCACGCGAACTCACTTCGCGTTCCCGTAACGTAAAGAAATCCTGTTCTGCTCTACGCTTCACGTACAGAAGTCACGTGGAATGTGTACTGGGAATTTCCCCTTCCATGTTTGGCAGTTTTCTGCATGCAGTTGATCGATACCCAGCAAATCCGTACGCATTTTCTCTGCGTGTGCCACAACGTAGAGAACCTCATCTCCGCGTAGAAATCTGGAGCCAAAACACGCGAAGCTGTAGACTCTAACCCAGACACCTGCTCTCTACGTGATTTCTCTACGTTCATGTATAGCAGAACCTCTCTATAATTCCCTTGTGAAACAGCCTACCAGCGACCATTCTACCAGCACGGCCGCAACCCAGACAGCTCCAGTCCTTCAAGGAAAAATGCAACGAGTATCTGCTGCACCTGAACTGGCAAGCAGCCACTGACGCCCTATGAAACGGTTTAGACCAGCGCCTCACTAGCACCCCCCCCCCCCCTCCCCTTACCACAATGTGATGTTATCTTTCACTCTGCTTCTCTCACGACCATCTACCCATTGTCCTCGTTCCTGACTATTATTCATTTCCCCTCCTCCTCCCCTCCTCATGGTTTTACTGTATTATGGCGCGCTTTGTCTGCGTAGATGCCGAGATCTTTAAGGTCAGCAGAGCAGCCTGGCCCTGCCACCACTTCTCGCACATATTCGGGAATATAGTGGACTTTCGTATAAAAAATATTTTAAAAAATAGCGTATAGCACGCATGATGCATCAGAGGTACGGCGGAGTCGAAATACGACATTGAAAATAAATACAATGTCATAAGCGAGAAGGCCTTTCCCACTTGAGAACTTGTGGTTTGTGACAGTATGTGTGGTACTTCAGTAAACCGTGAATGCATGTGGCTGGTTCTCGCGAAGGCAGGGGTCCCTAGTAACATCGTAAACATCATCAAGTCGTTTCACACCTCCATGTCGGCTACCCTCTCCATCGGGTCAACACCCATCCAACCCATTGCAGTGAAGAGTGGTTTGCGGCAGGGCTGTTGTATGGCACCGGTTTTATTCAACATGTTCATGTGGGCTGTTTTCCAGAGATGGTCCAGAGTGGTCGAGCATGTGCCTGGTATCGGCGTCCCATTGGCACTCAATCCTGGGGGCTCGCTTTATTTCAAGAGAAAGCGTACTGACAATCAGACTACCATCAACGATTGCCAGTTCGCTGACGACTCTGCACTGTTTGCCACTACCCGTACTGCTGCTGTTCTTGCTCTGGATATGTTCATCGATGTCTCGTTTGCATTTGGTCTGACCGTCAATCTGGACAAGACCAAATTTATGGCTGTTGGCTATGGTATCGCGGATGATGACCGACTTCCTCTTCCTGTGAAGAATGGGACATTGGAATGTGTGCGTGAGTTCCGGTACCTGGGTGCTGTTATCCTGGCCGATCTCACAAAGATGTATCGACCCGTGTTTCATCTGCCTCCCGTGCTTTTGGAGCGCTCCGTCGTGCTGTCTTCAATAACCACAATCTCTCTCTGCGCACCAAGCGTCTGGTTTTCGAGGCCTGTGTTCTGTCCTTACTTCTCTATTGTGCGGAGACGTGGGTACCGCTGCAAAGTGATGTGTAACGGATCACATCCTTCTACTACTGGTCGCTTCTTTCTATCATGAGTGTTGCACAGTTGGATGTGTGGGACTTAAAGATAGCCCAGGACACAAAATCCTGCGTTCTGGGAACTTCTGGCACACTTCTGGCGCAGTGTGCAGTCGAGTCGAGTACAGTACTCAGTACGACTCAGGCGGACTGCAGATGCATAACAGATCTACGAGTACGAGTCTAGAAAAAAGGTCAAAGTCTGATGCGCATATATGCATCAATGGATCCTGATTTTTTTTATTACGGTTTTGCACGTTCCGGACGGACCACACTTTTCGAAAAGTGGTACGGCCATGGTCGTACCAGTCGTAGCGGGTGCTATGCCCCTGCTGAAAACATGGAATGCAGCAACCCCACTGGATATCCCCGACCGCCTCATGCAGAGAAGACTGGAATGGCTTGGGCACGTGGTGCGCATGCCTGAGGAGCGGATGTTGTTGTTTGGCACATTGCTGCCACCACGTCCAGCGTGTGGCCCGCGGAAACGATGGCGAGACGCAGTTAGGGTCGACCTGCGACGAATAAACATCGCCGATGAATCATGGTTTGACACAGCGCAGGAACGATCTGAGTGGCGGCAAGCTTATCGAGCAATACAACCAGCTCAGAAACCGACCCGGGGGATAGTCTGCGAGGTGTGCCAGCGTGCATTTGCTCGGCAGCAAGATATCACCCGCCACGAATGCATTATGGAACGGCGTAAACCAGTCCAGCAGCAAGCCAACAGCCGCCAGTGCTCCCAGAGTCACCGATGGTTTTCGGAGTGCGGGTGGCATTGCAGTCCATCGTTGTGCCCAGTCCAGTTCTGCCCCGAATGTTGCCAATGCCACAAGCTCTTCACCTGTACTCCTATGTATTTGGAAACCGTGCTGTCCCGCTCACTGTCCCATTAATTTTGTGAACGTTGCTGCAAGTCGATCCGGGGCTTTGCTATCCACAACTGCAACCGATCCACCAGGCGCCCAACTGCTGATGAAAGGGACAAGTATTAGTTCCAATTGCAATGTCAGAATTGCCAGAGGTGTTTCAAAAGGCGAAACGGCTTATCCCGTCACCAACGCTCATCTCCTCTCGTCTCCGTCTCGCTCTACGAGAAACACGTGACCTACATCATGGCAGTGTTTACCAGGACCAGCACCAGGGTAGATCTACATGGTGTGTGTGCGCATGCGTGCGTGTGTGTGTGTGTGTGTGTGTCACTGTGTGTGTGTGTCACTGTGTGTGTGTGTCACTGCGTGTGTGTGTGCGCGTGCGCGCGCGTGCATGTCAGTTTTAGACTGCAACAAAATTGTACTCTGCGAAACGATCAGTCCAATGCCACTTTTTAGTTGTGACCGGGTCAAGACAACATACATGTGTGTTCGATGGGGAGGGGGGGGGGGGGGGGGGGGACGCGGGGGTGTGAGAAGGTGAGAAGTGATTACTTGAAGTAATTACAAGATCTCACCTGGTTTTGATTGATTGGTTTCGGCATGAGGATTGTCCAAAGGCTGCGAGAGCCTATTGAGGAGATCTCCTGGGGCATGTACGACCTACATGTACCGGTATTGGAGTTGAAAACGGGAAAAAGCTAGTAGACAGGAAGTAAAATTAATAATAATAGACTGTCATCTATTCTTTGACCGCTTTCCGACAGACGATCGAGTCGTCAAAAAATAATTGATGACTCGATCGACTCAGCTCAAGCTAGCTCAGCTGATCAGATCATCTCATGCTCATGAGCACATCCATCAGATACTACAAAATTTATAGCTGGATTCGATGTAGATCTACATGTGCCATCCACGTGCAACATGCCCCGGCGATTCAAATGTTTTTGAAAGTGTCCTCACTGTCGACACGACTCACCGTGTCCACAAATCTCGATGACAGTCCAGAAGAGAACAAAGGACTTAGTTTTTTGTTTGTTTTCTTTCAAACAAGCATAGCAGAAGGTTTGCACGCCGTGGCATGATTTGCTCTCTGCAACGTATGTGTAGTCTGTAGGAAGTTTGCCAAGTAATTAGTTCCATGGACCATGATCGGACTCGGAGTGAGTGTTTAGTCTTACAATCAAATTTTGTTTTGCAGAAATCACATTCAATTTCACCAACACCTCAATGCACAGACAGGTTGATCTACTACGACTAGGTACTTCAGTGTCAGTCGTGAATTATCTCTGCAAGTGAATACGTATGGAATCGTAGGAGGACGTTTGGCCAATTGGTGGCAGTCGGCTCTATGCCAGGGTTTATATAATGGATGATCTTCTACGAGATTACACTCCATTCTCGTACTACCAGAAAAGAGTAACGTTGGCGGTATGTGTGGCATCTGCTCTAGCAGCACCTCAAGCAGCTATACTTGTGTTCATTGGATCTGTACCTGAGTGGCATTGCGCTGGCTCAGCAGCCAGTAGTAGCAATGCAGCAGCAGCAGCAGCAGTAGCAACAGCAGCTGCTCAGGGGCTAGGCAATCATACTGCTGATTGGCAACATAATGATATTCCGGGCGTTATTGACTCTTCGCCAACTCAATGCCAACGATTGGCAAGTGGATCCTGCTCTCCGGTATACAAACATCGACTGGCCAGTGCGAGTAGTGAGGTAAGCCATACAGACAGTACTGATTGACTGGGGTGAGGGCGAGGGGTTAGTTCCTCATCTCATGGGCCGGCGTTACATACAGTTACACAGCCCAGACACAGACATGTCTACAAAGCATTTTGGCTGCCAATGCTTTTCATTTGCGAACAGGGCGCTTACTTGTGGCCACCATATATCATAATACAGTGCTGCCAAACCGTCTGATTTTTCGGACAGTGTCCGATTTGTGAAGGCTCTTCTGAAAACCGGTCCGAGAAAGAATACATCCAAAGAGCAGCGAAGAATGTCAGGGATCAGTGCTTTCCTATGCAGAAGTCCTGTATTTTCATTTTTCAGCGCAACTGAAGGCACAAATCACTGTACATTAAAGGGGAAGTGCATCGATTTTTCGAGTAGGGTCCAGAAGAAAGACAATTTGATATCGGTTCGAATGGCATATCTCTCGCTTTCATACGATAAGCCAAACTTGCCAAATCGCCAATTGTATACTCACGTTGCCATAGCAACCAGCGCAGTGATGACGTATGAAAGGCTTAGCTCCACCACAGAGAAGGTCGATCACTGCAGAAATTGGTCATTTTCAATTGGTTTATTGTATTCACGAAGTGAAAGAAGGGCTGTGTTCAATGCTGTTAGTTCAGTGAACTGTTTGTTGGTATTCCTCTCGGTTGTGTTCTGGGACGTGACACCGGCGGGAGAAAGCTGGAGTGCGGAGACATCAGCAGACAGGCGAAAATAGTGACGAACAAAATGCTGAAATCTTGGTTGGGACAAATCACATGTTCAGCATTCCCCCAACCAAGGACCATGCAGTTTGCTCTTTCCACTTCCTGAAGATAAATGTGATGGTTCCTGGCGACTCTCCTATCTCTCGTAACATCTTCTGAGCCCAGGTGAGACGACGGGTGGTGGAGATTGACGAATGAAAATTAATAATGTCGTAGGTTTGAAAGTTTGCTAAAAATGTCTCAGGAGAGATGGCGAATACCAAGCATCTTCTCCTAGAGGAAACCGTTTCCTAGGCACAGTCAGCCTAGGGAAATGCAGGAGAAGGCCGATAAACAGTTCACGGCACTAACAGCATTGAACACAGCACTTCTTTCACATCGTGAATACAGTGAGATGACCATTTTCTGCAGTGATCGACCTTCTCTGTGGTGGAGCTAAGCCTTTCATACGTCATCACTGCGCTGGTCGCTATGGCAACGTGAGTATACAATTGGCGATTTGGCAAGTTTGGCTTGTCGTATGGAAGCGAGAAATATACCATTCGAACCGATATCAAATTGTCTTTCTTCTGGACCCTACTCGAAAAATCGATGCACTTCCCCTTTACAGGTCTACTCTCCATATAACGTAATCTCTGGGACCACGCACAAATTATGTTATATCGAGAGTTATGTTATGTAGAAAACCGTGTGTAAAATACAAGATGTACCTCAAAATGAAGGGTATTACAAGGCGGGTTTAACCGTGCAAACATATACACACGGTACCACCATCGACATCAGATACCATCAATGCCGCAGAATATATGCACAATAGGACTAAACTGGCTAGCTACGGCTACAGCTTGATCGTACCGCGCACGTGAATCGACGTTGTATCGAGAGTGCGCACGTCGGGGACCGCGCCACAGGGTGCGTTATGCCGAGGTTTACGTTATGTAGGACTAAACTGCCTAGCTACAGCTACCGCTTGATCGTACCGTGCACGTGAATTTATGTTGTATCGAGAGTGCGCACGTCGGGGACCGCGCCGTAGCGTGTGTTATGTCGAGGTTTATGTTATGTAGGATTATGTTGTGTAGAACAAAATTTGTATGGGAGTGATGCTGTTTCGGCGCGGGATTTGATTTTTTTACTTACTAGCGAGGTTTATGTACAAGTGAGAGTTGTTATATCGAGAGCAGACCTGTAATTAACACGCCTGGATGGCATGTACCGTAAAGTACCGTTGATCTGCCCCCTCTCTAATTCGGGCCCCTGTCAATTTCTACCTGTGAAGCGATTTTGGCGTATACAACAATAATACGATGTTGAACCGACGCATGCACTGCTGTACACAATATTTGCCAATCCAGGATGAAAATGTGCACAATCCAGGACATCGAGTCTGAACTTCTACGTTGTTGTACATCGTACTGCACTTGACAGCCTTGATCTAATTCCCTCCCCCTGCCGAAAACCCAGCTGGGAAGCAACATAGCGTGGGGGGCGGATCAAGGGTACTTTACGGTACATACACGGTGCAGTGTGTAACCACTCTCATGCATTACAAAATCCATGACAACTTCGGAGCTCCTTATCAGTTACCAACTTACCATGGCAATGAAGCGAATTTTTTTCTTGGTATTTTGGGCGACATTTTGAATTATCTGGAAAAATTTGCTGAGAAGAATTATTCGTGCCATGTGGCCAGCCTTGGCGATAAAGGGTATACCGGTATCAGATTTTGGGCAAAAAATTATTTGGCAGCACTGCAAAGTGTGAAAGGGTTATATTAGGCTATCGCCAACATCCTCTACAATGATTCTACTTTTTTAAAGTCCGTATAAGGAGCCAAAAGAGGTTGCAAAGAGTCAGAAAAAAGAAAATAGGCCCAAATACAGGCAAAACAAGCCCAAATACAGGCAAAACAAGCCCAAATACAGGTGAAATATGCACTGTCATGCAGGTTCACACACACGCAACGGGAAGACTTCGTGGTAGTAAGGCCAAGTAAAAAAAAAAGCTAGATGATCGTCCCCGTCCGCCCCAGTTTTTGTCAGCGCCCCAAGAAATATTTTATTTTTTAAATCGTGAGTTTTTGCCGAAATCGTTGGTTTTTTACCGATCGCGGATGCAGGAAACATGTGCACGCTTTGTTTAATACTTTCTTTACTATATGGACCACATACTACTAGTATATCACGTCAGTATCGATCTGCTGAAGAAAGAAAAAGAAAAAAAGAAAAAAAAAGAAAAAAAGAGAAAAAAAACCTTGATGTTGTTGTGTACACTGTGTGCATGAGAGGGTAAAAAGTAAAAAAATAAAAATAAAATCCTCCCGCCCTCCCCGATTTTTCCAAAAAAAAGGACGATCATCTAGTAATTTTTTTTACTCGGCCTAAAATAGATTTTAGAGATTTCGCAAACAACAAAAGGCAACCCTTTCTCTTCCTTTCGAAGAGCCGAACTTGCCGAGCCCATGGAAAAACAAACTCTGAAAATACCTATGCTAGTACGGGATTCAGCGCAGAGCAAAACATATGAGTCATGATACAATGTAGCCGTGAACACTGGTGAACAAAGAATGCAGTAGCTTGGCAGCACGTGACCCGTCGTACCGCAGTACGCGACGGCGTCGCGGCTGGGAAATGAAAGGAAACACTGCGAGAAAAGACAAAACGAAAATACATGTCCCTTTGTCAAAACTTAGAAGAAACAAACACAATGCGACCAAGAATCTTTTTGAGAGTCAACGTCAATACTCTTGTGCAGTTGTGCAAATTCTTGTCTTGCACTGTGCAACGCAAGAAACAAACAACCCACGAAATGACTCGTGAACTAACTGTAGGCTAAATCACTACATGTACGCGAAATTGCGTTCCAAAATAAACTGAACTTTCTGAGACATTTCATATTTCACATCCTGAGAGAAATATTGAATAAATAGTAAATACATAATAAAAAAAACATATGGCCACGACGGCCTTCCCAACATGCACATTAGGCAGTGAGTGCTTACTGCTTAGCCTGAATAACCTCTGCTTGTATTCTTGATTTCTGGTGAGAAATTTAGGCTGACCTTGATTTGCAGCATTTGGCCATCCTCAGACATTGCCCGTTTGGACTTTTCCATGTTTTCACCACATGCAGGTATAACACAGTCTTGCGTTATTTGCATCTGGGACAAATTTTGGCCAGCGATTCACTTTGGCTGGTTGGCACCAAGTGGCGAAATCAGAAAAAACCATTGACGGCAAAAACTGAGTTGATTTCCATTTTTACAATAATGTCACTGCTTGCTGAGTTAGGGGGCGTTCGTTTTTGATCTACAGGTTTGGGTAGAAACTACTTCTTTCGGTAGAGGTGTTCGTTTTTTGAAAAAAAATTCTACTCAAAAGGGTAGATTCTACTTTCCTCTACTGGCTCTACCGGGAAAAAGTTGGTAGAATCCGGTAGAAGTTGGTAGAGCTACGGGATTTCCAGCAACATCAAGGATTTGTACACAACTCCATACAAAAAAGAAACATTTCACGTACACATCGTGTAAACTACTAGATCTGGTAGAACAGCGTTCGTACACTTGCCTCTACCATCTACCTCTATCGGTAGAGTAACTCTACTCTACTCTACCAGGTAGCTAAAAACGAACGCAGCCTTAGGAGTACTGTAAACCGCCTAATATTCGCGTCACTAAATTTTCGCGATTTCTTAGAACCAGCGAGTTTGCGGTGGCAAAAGTTCGCGAAGCACCGGGGCCACCTACATACACCAACTGTTGAAGCTTGATTTCACGCTGGTTAATATTCGCGTTATGCTCTTCTCGCGAAAATAGCGAACATTAATCCGTCGCGAGTATTAGGCAGTTTACAGCATTATAGTCAGTGTATTCTGATTTCATCTGCCAGAAGATACGTGTACTGTAAGACCCGTGTACTGTAAGACCCGTGTACTGTAAGACCCGTGTACTGTAAGACACGTGTCAACAAACAATGGATCACTCGTAGTGTTTTGCTACTCTGTAAGACCAGTAATGCTAACGAACATTTAATTCTAACAAGTTCACGGATTTGAAAGAATCGTGAATTTAACTTTTGAAGTCGTTATGTTCAAAATAGTATGTACATGTACAGTCATTAGCCGGTTTTGAGACAGAATTCGTTAGAATTTCAGTGAAAGTCACCAGTGTTACTAGTCCGGCACTGTACAATGTCATGTACATTCACACTGGGTTCTTCAAGTCTCTAAACACCAGGACTCTAGTCTAGCCTCTACAGGCTGCACATTCAAACACATCACTGGTTTTATACCCATCTCCAGGGCTGTAGCACTGGGATTTCAGGTGGTCCGGCCAAATGGGATGCTTGACCGGAAATAAACATTATTGACGAAACCTTGAACCCCAACTTGTCGGAAGGCTACCTTCTTGCCAAAGCATTTGGAAGTTGGACTAGTTTCGGCTTCACAATCCAGAGTGTTGTTACTATAATATCTTTCATGGCTGAGGTTGTTGGTACGTCTGTTGGCTCTGGGTTCCCAGTACTCAGTAGCCGAGCCTGGTTGGTAAAGTAACTCCAATTTCACTTCAAGGTACCAGTGCATCTAGTGTCTGCTTCTATCAAAGCAGCGTGCCGTCTATACTGGTTACCCCAGCAAGTGTAGGGTGTGCATAGGTAACTGTCTTGGCCGTTTTATGCCGATGTACTCCGTGTGGTGTAGACCAGGTGTGAATTGGTGGTCGATTCACATGGCTTCGCCAGTTGTGTGGATTAGACAGTTATCTGGCGCAAGTCTTGATCTGTCTCATTCAGACCTTGTTCGCTATCGTTGCTATAAGAGAAAATCTGTGGATCCAGTGCATTTGCAGATTTGCGTGCTTCTCTTGCGACGGGTGTATACATGGTACATGGTACATGGTGTGTGTGTGTGTGTGTGTGTGTGTGTGTGTGTGTGTGTATGTGTGCGTGCGTGTGCGTGTGTGTGTGTGTGTGTGTGTATGTGTGCGTGCGTGTGTTGTAGTTTGGTCTAATATGCAGCCATGCGACCGACTCAAGTTATGCACAATCGCTGTATTTTGTGGGAATGTTGCTGGGTAGCTGGCTGGCTGGTTGGAGTTCAGACGCTTACGGCCGACGAGCTGCCATCTTGGTTGCCATGGTGTTCTTCTCTCTTGGCTCACTGTGGACCATGTTGTCGGGATCATTTGGTTCGTTTGCCATATCCAGACTAGTCACAGGTACAGTCTACAGTCTACAGTGTATGCATGACTTATACCTGCAGTAACCATGGCAACTGAGTAAGGCTTTATAGTGCATGCTGGGTTTTTTGACACATGTACAGTGCTAGTGATCACGTGGGCATTGGGCATATGCCTAGTGTTGGCAAGATACAGCCCGGGTAACTGGGTAATCTGTCCCAGGGGAAGCTGATAAACGCCCCCCCCCCCCAAAAAACACAATAATTTGTGATTTTTTGGAATTTTTTGACATCGATCAGAAAGGAAAGGCGATAACTATGCAACAGTTGGTCTAAATCCCTTCGAACTGGGGATTTGCATGCCCACACTGAGTTTCTGTCAGAGAGTGCTTTTTTTATTACTCCGCTGCTCGCTAAAAACGGGCTGGAAACGTACAACTGCGACGCTGCACCACGTGATGTGAGTTTTTGCCCTCGGCGTACCCCATAGAAAGGGTATCAGTACTCTTGGTATATGTAGTAGCACAGTATTGTACATGTATGAGCAAGAGTACATAAACCAGAGTGTGCAACTGTGCATATCAGATCTGAAACAGCGCAGTTCGTGCACTACGTCACCCTGATGAGGTCAGCCAAGCCGCGACTTGCGTACAGCTCAAATTGTCGTGTTTCATAGCCCGGAAATCAGCCAAGTTTGCTTGATTTTAGACATCCTGTTTCAGGATTTCGGTGTTTTTGTGCGACTGTGTACGCTGCGTACATCCACCGACAAGTAAATTCACCAGACTATCCCTATCAAAAAACCGAAATCAGGACAAACTCAGTGGCCTGCACCACCGTGACTGGTTACGCAACTTTTCACCGTACCTGTGGCTTACCATGCCGTCAGAAATGACGTACTGCACGAATTACGCTCCCACAGGAACCATCCCGAGTTGCACACTCTGGTTTATGTACTCTTGGTATGAGTCATTGCATCATTACCATCAGTTACCTCTAAAACCATATCAATGGCGGGTTCAAGTGGCCGGTAAATAAATACATGGAATGGAAGTACAATAGTTGGTCGGTTGCTTACTGATGTCGGTGAAAGTAGCGGCCAAAATGGTGGCGCCAATTTTCGGTAAAATCACAAAACTTTGGGTCCAATCACTCCAATGATCCCCGCCCCGTTCACTTTTGTTCTGGCTCTAACCCTGCGAATGTCACTGTCTCACATGTATGGATTCATACTACAGTGTACAACACCGGAACTGATGTAAATCCCAAGTGGCAATATTGTCATGACTGTGTCCTGACTGTGACATAGCAGTACAGTCAACTTCGCTTATAACGACATTCTGCGGGGCATTAAAAAAGTGTTCTTATTCGCGAAGTGTCGTTATACCCTAAGTCTCATTATATGTATTACAGTTGGAAGGGACTTTGCTCTGGGCATGGAAATGCTGTCGTTATTCGCGAATTGTCGTTATATCCGCAGTCGTTATTAGCGAATTGTCGTTATATCCGCAGTCATTATTAGCGAAATTGACTGTACTTTCCAGCCCTGTAGTGTGTAGTCTGCACTTTGTCACCATGGCAACTGCTAACCTGTGTTTGAACACTGGTGCACTGGCAACTGAATTATGATTGTGTTTGTTGTCTTCAAACTACAGTGTAGCACCATATCTGACAACCTCATGCTTCCTTATGTAAAACAAGTGATAGGGTATCGTTTAATTGCGATATCTCTCATTGTTTTGTCTTCTCGAAAGCACCAGCGTCGTTAGTGGATGTTGTTCTTATTGTTGGTGGCGATGGCGGTCATTTTATGTTTTCTGCGCAGGTATTGGTGTAATGTGTCTTGGTGTGACCAGCAACGTGTTAGTCAGTGAATCCGTGGCCCCGGCTCATCGAGCACTGACTACAACATCGTGTAACCTCTTCTTTAGCATTGGCTTAGCCGGTCTCTCTCTATTAGCAAGCTATAACTCAGCAAGCTGGAGAAGGCTGATGGGCGTACTGACTGTGCTGGCATTCTCCGCTAGTCTTGTTGTATACATGTAAGTATTGGGCAGCAAGAATACGAGGATGAAAAAAGTGTTTTTACTCCGAATTTCATGCACTAAGCAATCAGAACTAGCTATTGAGCACTCTATTGGGCAGCCTGGAACCTCTCTGTTTTGTAAGTATTGGGCATTCAGTTCTGCAGTATATTAAGTTATTCAACAGCGTCTGGTCCTGAGGCCAGAGAGGGTGCCGGATAACTGACACGCATCTGTACACCGTGTCAAATGTTTCAAAACTTTCCTCGTTTAATACAATAAGTATGTGTGTGTGTGTGTGTGTGTGTGTGTGTGTGTGTGTGTGTGTGTGTGTGTGTGTGTGTGTGTGTGTGTGTGTGTGTGTGTGTGTGTGTTGTTTGGTTGTGTTGCTAACAGTTGGGTGAGTGAGTCTCCATTTTGGTTGCTGGCGAACAAGAGACACGACCAGCTGTCGGTGATGTTGCAACGCTGGGCGGCAAGGTCTGGTAAAACCATCCCAGACAGACTGTTGGAAAACTTGAGTTCTTCCAAAGAGAAACTGGTTGAAAGTGATGATGAATCCCACCAATCACCGTCTCACCGCTCAACAGTACATCTTAGTTCACTGCTAGTCTTGCCTGTATTTCGATGGCACACACTATCAGTGCTCTGGGCATGGTAAGTCACACACTATCAGTGCTCTGGGCATGGTAAGTCACACACTATCAGTGCTCTGGGCATGGTAAGTCACACACTATCAGTGCTCTGGGCATGGTAAGTCACACGCTATCAGTGCTCTGGGCATGGTAAGTCACAGTGACTGCTCTTGGTCTATCAACTCTTTTTCAGAAACTGTTCTCATGATGCCAATGTGGGTGTTGCTGTTCTCCTTTGTTTTGCTAAGAGTGACGATGACGGTGGGGATTAGTCTTCTAAAAGTGACATTGATATTGTGGGGAGTAGCGAAGAGTACATAACCAAGAGTGTGCAACTCAACGATCTCTCAGCTCACATCGGAGCTGACATTAGTCTTTCACGGCCATTTAATTCACCCGTATGCCATCATGCATAGCTAGAGTTTGATAGCGCAAAGAACTGTTACTTGCACGTTGCTGCTACTGTAGTCAGAGCAAAACAGCTAACTGTTGATACATGCATCCTGAACCTAATACTATAGTAAATTGACACCGCATCTACAAGACAAATGCGGAAAGGCATACGCACTGGATCATACTTCTGCCGAAAGACGATGCAATGAAACATTCCGCCGCGGTTGAGTCCATCGCAGGTCCAGATAGGCACAGTCTTGGTAATTTACTCTTGCTGATAGTACAGCTTATAGCTGCTATATGTGTGCTTGAAACTGCTCTCCTAGTGTAGTGATTCCTTGTTTCACATCTGTGTTATTGCATAGTTTGTATTTCCGAGTTATAGACGATTCTGAGGTACGCACATCCTCCGGTCAGATACGGGAGGTTTTACATGCACCGTAAAGTACCACGAGAGCGCCCACCATCTCGTCCTTTCGTGGTCGTCTTGTGGAGGTGGTTTCCTGTCTGTAGGTCATACGACGCGGACCGTGTACACACATTGCAGCCAATCCATATCCGGTTTACCTTCGAGCGGATGCGACCTCCACATAAAAAACATGCCAAGTGTGACCTTAGTACACGAACGTTCTCACACCGTACAAACTTACTTGTAGTAGCATTCTGCCATACGATTTTCTTCCCTTGGCTGTAAAATCAAGGTGGGGCGCTCTCACGGTAGTTTACGGTTCTGTATTTTGAATGTGTCTGTGGGTATGTGTGTGTGTACATGTGTGTGTACGCGTGTGCACGTGTGTGTTTTTGTTGTTCAGGTTCACAGTGTGTATGATGTACTACGGTCTGACGTTACACGTGGAAGGTGTTGGCAGTAACAAATACATTAGTTTCTTCTTCATGGCTATAGTTGAACTTCCAGCTTTGCTTATTGCCATTGTTGTGCTAAAGTACATCGGTCGGAGAACCTTCATCTTCTGGACAATGGTGATGACGACAGTCTTCTGCACTCTATCCTCGTTCATAGCTAAATGGTCCACACAAGTCAACGGTACGTGTATTTATGTGTACTGTACTCTCTTCCCCTGACAATTCACTGGTTCAATGCTTCATGTGCCGGGTCATGAGTTCCTCTCTTCATTTGTAATTTTTGTTGTTGTTTGTTTGTTGTCGGTTTCACGCACTGCAAAATACTAAATACTAAGTAGGGAGGTTTAGCTACACACGACGGATATGCTAACGCCGGGGTGACTTACTTCTGCAGTGTAGTATTTAGTCACACAAATTCAAAAATAGTTCAAATACGGAGGTGGACCTGGTGTTACCGCCGCAAATGAATATTATGATGAGAGGTTGGGTACAGGAGACAGCAAAAGCCCATCAAAGTGAACTCTGGGTATAGTTGGGTCGATCGTGGTTGGCTAGTGGATTTTTTCGTGATCTGGAAGTGTTTCTAAAGACGAGGCTTGACAACTGGCAGTTTGTGATTTCGGCATGCGTGTTTTACTTGTAGGCGACGGTGATGTACATATGGACGTATGACCACCTTCCCTTTTCTGCTTGAGCCCCTCACATTTTATGATTTTATCAACAGCGGTGGCAGGAAAGAGTTCGAAACAGCAGTCTCGCTCTGCATGCGACAACAAACAAAACGAAAGAGAAGATGAAGATTTGAAGGCAGCCATACTGACAGCATTAATGATTTTTTTGCTCACGCGCAAAATATGTTAAAATTGGAAGTTAAGGCTAAAATCAAAATTTCACCAGTTGTAGTCTTCAGGGTGCTGAGTCGAATGGTCTTGGTCCGAGAAAGCTGAGACGCTCCCTTCCTACTTGAATCCCAATCGAACTCGCGCACTTCCACCGAAACTGGGTGACTGCGCCCTACTAGATGGGGATTTGTATGCAAAATGTCACTAAAAGCGCCATGTCGTTCTTATAAAAGCACGGATGACCGCGAGTGGCCCATATGTTGTAGTCTTTTGGACGCTGAGTCGACTGGTTTTGGTCTGAAAAGGCTGCGATGCAGCGTTCCTCCTTTATTCCCAATCGAACATGGTTGAACAAGCGGTCACGTGCTACTGGGTGCCCAAATCACCTGATCACCACGCCAGCAGGCGACAACTTTCACACCAAGGTTCAACTCGAGTTCAACTCGAGTGACAGGACTGCACCCAAAAAAGGTCAAACAGGCTAGTAAGTTGTACCCTGCAGGCACGGTGACCAGGTGACTGGTGTACGCAGGAGCACGTGACCGCTTCTTCAACCATGTTCAATTGGGAATAAAGGAGGAACGCTGCATCGCAGCCTTTTCGGACCAAAACCAGTCGACTCAGCGTCCAAAAGACTATAACATATGGGCCAATCGCGGTCATCTGTGCTTTTATAAGAACGACATGGCGCTTTTAGTGACATTTTGCATACAAATCCCCATCTAGTAGGGCGCAGTCACCCAGTTTCGGTGGAAGTGCGCGAGTTCGATTGGGATTAAAGTAGGAAGGGAGCGTCTCAGCTTCCTCGGACCACGACCATTCGACTCAGCAACCCGAAGACTACAACTGGTGAAATTTTAATTTTAGCCTTAACTTCCCCTTTAACACAGAGGACGCATGCTCGGTTCCCAACAAACTCTCACGCACTCATTGTTCTGCTGCTGATGAGACCCAACAGGGTCGAAACAGCTAGCTGTCCGAGTGGAGATAGTGCTCACATTTATGTATGGGTGTGTATGGTGTGCTGTGTGCAACCATACACTGTATTCATCTATGTATGTCATTGTGTATGCTGTGCTGTGTGTTACCCTGTATTATGCTCTCCTACTAGTATGTATGTGTATGATGTGCTGTGTACAATTCTACATTGTGTTTATCCAACTCAGATAATGACAGTACACACATGAAAGAGACGATAGCTAACTGGCAGCTTGCAGTGTCAATCTGTGGGAAATTCTCATCGTCAGCCGTCTTCTCAATTCTCTACACATATTTACCAGAATTACTGCCCACGCCGGTTAGGTTAGTATACAAATAACATCGTCAATAAGGATCTCGATGAAGCAATTCCACCTCCACCGAACGCACTCTCTGGCTGACCTCACACACCAGCAACAACATGGCTCCAAGCTGTAGATACTGAGAAATAGTTTTTTCCTCCATACAGCGCTGTTTCCACCAATATAGGTCTCATCAGTGAAGGTTGAGAATAATGAATGGCTAGAATTAATTTTCAAAGCACAGTTTTATACAAAGAATGAAATGAACTGATGAGACCTATAGTGGTGCAAACAGCAGCGCTGTATGGAGGAAAAACTGTTTGTCAGTATGTACAACTTGGAGTCATGTTGTTGCTGGTGTGTGAGGTCAGCCAGAGAGTGTGTTTGGTGGAGGTGGAATTGCTTTATTGATAAACAGGCTAAGAGCTGCTGCTTACCCTTTGGATAACGATCTCGGGTACAACATACATGGAACTCATGAATATCATCACTATCCTCAGACCTAGTGGTCACTTGACTGCATACTGTCAACGTGACGATTATGAACAACTCGCGGATAACATCATTTTTGCTCATGCACGATCGATGGCGATTATTCGCAAGGTTGGCTGTACACCACGTCTTTGCAGTATCGTGCAGCACAGTGGCACAGCGGCATCGTCGCTGAATCAGTTGATCCAGTTTTACCAAACCACTTTTTGGTCTGCATGTTCATGTATGCATGCATACATGAGCACTGCATGCATACATGAGCACTGCATGCATACATGAGCACTGCATGCATACATGAGCACTGCATGCATCCATGAGCACTGCATGCATACATGAGCACTGCATGCATACATGAGCACTGCATGCATACATGAGCACTGCATGCATACATGAGCACTGCATGCATACATGAGCACTGCATGCATACATGAGCACTGCATGCATACATGAGCACTGCATGCATACATGAGCACTGCATGCATACATGAGCACTGCATGCACACATGAGCACTGCATGCATACATGAGCACTGCATGCATACATGAGCACTGCATGCATACATGAGCACTGCATGCATACATGAGCACTGCATGCATACATGAGCACTGCATGCATACATGAGCACTGCATGCACACATGAGCACTGCATGCATACATGAGCACTGCATGCATACATGAGCACTGCATGCATACATGAGCACTGCATGCACACATGAGCACTGCATGCATACATGAGCACTGCATGCATACATGAGCACTGCATGCACACATGAGCACTGCATGCATACATGAGCACTGCATGCATACATGAGCACTGCATGCACACATGAGCACTGCATGCACACATGAGCACTGCATGCACACATGAGCACTGCATGCACACATGAGCACTGCATGCATGCATGAGCACTGCATGCATACACGAGCACTGCATGCATACATGAGCACTGCATGCATACATGAGCACTGCATGCATACATGAGCACTGCATGCATACATGAGCACTGCATGCATACATGAGCACTGCATGCATAACTGTTACATGATGCATTGACCTCATAATTATAGCCAAGAGTGTTGCGGTTCAGTCTTCTTGAACTGCTAGTGAGCACAGTTTTCTAGGTCTTGATCCAAGGGGCGTGGCCATAGAGGCTATTGCCCGTTGACTTCATCTTTTGTGTTGTGGTGTAAGTTAGCAAGCCAGAATAGTCCAGGGCTCTGTCATTCATGTACTGCACATCTGTACGACATGGTGCATGCTTGATATCCTTGTTACTGGTCTTAGCATTACACACTTCTCTAGCTATGATACAACTGTGGTACAAAAGTAACCGGATTAGAGTTTATGTTTAGCTGCTAATAGCAAGCTTCACAGCTTCTCCATGCTCTTTCTAACACTGTGTGGAGTACATATCCGAGTGGATCCAAAGGTTAGCACTGTCACCACTCCGGCCTGGCTATGATGGTGTGACTTCAAGCCCTCTGTAAGGCTGTGTTTACATGAGAAATTTCAACCCGGGTTGAGCTCAGCCCGGGTTAAAAGTCTATACGATAGACAAAATAGGTGAGCATTTACATGAAGACAGTTGACCCGGGTCAAATATTGATATGCCGCCAAAAAGTCCACTTCTAGAGTCCTGTATGGTCACGTGAATACTTTCGCGTGAAATTTTCATGTGCAGTGCTATTCAAACCTGGCACGGGATACGCACAGAAGTACGTTTGTACGATTTTCTCGACCCGGGTTGAACTCAACCCGGGGCGAAATTTCAACCCGGGTCAAGCGCAATGCGTCATGTAAACGCGCCATTCATTTTGTGTACAAGGTGAGTTGAAATCTGACCCAGGTTGAAGCGCCTCATGTAAACACAGCCTAATCTGCTTGCTCCGTGTGTGTGTGTGTGTGTGTGTGTGTGTGTGTGTTCGTGCACGCATGGTCGTGTGTGTGTGTGTGTGTGCACGTGTATGTTTGTTTTATTCACGTGTGTCCACAACTGTCCACAGGACAAGCGGCCTTGGTGTGTGCGTGGTTGTGTCCCGATTGGGTGCTATCATATCACCATTTGTCCTGGCTTGGGTAAGACTTGTGTGTGTTTGTGAAATATACCGGTACTGAAGTACCTTCATCTATGATGAAAATCAAACTAAACAGGCTCTGGTGTCTCAATGAGCTTTGGCTGTTGTTGTTGTTTCAAATTTTCATTCTCACGATATCCAGTGGTCAATAAGAGTTGTTGTTGTTGTTGTTGTTGTTGTTGTTGTTGTTGTTGTTGTTGTTGTTGTTGTTGTTGTTGTTGTTGTTGTTGTTGGTGTTGTTGTTGTTGTTGTTGTTGTTGTTGTTGTTGTTGTTGTTGTTGTTGTTGTTGTTGTTGTTGTTGTTGTTGTTGTTGTTGTTGTTGTTGTTGTTGTTGTTGTTGTTGTTCTCGTTATGTATGCTTGTGCCTGCCTACATGTGTGTGCCTATGGGGTGTGGGGTGTGTGTATGTGTGTGCCTAGGTGTGTGTTTGTAGACAGATTCTTGCCAGTGTGGTCTTAGTTTATCTTGTGAAATGCGGTGGTCTTCAGCATTGCAAAAGTCCTCTGATCCCGAGAAAGCCAGTAATTGAGTGTTATTGTGTTGGTTGAGCTGTAATCATGACTTTTATTATTCATGTCTTTTGTTGCCGTGACGATCTGTAGGGTCACAGCCACCCCATGGCTCCGTACCTGTTGTTCTCAGTTTGTGGTGCAATAGCGTGTGCTGGAATATACCGATTACCGGAAACCAAGGACAGGGATTTACCAGAGACGTTACAGGACTTGCACCAACTGGTGACTAAAGGCTGAGCGGCCGCTGACAGACATCTACATTGTGCACAAACACACACTGGCTGGCATAGGAACACTGCTTGCATATGCTTCTGGTGCTGGCGCTGGTGGTAACTCAGGACTAGTCTAATACCGTCACTGGCACCGCCGCAGACTGGAGACTGCAGAGTGGAGACTGCAGACTGGTGAGTGGAGACTGGAGAGACATGAAGAGATCCAAGTTAGTAGCAACGCCGGTGTACAAGTCAGTACAGTGTAAGCATACGCACCGGATTCATGCCTGCTGACTGCCCAGGTCTTGATGGCTGCTGACTGCCCAGGTCTTGATGGCTGCTGACTGCCCAGGTCTTGATGGCTGCTGACTGCCCAGGTCTTGATGGCTGCTGACTGCCCAGGTCTTGATGGCTGCTGAATGCTCAGGTCTTGAATTCATGGCTGCTGAATGCTCAAGTCTTGAATTCATGGCTGCTGAATGCTCAAGTCTTGAATATATGGCTGCTGAATGCCCAGGTCTTGAATACATGGCTGCTGAATGCTCAGGTGTTGGATACGTGGCTGCTGAATGCTCAGGTGTTGAATACATGGCTGTTGAACGCCCCAGGTCTTGAATACATGGCTGTTGAATGCTCAGGTCTTGGACTCTTGGCTATTGAATGCCCGTGTCTGTTGTATTTGCGAGCCAACCAGTGAACTTGTCTGACTATATTTCCTCGGCTTCACATTCTCCAAATGTGTAATAAGCTGGGGCTGCCGTCATATCAATGGAACACGTTTATGATCAAGGTGCGTATGATCAATGGAACACGTTTATGATCAAGGTGCGTATGATCAAGCCGGTGCGTAGTACTCTCTCTGCTCACTTTGTGTTTTACTATGTACGTAGGTGTGTGTACGCGCTCTATCATACATTCTGCTTGCGTGTGTTGGGAACGGGGAGGGGGTTCGTTGCCTCCGCATGCGCAATGAGGGAAATCTTCTTGAATGATTCAGTACTTCATTATTCCACAAAGCTATCACTCTCGGGGCTGCCACTTGTTCTGATTTTCGGAATTGCTTTAAAGACATTGTTCCGACAAACCGACCGAAAAGCTGCCGCACTGTCTCACTTGAACTGTTCACGAAAGTGCCTGTCGTTTCGGTCCTTGAAATCCTAAATATGCGTTGGCTTCTAAAGGGGGCATTACCCTTGCCCTCAAAGGGGCTGTGACCGGGGGCCAGACCCCCCCCCCCCCCCCTTCAGATTTCTACCAACCCTGCACTCTTGGTCTTGTTTGCTGAGACAGTGAGAGTCAGTGTGGTGTGCCATGCAGAGCTACAGTTGCATGTCTGAGACACACGGGGATCCTGCGGCAACTTTCAGTCATGCTAAGTGCTACTACAGTAGTAGAGTCCTGGAGTGGGTGCTTAGGCCCTCATCAGACTACGTACATAGAAAATCCAGTACAAAATCACATAAAACCTAAAAGGCAACATTTTTCCATGCCTGCATTCAGACCACACATTTTACATGCAATAAAATTGCGCAAGGGGCCTGGGATGTGTGAAAGCAGCGGACAGTCGTATCCGGGTACAAAGTTCGTACAACTGCCTGGTGAAAGTACGATAAATGCAGGAAAATTGCCTTGTACAAGGGTTGGCACCCTGCCTGAAAGGATTGGGCAGCTTTTTAGGCTTCCCGCCAGATTCTTGTTGTTGTCTTGGAAACTTCTATGTAAATGTGACTTATACTTATAGGCTGTTTTGTACCTAGTCTGAAGAGGGCCTTAGTCCCAGCACCATCATACAATGTACTTCAACAGTTCCCAAATGGCATTTTTACCTGAAGCACTTTTATACAACACAATTAAGTTCAAGCAATAGATTTAACACAGTATATTGGTTGAACATTAGGTGTATAGTTCAAAACGGAGATTATCCGAGACAGTGTTCACTCAAGTCGAGTCTTACCTACACGATTCATGACAGTCAACTGGGTTCCGTGTGCACGCTCAATAGTTCAAACAAACTAGAACCAGGTCAGGATGTCAACTGGGACTAAAGAGATGACAGAAAACTGTGTCACAGTGACAATACATGGAGTGCCTACTAGATGTTACAGGTGCGCTCACTGAAATCCGACCCAATGTGCAAAACTGGCACCCTCAACTTGCACAGCCCTCGACGCCCTGGCAGTGGAATGAATGCGGCTGGACGTACACATGTACACCCACAATGATGTAATCGGAACTGGTCCAGGACGCCAGCTTTGCACTTTGGGTCGGATTTCAGTGAGCGCAACTGTGGCTGAAGTACACTGTTAATGCGCCGATAGCTAATGGATGGCAGTGGGAGCGTGACTATCCAAGCCATAAAGCAGTTGTGAACGAGGACAATGATCATCAAGCCGATGGAAGGCCGCACGCTTCTTTGCATACAATTACGCTTATTGAAATTATGGTCATTGACCACCACGTGCACGGATACGCCTGGTCATTATACGGAACGCCTCATTGTCCTGGTCCTTGTGTGACACCAATTATGATGGTGATATGCGTTGGCTCATCACCAACTAGCCGAATGGTATGTGGGACGTGCTGTGGCTGGTAGTTACGGCGGGAACGTGGCCAGTGTTTCCATTGACGTTTTGCGGACTTGCTCAATTTGGTTTGTTGCCTGCGAGAGGCTGCTCTGTGTGGATTATGTACATGGCTATCAGGTGCTGAAGGGCAATTCCACGCCGAGCACATTCCAGACCCACCGGCCCACTGCTTATGGATCGGCCGATTGTTATGGTTGTTCCGGTGCATTTGACCGCTAGTCCGGTCAGGGCGCTCAAACAGCATTCCCGGTGTGGGCCTGTCTGGATGAAATAATGTCGACGGGAATGGCAGCAGAGCTGCATTCTGACTTTCGTGCAGACCACCGATACTACTAGGCTCAGCCTTCACAGCGCCAGTGAGGGCCACTGGCATACGCTTGAAGCTATTGGGCTGTGCCATTGTCTGCTCTCGGCTTGGCACTGCATCTGTTTGGCACAGTGGCTGTGTGGGAATCTTGACATCCTCCAATGCCACGGAATTTGTCCTGTGCGCATCAAGCGATGAACTACGACCAGGTTGATGCGTCTCAGGCTGGGCATCAAGCGATGAACTACGACCAGGTTGATGCGTCTCAGGCTGGGCATCAAGCGATGAACTATGACCCGGTTGATGCATCTCAGGCTGGGGTGCAGGAACAGCAACATCGCAACTCAGTCCCTGCACTCGATTGGCACGACTGCCATTGACAGCGGGTAGCTTTCCGGAAGACCGCACTGGAGCACCTCTGACGCGGCCTTGGGGCCTTGGCAGTGTCTGTTCTGGATGCCGCTGGAGTGTATTCTGTGCTGTAACTTGCTCAGTCTTTGCGGGCTGTGTGGCTATCTTGCCTTCCTCGCTAGTCGGCTGTGTTCTGGCAGCACCACTGTATCCGTTCTGGCGACCAGTCTGTGAGCGTATAACAGAGACCAACATTTATACATCCTGCTTACAATGACCGTGACCAAGCAGACAAACTCAATTGCCAAGCAGAACACAGTTCTTGTGTGCTGTGAATCTGAGAACTTGCGGCTCAGTCGAGTTCTCAATCACTTGCACTGTACAACACAAATGCCTGCCATTTGGAAAAATCCCAACTTTTAATATGAATCTTTGCAAGTTTGCATGCTGTGTGAATGAATAACAGCCGTTTTAAAAGCACTTGCTACACTGATCACGGTCTCCAGAGCCAACTAGTGTCTGGCATCAAGTTGACCATGGTTGACAGACCACTGCATGCTGAGTGCTATAGTGAGCTACAGTGATCATGGCACAGTTTCATCTCCAGAGCCAACTAGTGTCTGGCATCAAGTTGACCATGGTTGACAGACCACTGCATGCTGAGTGCTATAGTGAGCTACAGTGATCATGGCACAGTTTCATGGTGTCCCCGTAGAGCAGGCATTGGCGGATAATGCTCGAAAAGGTGGCAGATTCTGCTCGAAAAGCAGTGAAATTGGCAGAACCATACAAACCTTATGGCGGGCAATTCCTCGAATTCTGCTCCATTTCTTTATCCACATACCAAACATGCATGAGAAAGTACCGAATTCTGCCAATTTTTCTGCCGGCATTATCCGCATATGCCTACCATAGGTCAGGGTCAAAACAATGCATACCGTTTGCCTCCGGTTCAATTGGATATTGAACGATTTCTGCTTTTGTAGCAAATTCTTCAAATCCTTCAACGAGTTTATGCACGTGTCCTGCACATGTACACAGAGAAAACAGTATTATGTGCTCACCTTTACATGCATAAGAAAAGAACCCGGCAAATTTGCCTGGTGTGAATGAGAGAGCGAGAGAGAAACACAAGCACACACTAAAAAGAGTAGGACTGTATTCTTGTTCTGGCGCAGGTACAGTCCATTCATAAAAAGATGTGCCCTTGCTCTGGCGAGCTCCCGTATTTAGCTATTTTTCGTGACTTTATCGTTGATGATGCAGTACCGTGCAATTTGAGAAAAAGGTCCAAAGAGGTACTTCAACCGGGGTTCTAGCCGCTGGGTTTCTGTCTCCCAATTTCCCATCATTGTGTATTGCTGGCGGGGCGAGTGCTACCCTGTAGAGTCTCGTCCAGGTCTAGCTGAAAAGAACCTTCACTACTAGGAGCTTGACTAGGCCGGAATGGACGGATCAAATCATTATTCCTTATAATGGATCCATAATAGCATGACTGTGTAACAAGCGCGCATATACAGATTCTCGTGATCCACGTGATTCCGCCAGACATGTTGTATGCATATTCTATTTTATTTTATACTTTGGATGAAGTTTTCCATTAGTCCTATTGGTATTGTTGCTAACGGCTTTTGTTGACGTCACTTCTGTCATTTCATTGTATCGTATTACTCTTCAGACATCAATCCTGAATGGCATAAGCGAAAGTGGCACCCCCGCCACCTACGGGGACATGCTTTTTTTATATTATTATTTTTAATATACATACTAGTACTGAAGTACTGTGTTGTAGAGTAGCTGTAACTAACTTACTTAGATTCAGAGCATACACACGCAAACCGTTCGAAATGGGTTGCAATGCTGCCATAGTCCTATTGCAAAAATAATTTCAATGACTAACTATTTGAACAAACGGCGAGGAGACAACAATAACCGCAATCAGTAATACAAACTGGATCGTACACTTTATTACACTTTATTCATGTAATGTAAAACATTACATGAATAAAGTGTACACAAATGTCGATCCAGCTAACTACACTGTAGTAATAATTATTACTTACACGACCTTCGGGAGCTTCGCGAATAGTCACTCTGCGCGTGCGCGTGTAGTGCGCGTACCGCGTGTATTGCTCTTCTACACTCGATGGTGAGTTCCGCGGGCTTGACATTGTAGGTGCCATTAGCGCTGTTCAGTGACAGTTGCGACGTGGTGGCAGGAAGTAGAACTCTGGATGTTGCTTGAATTTGATGTTCGACAACTCAGCTTGACTGTGACCCGCAGAATTCGCTGTGATGCCGGATACTGCTGCTGCTGCTGCTTGACTTAGGCTTGATGATCCCGATACCAGTATGGCGCAGCAAGGACATTGGAACATCGACCCAAGATTCTGGTGTCCTGTAACTTGACTTGGAAACGAATGATACTTTGAGACTCGCCTTGAGCTCCTTTTTTATACACTTCGAAATGGCGGTCCAGACGCGCATTTTGACGTAGTGACAAGCACATACCGTCCGTGCTGGTGGTAGATCAACGCTGTCAACTAATTACTTGTTGCGAATACCACACTTCCTTCTCATATGCTAGATACTAATGCCAAGTAATGGTGATAATACTAGCAGCCAGCGCCAAAACTGTCCGCCGGACCTTCGCTGTTTCGCGCTGACACCTATAGTACCTACACGTATGAGGCGTCAACGTCCGATCGGACGTCGACGCCTCATACCGCCGAGTAGTGACCATGCATGGTGACCCTTCGCACAAATACCGCCTACATGTACCTACAGGCTACACGCTGCAGTTGAACAAGTCTTGCCTGACGCTTTTGAGTCTTGGCTGCTAGCGCTAGCGCCAGTAGCGGCTGTCATCATGGCTCGCGCTTACGCAGATCACAACGCTATGGTCGTATGGATGGGCGACGACGACTAGTAGTAGTACTGGTAGGCGAGTGGTCTATGACCATGAAGACCAAGGTAAAACTAACACTAATTACACTAGCAGATGCGTCGGACAGCAATACGGTGCTGTACGGTATCAGGATGTCGTATCATGCCGTACAGCAGTACGATGACATCAAGATACGACGATCGAGCGGAAAAGAAGAGAAATGCAGGCTCAAGATAGAAGCAAGAGTACTCTTGATAGAAGACTGTGAACGGACCATAACTACTTACTTAGACCATAACCATGATAACTAATACTTAGTTATGATGGTGGTACATGTATTATAAAACACACACACACACACACCTAGCAATATGGCGGTAAACACACGCCTGCCCACACACGTACACGCTCTCTACTCTAGACTCTAGGCTGCAACGTAAGACTAAGAGCTCTCCTTCTCACCACCACCATCATCACTTCGCGCCTGCAGCCCTGGCGTCTAGCCTAGACGGTCGATGCATGCATGGCTGGTGGTGGTATCCGACATACAATGTAGCATGGCAGGCTAGGCTGGCATCATTCTCCCGGCTGTATACTAGTAATGTTATGTACCGGTACCATGGGTACCGGTAAACCGTAATAATTATGCTCAAAAGAAAAAAATATCTGTCCGAGTGTCGGGACTGTCGGCAACAGTTCAGCTCATACTACAATCATGTATTAGTTAGTGAGTAAGACAGTAGCACTACTCGGAGTACTCCAGCTCTGTCTACCAGGTCTACATGCGCATACTGCATGCATGTCGAACGACGTGATCGTGAAAACTTTGGCCATGACGTCAACAAAGAAGACATCGAAAAACATTGCTGTAATATTTCCCATTATTTTAGCCAAAAGAATAATAATTAAATTTATTATTGTCTTGTACTCCTTCCAGCGATCACGGTAGTTCTTTACCCTAGGTTTTGCTGCACATAGTTCCAGCTCTGTCAGACCTGCGTGATGTTGCTGCGATCGGCACAGCGCTATTCCTTCCTGGAACGCTGATCTAGCAACTAATTACGATGTGGAACGTTCTGGTGTGGGGTTGACAGTGCATGACCTGCCCGTGACCGGACCAACACTGAAGTAGACGTTTAGAAATCGCTTACTCGTTTGAGGCCGGTATGCCAGACAAGAATCATCAGGAGGAAGCAGCTGTTCTTTTACAAAACATTGATGGTCCTTGTGATTTGAATAGTCCGGCAGGTATATATCCAGCTTTTGAATTGTCCCAACATGCCTGCCACGATCTAGCTGCTAGTGCTAGTGCTGCTTCACCTCACAATCAAGAGCTGAACAATAGTTCTAGTCGTGGTGACGTTTCGGTAGAGGATTGCAGATCCTCCGAGACAGCTTGTAGCATGGATGATGTCTTGAGGAGCTACACACCATTCAGCTTCTACCAGAAACAACTGGTGTTGGTTTGTGCAGTTGTAGTGTTGGCAGGAGCACCGCAAGCTGCCATTTTAGTCTTCATAGGGGATCGGCCGGTTTGGTCGTGCCAGCAACAGGATCAACACGAGTATAATGTTACTTCTTCTGGTGGCCATGGGGCGAGTGCAAACCGTGGGATTGATGCATCTCAAACAGCAACAGCAGCACTCTCAGCGGAGCGCGATGGATTGAGTGAAGAGCAACGCTGTGCTTTAGTTAGGAGGCGCAAATGCACGCCACTCTACGTCAACGTCCACGCCAAGGCTAGTGCCGAAGTAAGCTACTTTAATAACTGATCGGTATCGTGCTACAAAGTTTACAATACTGCAACAGCTCACAATCAAGTACATGACATTGTATGTCCGCGAGTCCTATTCCAGATCTTGGCCTTGCACTCCCAGTGTTTTGCCCAAATAGATACAGGCGAAATTAAGTACCAGTGCTCATTGCTATACCGTATCTAGCCTATCTGATCTTGTGCTGTGTTTCACATTGTTATGCTGCCTGCTTGGATCGGGATATGCAGTACGCACTGCGGCACATGCACTTCCTGACTACTACATGACCACAGAAACGTACCCAAAAAGAACTGTTCACGCCAGAAAGTTAATGCTGCAGTGCCTGAGAATAGGTATGGGGAGAGGTACATCTCCATACATACCTCTATCTGGCTGTGCACTTTTATTTCTCTCGGGGGGGGGGGGGGTCTTTTCCTTTTTTTTCTTCTTTTTTTTCACGTGGACACTCAACCATCACATGTAGGAGAGCTCAAAAGAGACAGAAGCGGAAAGTTGGGTGGAGATTTAGAGCGTACCTGTACTCATGTTGGGTGGAGATTTAGAGCGTACCTGTACTCATGTTGGGTGGAGATTTAGAGCGTACCTGTACTCATGTTGGGTGGAGATTTAGAGCGTACCTGTACTCATGTTGGGTGGAGATTTAGAGCGTACCTGTACTCATGTTGGGTGGAGATTTAGAGTGTACCTGTACTCATGTTGGGTGGAGATTTAGAGTGTACCTGTACTCATGTTGGGTGGAGATTTAGAGTGTACCTGTACTCATGTTGGGTGGAGATTTAGAGCGTACCTGTACTCATGTTGGGTGGAGATTTAGAGTGTACCTGTACTCATGTTGGGTGGAGATTTAGAGCGTACCTGTACTCATGTTGGGTGGAGATTTAGAGCGTACCTGTACTCATGTTGGGTGGAGATTTAGAGCGTACCTGTACTCATGTTGGGTGGAGATTTAGAGCGTACCTGTACTCATGGTACTTGTTTACAGGCTTTTTTACATGCCGCATGTGCCCTCTTAGGGAGTTCGGGTTGCCGGGTTATAATCCCCTCTCACAGACTCCAGAGCCTTCCAGCGAGCTGAAGATCATTTATAACCGGCACTGTAGAACCAAAGTAATGGTGGGAATGTAACGTAAAGACGGATGATTCACATTTGTGTGTTGAACTGTTCATGGTTTTTTTTGCTCTTCTTCTCATCTTTAGTTCAATTTGATCTGCGAGAAGTCCTCAGAAGCAAACTACGCCCAGTCTTCGTTCTTTGTTGGTATGCTTCTGGGCAGTTGTCTTACCGGATGGTTATCGGATAAATACGGCCGGCGTACAGCGGTGTTAGTAGCACAGTGTGTCTCGCTGCTAGCGTCTCTCTGGACATGGCAATCCACATCATTCCTGTCATTCACTGCTTCAAGGTGTCTATCAGGTAATGCCTCTTTAACGTTACCTGCATGCATACTCTATGTGTGACGCCAATACAGTCGTCCCTCTCTAATCCGCCACCAATTGGCAATGGCATTTTCTGCTGGATAAACAAGGGTGCCGGATTATCAAATCCTGTCCTCCAACCCGGCCAAAGCATAGAAAATGACCTGAAAAAATCCGTTTTGCCAGAAAGTGTGCTGGTTTGCAGGGGTGCTGGATAAACAAGTGGCGGGGGATTAGAGAGGGGCGACTGTATACCTACACTGTGTAACATCAATGCCTGTACTCCGTGGTAATGCTGAATGCTAGGACTAATCAGTAACATCAATGCCTGTACTCCGCGGTAATGCTGAATGCTAGGACTAATCAGTCATGGCTGTGCCTGTACTCCGTGGTAATGCTGAATGCTAGGACTAATGCCTGTACTCCGTGGTAATGCTGAATGCTAGGACTAATGCCTGTACTCTGTGGTAATGCTGAATGCTAGGACTAATGCCTGTACTCTGTGGTAATGCTGAATGCTAGGACTAATGCCTGTACTCCGCGGTAATGCTGAATGCTAGGACTAATCAGTCATGGCTGTGATTCGTTTGGTTTGGGAAGACATGAGATGTGTAAACACCTGCTTTTCTGATCGCTTTTGTCATGGTTGTCATATATGGCTTGTGCAGGCACCTGACACTTCACCATTGCATGTTGAGCAGCATGGCTGCTAGTGTTCCTGCCACTGCTGATGCTGCCACTGCTGATGCTGCCACTGCTGCTGTTGATGCTGCTGCTGCTGCCACTATTGCTGCTGCTGCTGCTGTTCGTGTCATTGTTGTGATTTAATCGTTTTCAAAATGTACTTGTTTGCATGCAGGTGTCGGCCTACAGATATTGATAGCTCCGCTCTTCGTGCTGGTCAGTGAATCAGTCGCTCCAGACTATCGTGCCTTTGTCACTACGTTACCATCCTGTGTGTTTGGTCTGGGTTTCACCTTGCTGGCTCCTCTTGCCTATCTCACCCGTCATAGCTGGAGATCACTGATGGCTGTATGTACTGGATCGGTGCTTGTCGGGCTTTTCTGCTCCTGGCTGTAAGTACTGGATCGGTGCTTGTCGGGCTTATCTGTTCCTGGCTGTATGTACTGGATCGGTGCTTGTCGGGCTTATCTGCTCCTGGCTGTAAGTACCGTGTCCATTGCTGCTGTGTGTGTGTGGGGGGGGGGGGGGGGGGGGGGGTGAAGGTGTGTGTTCGGGCATTCAGTTATGATTTTGTGCGTGAATTTAATCACTTGAAGGGGCATGGGGTGTATGTGTGTGTGTAGGGGGGGGGGGGGGGGGAGAGAGTTAGAAGTGTACCATTGTGTGGTCCCGGGGCTGCTGGGATGCCTCTTTACACACAGCATTGATCATAGCTTGCTAGTTGGTGGTGCTGGCACGGATTGCTATGCCAGGGTAGAGTGACAGGGTTTCGTCCAACTTATCTGTCTGCTAGCACTGCCAATGAACTTGGTTTCTGACAGCTTTTCACTCTGTCTGCCATTTTTAAATACTGCCATTGTCGCATTGCTTGCTACCAGTTTTGTCATGACCAATGCACTCATTCAATGCACTTGTCCAATACAATCGTCTAATGCACTTGTCCTTTACATGCAATTCAGCTCATCATTAGCTTGTAACATACGACTAGTCTGTAGTGACACCAGACACAGCCACGCAGCAGCCAGACACAGACATCTAGTGCTGTGCTGTTGAGTGCTGGTCATGTGCTGCAGTGCCCGCCCCTGTTGTTGAGTGTTTGTGTTTGCCAGGGAGTTGTAGCGTATAGCGAGATAACTTGAGATCATAGCGCGCGGCACGATGTGCGTTTCGACCCTGGTTTTACATGATCCGTGGTCTTGATCTGTGGTCTTGATCTGTGGTCTTGATCTGTGGTCTTGATCTGTTCTGTCTTGATCTGTGTTGTCTTGATCTGTGTTGTCTTGATCTGTGGTCTTGATCTATGGTTTTGATCTGTGTCGTCTTGATCTGTGTCGTCTTGATCTGTGTCGTCTTGATCTGTGTCGTCTTGATCTGTGTCGTCTTGATCTGTGTTGTCTTGATCTGTGGTCTTGATCTGTGGTCTGTGCTATACAACTCACACTCGCCTTTACCTGCTGATCCCAAGCGCGGCCCAGACAATCAATGTCATTATTTATAATACGAGAGTGTGTATAAATCGGCCCTGCCCTAAGGGGGCAAGCTGGAATGGGCAACCTGGGAGTGAAATCCACATCACCCAACGCTGCAGTCGCACAGGTCTTCTCCCTGAATACTACAACTCCCTGTTTTACATGTACTGCAGTCGACTGAAGTTGATATGCTGTGTCTGTCTGTCTGTCTGCCTGCCTGCCTGTCTGGCTGCCTGTCTGGTTATGCTGCACAGATGGGCAACTGAATCACCGTATTGGCTGCTGCACAATGGGCGGCACGATCGTGTAAAGGCTACTATTTCCAGATGGGCAAGAAGTTCATCTCGGCCCATTCCTGATTCTGTGCTGGCATCACTGACAGTACCTAGGGAGAAAGATTCATCATCATCATCATCATCACCATCACCTGTTGGCGGTGCTGAGGCAACATCTTTACTGCCGTTCCTGTCTAAAGGTCTGCGTCACTTGACACTGACATTATTCTGTGCCTGGTGAGTTAGCCAGTTTCAGTAAGCTATTTGGGGACTCATCAGGGAGTGTAAACGTTATGTTTGGCAGGGTGCAATGTTGCAATGTTGAATGCAATGAAACAGTTTGTGCGTAAGGTGACCTCGCCTATCCACGCTGGCTGTTGAAGGGGTAACACACCCTGCAGCTCCGAGGCCCCAGCTCATGTCACTTAACACAAAGGCAACTTACCACTGTGAGAATGCCTTACACAACAAGAGTAACAACGGCGGACCGGGAAGGCACTTGTCCCTAAGCTCCGAGCTCTCAGGGAAAAAAGGAGTCTAGTGTCACCTGCCACGAGATGTGATCCTGCACAACGGAAAACCTCTATCCATGGAGGACATTTCCCGTATGCTCAACTCACAATAGGAACCAGCCCGGGCATCCCCTTCATCGCCAGCAATACTAATAAACCCAAAGCTACGTATTAAAAGTGAGAATTCAAGACAGCAGGAATAGCGCAAGCTCCGACATAGGGAGCAACACACAAAGCTACGTATTGCTCATATTAATGTCTGTAGTCTTTTCACGAATCTAATGAAGTTCATTATCTCATACATCACCACAGTGTAGACATTCTAAGCATAACAAAGACTTGGTTGACTGACACCTTGCCCAACAGCCCGGTGCACCTGCGTGGCTACGATATTTACAGGCGAGACCAGAAAGATAAGACTGGAGGAGGAGTATGTATTTATGTGTTGTGATGGACCGGAGGAGGAGTATGTATTTATGTAGTGATGGACTGGAGGAGGAGTATGTATAATTTATGTAGTGATGGACTGGAGGAGGAGTATGTATAATTTATGTAGTGATGGACTGGAGGAGGAGTATGTATTTAAGTAGTGCTGGACCTGAGGAGGAGTATGTATGTATGTGTTGTGATGGACTCTGCACTGTACAGGTTTACAACGTGTCTGGTGTACTACGGTCTGGCTCTGAACACACACGGCGTCGGCAGCAACAAGTATATCAGCTTCTTCATTCTGTCAGCAATTGAGATTCCCGCCTTGATTGGCGTGGTCATCATCCTCCGCTACGCCGGTCGACGTCCGACAATGTTCTGGTCCACGCTAGTCACTGGTATAGTTGTGAGTCTGTCAGCATTCATAGCATGGTTGAATAGTGTACCTTCAACTGCAACATCAGCAGAGCTAGGTAAGTTGGCTGCAGTTTAGTGCCGATTATCCACACCGCTCGGGGTGCATTCATGGCTGTATGGGGTCGTACCACTCGGGTGCAGGGTTGTCTCCGGAGGGTTTGGATGAGGGGTATACGTTTGGATGAGGAGTACATGTATTTTTTGGATGAGGTGTATGTTCGTACATGTTTGGATTAGGGGTATGTTTGGAATAGGGGCATGTTTGGAATAGGGGCATGTTTGGAATAGGGGTATGTTCGGATTAGGGGTATGTTCGGATGTGGGGTATGTTTGAATGAGGGGTATGTTTGAATGAGGGGTATGTTTGAATGAGGGGTATGTTTGGATTAGGGAACAGACACACAATGGCACCCATCTAAACTCCTTCCAATAACCCATTTGTGATAAGGGTTCAACGACTCCCTGCTGTTGTACACCCTGCATACCAGTGCTATGGTGATGTAGCTGACAATACAAAACACCACAAATACATTAGTCTCCCCATCACGAGTGGGACCAGCTGACGGTTTTGAGGCAAGGTTTTTTTAATGTTAAGATGGCTGCGTTGGAGATTGTGTGCAGTTCGACGAGTGCCTAGAAATCCAAGACTTGGACATTCTTGCCTTTAATTTCTTGGATACGTTTGAATCAGTGTTGCGGTTAATTGTTTTCTCTACCCAACTCTACTAGCACAACTACTACAGGGCACAAGACTATATTTGTGATTTTGCTTGACCCTGCACATCATTTTGACCCTTCTGTCTGTACTACTGTAGTGTGGCATCGGCTTACTTATCAGCAGTGTGATGCCAGTACAATGTACAATGTATTGCCATGATCTCAGTTAGGTTGCTGATGGTATTGCCACCGCCATTGTTGTGTTCTTCTATTCGTTATTGTGACGCAGCGGAGAATGGCGAGAGTACGATGCCCGTCTCGACAAGCCATGCTAGTCTTGAGAACGCTCAGCTCGCTATTGTGATGTGTGGCAAGTTCTCCACTGCTGCTGCTTTCTCCGTCGTCTACACTTACACACCAGAACTTTTACCCACAGCTATCAGGTACTTGTAGTATTCACTGTTCATGTACTACTCTCTTGTTGAAGTACCTGCCTCGTGTAGAAGTACCTGCCTCGTGTAGAAGTCTGTTTCAAATATGAGTGTGACTTTTGCCATGAACCGGAGGCACGTCAGCCCGGCATTCGTACCTATTCTATTCAAGGGTTACGTAGCACACTACGATTTCCAAGAACAATTATTCGCTGAAATCCCAATTAGGGAAGGGTTTGCTCCCCACACTGGAGCTCGCGCTATTCCGCCGACTTGACTTGACACTTGACTGACTCACGACTGCCATCCAGAGCACACGAGAAGCCCATCGAACTTTCGACTCGGCAAACCTGCAAGAAAGCACCACTCCCTGCTCAATACGCAGTATTTCGGAGAATTCACCCCTCATCAAGTTGAGCTTGAGTAGGCTGAGGAAGATTGTGCACGAAGAGCACCACTGATACATGGCATTACAGTATCTCCGCCCTGGCCAGTTGGGGGTCATGTGACATGGTGAGTGTCTGTAAATCATACTTCATCTTGAATCACATGTATAGCTGTACTTGAGGTACTGTGTAGACTAGGGGTGAAACGGTTACCCTTTAAGGTAACAAACGGGTATCTGGCTTAACGGGCGGGTTATCGGGTACCCTTTATCCGCCCTACTTTTTCCAAAAACGTTGCATTTGCTTGTGATCGTAAGCGCAGCATGTCTTTTGCAGGCATTCTGATAGGAGAGCGATTTTCGGGCAACAATTGCTACAGTAGCCTTCCGGATTTCACGCCCGGAGGATATGCGAAGTCATACAAGTACACTACACCGCGACAAGCACAGTGTGCACAATCACTGCGCTACATGCTAACAGTCGAAATTGTCGTAGCTACAATGGATACCGTGATATGTAGCAGGATTGAACGAGGAAAAACACACTCAAAACTGTGCACTGAACTGTACAACTGTACAAGCAAGCTTCTAATACTGTACCCTACAATCCTACAAGACTATCGGGTACTCGTTTGCTAACGGATCAGCAGCTAAACAGACGGATACCCGGGTTACCCGGATCACCCCTTTCACCCCTAGTGTAGACACTAGGTGCATTAACGCATTTCAACCTGGAAAGAATCCTGTTTCATCAAACATGTGGAAGCACCTACACTGACTGAATCCCCAAACTTCTATTTATGTAGTACTTGTGCATGTGATTTTCTTCTGTTGCTGTTTCAGAACTAGCGGCCTAGGAATGTGTGTGACTGTTTCACGATTTGGTGCTATTGTGTCACCGTTCGTCATTAATCTGGTAAGCATAGCTTGCCAAGTTATCTGTCTTTTTAAAAATGTGTCTCGTGATCTGGCTCATTTGACTCCCGGTATGGAGAACAGGATATTGATATGGGTTCACGCTGAACACGTTTTTTTGTTTTTGAGGCGTTGGACTCCCAGTGTGTGAGTAGCAGAGCACTTCGAGCCTTCAATACGTGTGTCGCACTGTACGGACAAACTACCAGACTAGTCATCGATAGACTCATAGTGGAAACATGTGCATGTGTGTGCATATGCGTGTGTGCATGTGTGTGTGTGCACATGTGTGTATGTGTGTGCATGTGTGTGTTGTTGTTGTTGTCCTGACAGGGTAGTTCAACACCACCCCTCCCCTACATACTATTTGCAATCCTATCCTTTCTGACATGTACGGGTATGCTCTGGTGGCCGGAGACTAAGAATCGAGACCTACCCGACACTCTTCAAGACTTGCGACAACGACTGAAGAGAGTCTGATCACATGATTTGGTCATGTGACTGGTCTGATCACATGATCACATGCACTGACAGCATGCCCTGATCCATGTTGTAGCTGCTGCACATCCAGGCATACTGGATCATCATTGGATACACTGATCCAGTGCATCAGTACTGGTATGGCACTGAGCAGTATTCCGCTGGTGTTGTGTTGGACCTGGAGTACAGGGGCGTGCACACTGAGCTGCACCAGCGAGTAGCACAATACGGTGTTGTACCGGGAAATAGTACAATACGGTGTTGTAGCACTCCCTGGTGAGCACTACGCCATGATCCATATCATCATGTGCTAGCTGTCAGAACAGACACGCTATGCTATGCTCAGTGTGGCTCTAAGTCAGATGGGTACATGCCCAACTCACTGTGCACATAAGTAAGTGCTGCAGTATCATAATATCTTATTACTTGAAGTTATCAGACTACATAAACTGCTGGTATCGAGACTGCATATGCTATCTACATGTACACATTATTATAGCAATGATGGCCCAGGGAGTATGATGGCCCAGGGAGTATGATGGCCCAGGGAGTATGATGGCCCAGGGAGTATGATGGCCAAGGGAGACCTGTTAACTTATTTACACTGCGTATGCATCACAGCCTGTCCTATTTTCGATGGCAAGAAAACTTGAAATGTTGCTAGGACCAGCAGGCTTGCCTTCTGATCACCAATTGCTGGGCCGCGTCAGCCTATTTTTCACCCACAGTATAATTACAAGTATATTGTATTTTGCAGTATGGTTTATCTGAATTGTTGTGCCACTTTCCATTGCTACTTGATTGGCATTCCTGTTGGATCTTTCATCGGGGGTTCGGGATTGTTGGTTGGTGACAGTTGATTTTGGATCCGCAATAAAGCGCGCTGATCTGTGGGAACTGGGGGGGGGGGGGGCACGACTAGGTGGCGAGTGTACTTTGGGTGGCATAACAATTGCCATTCTTACGGATGGAATAACAAACCCAGCCCAGCAGTACCAGTGTGCCTGAGATTGATTTGGTCATTGCATCCATCAGGCAAGCCACGTTTCTCACGGGAATGCATGCAGTGTCCAGCAGTGGCGGCACCTCACGGTTTGCTGTGATGGCAAGGGCTTGTGAATGTGTATGTGTGCGCATGTGTCTGTCTCGCAAGACGTCCGACCATTATGCTCTAGTGATACACTGTATTCTTGCCATTGGGATGTCTTGGTCACTTGCTGGCATTTACCATTGCCTTCGTGTTGGTGTAATCATGGGCATACATCTGACTGCCTCACCTCTTGATGGGCCCGCAACGTCTATTATATATATAAAGCGCCTCGGCGCTAATTTGGGAAATACGGTAGATTGCAAGCAGAAGCATGATCGGTGCGTTTTTTGATGTCTGGAAACTCAGCGCCCAATTCTGGGAGAAAATTATTAAATTTTGGTGGCTCTGCATAACGCGCTAACGCACAAATACTGTAAAAGCCATTATTCTAACGAGGCACTGATATAACAATTTCCTACAATTGACTGGTTTACGTGAACAAAAGGTAGCGATTCTGACTCATTCTCAACGCTCAATAGCAGCAGTATTGTATTGTGTGATTTCTGTATAACGATTTCTATTTTAACGACAGATCTCTCCGCGTTAACTCGTTAGAGTTAGCACTTCGTTATAATTATTATTATGGCTTTTACAGTACACATGCTGCAGAAAGTCACAAAATAATATTTTAAATACACATAATTATACGAAGTAGTGGTTGCGACGCGTCACTTATCTTGTGCTCTGGATGGCAGTCGTGAGTCAGTCAAGTGTCAAGTAAAGTCAAAAAAACGCGAGCTCCGGTACGTGTGGGGAGCAAACCCTTTTCACACATAATAATTATGCTGCAGAAAGTCACAAAATAATTTTTTCGTATCTTAAAATTGTAGTCGATATTTCAAGTGTTTTCCAAAGCCAAGGTAAGTAATGTAGATGCCTATCAGTATCACTCAACAAGGATCAGTATGCAGCAATTAAAATGTGTTGCCATTGGTTTGGCCAGTCACTCAGTCTGACTCTGAGCTCCGCGCGCGCGCTGAGCATGAAGAGACCTAACACGCGTGCACGATCACCACTACGCACTAGCAGCCAACAAAACAAAAATAAAACAGAAAAGTGATCGAGTTGAGCACATCGTCGAGTCGTTACCATGGTTTTACAAGACAAACACCGCGAGTATACCAAGGGCGCGTTTGGTTGGTACGAACTAGAACAGGATTCACCAGAACAGCGCGTTTGGTTGGGACTGCACCTGTTCTGGGTCGGCCAGAACATGTTCTGCTTGCTCCGGCCTCGAGGCCGGAGCAGACCGAGCAGTTTCACTTTTTCACAGTGAAACCTGGCGGGAACATCGATTTTGGTCCCAGATGATCACGTGCATACGCTTTTGGGTTGGATTCGTCGTACCGTACAAAGTGACCATGGTGACCCATACACATTTTGAAGAATGCACCAAGTTTGGCACATTTTCTCACAAAAATGTGCTCTGTTTCTGGAGTAGCGTTTGGTTGGCATGAGGCTGCTCCATGTGCACCAGCTGTTCGATCCTGTTCTAGATCGTACCAACCAAACGCACCCCAAGAGTACATGAAAACCAGGGAGCCCTACACATACGTATGTGTAGGGCTCCCTGATGAAAACCGGTTTCATGTACTCTTGCGAGCAGAGTACGTATCCGCGTATGCATGATCCAGCTGCGTCATGACGTCACATGCTAGCGTGCTACCTCGCTAGTATGCTAGGTGCAAAATTTCAAACCCTCTAAAACGACGTTACGTGTACCGGCGGCGCGGCTATGAAGTATGCGCGCGCGGTCTTTTGGTCGTCGTGACGTATACGCGCGTGCGGCAGTGTACGTGTGTGGGCGATGCTCTGCGCATGCGCATCGTACACATTTTTGGTTTGCTTGAGCCGCGCTTGCCCCAGCGCAATGACTGGGCAAAGAGTTGTTGTACCACTGCTGCATTCAGTGAGAACATGGCGGTATAATAGAAATGGTGAAGTAGTGTACATTTGAAGTCACGTTCTCCGTCGACGAAAGTCAGCTTTTATTTCATCTTTGGAATCGCCAGGCCATGCCAAGCATTTTGGTATGAAGTTTGGGCCTAGGAAAATTCTTGGAGTGCTCCAGTGAGGTTGTTGTGCCGGCAGGATGAATAAGTTGTCGTTCCGTGCTCGGGCGCTTGACCCCAACAAGGCACTTCCAGTTTACCATGCTGATGAGCTGCCCGACTTGTCGGATTACAATGCCATCAATCGCGCCGTTCCTGAAATGCCTACTGGCATGGAGAAGGAAGAAGAAACGGTCGGTCTTTGTCTTTGTCTTGGGTGGGGCGCTGCGGTCCGCCATTTTTGTTTGTTTGACAAATATGGCGGATATGTCTGTGTGGATATTTTTTTGTGTCGTCAGTTTTTTGTAAAAATGTAGAATTAGTGCATACATTTTATTTCATACACTTCGTCCTTGTGCCTCCTCTTAGTTATGTATTGTACCACTAGCAGAATGGTGTTTTCGTCCACCTCTACCTTACCCCCAATGATCAGTTCGTCTTGCTCATGCAAGTAATAATCTTATCATTTAATTTTTTGGAACTTGGAACTCGGGTATTGAGCCAATAGCTGTACAGTATCTAGTTACAGTGGTGGATAGTTACTCTTAACTCGTTTCCATATGTCCTTTTCCTTTCTACTTTTATTATTGGCTCAATACCCGAGTTTCAAATTGCACACCTGATGAGCCGTCACGAACCATACGGCGAAACGTATGTCGTGTGAAACAACTTGTTTTGTAGTCAACTAGTCCATCACAATGTCATGCATAAGGAGTACTGTAGGAGTTTTGATTTCGGCTTGTACAATTCGTTCTCGCAAAGCTTCCCCCTTCTTAACTTATCTTTGATATTTTTGACCCACCCAAGTTGGGCGGTGTGCTGCTTTGCTGCTTCGAATTGTAGTTAGACCGCTTTGTCAAATCGCCTACTGGTCTCGTCATCGTCCAGTAACAATCCACATTCTTTGTTCCGTTGGGACTGTAGCTTGTGCTCGTTTTCGTTGCGCTTGCCTTCCCCTCTTTGGTCTTTCCATAACCTTGAACCTTCCAAGTTGGAAGGCTGTCGGTTAGCGCTACGGAGATGTGTTGAAGCTAGGTGTTAGGACGTCGAATGTCTCAGTACTCTGTCAGTTTTGTGCCTAGTTATTGCACTTTCTGACTGTATATAGTATCTAGTTACAGTGGTGAATAGTTACTCTTAACTCGTTTCCATATTTCCTTTTCCTTTCTATTTCTGGAACTAGTTTTTTTAATTCTGGAATGACCAGAATGAGCGGATTCTGGCCTTGTAAACGAACGACTGGAATTCACAACGCATTTTATTCATGTCACAAACAAAATTGATGAATCGTAAAAAGAGATCATGTACACCCTCGCGCGCACGTGGACCCAGCATCGCGCACACGCTGGCCAGGGAGGCTCTTCGTACTCTTGAGTCATGACCAGACCGGTAACACACCGACTGCAATTCTGGCGCCAGAATTAGAGAAATTCCGCCCTCTCTTCAGAATTGTCGGATTCGACGGAATTGGATAAAATCAATTCTAACGACGGAATTTGTCACTTTTTATGTAATCGAACTGTGCATCAACAATAACTAATTCTAGAATTGACCGAAATGCGTGTAATCGAAAGCGCCCATTGTACAAACGTACAATGCACTGATACAGAATAATTTACCGATGACATGAAGCGTAGTGATACATGTACACACACACACACACACCATGTCCAGACTAACTCATCCATGTAGCGTCAGAACCAAAGGACAGCTACTGTAAACTGCCTTATGTTCTCGACATTTAATAATGCTTGCTCTTTTCGCAAGAACAGCACAACGCAAATATTAACGGCTGGAAATTAAACTTCAACAGTGGGCGTTGGCGTGTGACCACAGTGCTCCACAAACCTTTGCCATTGTTAACTTGCTTGATCTGAGAAATTGCGAAAAAAGTAATGTTGTGAATATTGCGGTTTACATTATATCGTGAATTTCACAGTATACCACTCAAAGTAAACTTGTTCTTATGATTACTGGTGGAATAAGGCATTTAGGGATGACTAAAACACTAAAATAGTATCTATTGTCGTAAACCGATATCTGAGTATTGCTGAGTGCATAGAGGTTGCGTTGCCTATAAGGTGGTTCCCAGCCAGATTTTGACGGCAGTCGGGTGAAAATGAAAACTTCAGGGTCCATCGAGTTTGGGTCGTGAAGTCGATTGGTCCTGGTCTTGCATCTCTCTGATGAAGCATTCTCGAGATAATTGAATTTGAATATGTGAATATCAGGGTCCACGTCTTGGTGCAATGCGGTCGGCATCCACACCCTGCTATGTCAGCGCATGAAGCTAGGTGAAAAGGAGATGTCTTACTGTAGCATATTTATTTATTCAACTTCTTATTCAAGGCGACTTATGCGTAACCAGTCTAATGGAAAACACTCCTGGATTGGAGTGTTATGGGCGGTTTGCTAGATTATGATTGTGCCGTTTGCTCAAAGTTGTTACTTCTATTGCTTGCGCTGCTGTTGCTAACAGGAACATCATTTGCAGCGTGCTATGGCCGCTCAGCAATTGTATGGTGAAGCCCAGCAACTTGTCATTCCAACACCTGATTTTAATTCCTCCGTCGCCGACTACACTGATGTCTACAAGAAAAAATCTACTCAACCGCGAAATTTCATCCGCATGCATGGTACGTATATTGCTTCGGTTTAGCATTTGTTGGTCTGCGGGAAAAACCTTGGATACTGTAGTGTCGCGTATAAAGCATGGCCCGTATAGAAGCATGACTCGAATAGAAGCCGGCTTTTCGAAGCACGCTGTGACACAGAAGCACAATTTGAATAGAAGCATACGTGCAAGTACTACATGTACTAGCACACTACATGCGTGACAATATGCACTGTACAGTGTAGACTGAAGATGTGGACATAGAAGCATAACTTGAATAGAAGCATGGTTTGAACTTTAGCTTATACGGCCGTAAGCAGCTGCTTTTATACGCGACGTTACGGTATCTTTACATTTTCCGTTTTTGGCCTCTGGTGAATCTCTTGGCATAGTATTTTGAATTGTATTGTGAAGCCTTTTGAGTGTCTGAACCAGTGCTAAGCTTATTTACGCAATAAATGTCCTTGTCCATGCATTGTGTAGGATATCTGGATTCCGATTTCCCAGAATATGACTTGGATGATGAAGATGTGAAGTGGTGTAACTCTCAAAAGGTTAGTTCAGTTAGTGTAGCATTATGGTAGTAATGCAGATTAATGGGGGCGCGCAGCTTTGTGCTACCGCTCAAACTATGCTACTATGATTGCTAACGCTGTTACTTCATGCCCGTGCTTTGCTGCTGGCCACGGTCACGTGCACTTCACATCACGGTAACCATGTCGACCAAACAACATGGTGCATGCACACGTGGAACTCTCTGCGACGTGACATTCTACGTGGGCGGCACGCAACGTGGCATGCTAAAGTTCGCCTAGGTGTATGTTTCAATCCGTTCTGTGTGTGGATCATTCTTTCGAACCGTTGTGTTTCACCCACCCACCTCCCATTTCTCATCACTCATTTACTTTGATAAGGTAGATAAAGGGGTGTTGGCCACGCTCATTTCCGGCTACTCAGGGCTCTCGGTCTCCGTCCCTCGGACCTGGCTATCCGCTCTTGGCTCCGGCCAAGGCTCCTGCTCTGGCAGTGACTGACCGGCCGACCCCTTGATCTCTCTCCGTAGCCTCTCACTCCGCTGGCCAGCAGCTGTGTGTCGTAGTTAATTGACATTCAGCTAACTGTTTTTGCCCGGTCTGCCGAAATAATCTGCACCTGGCGACGGCAATAAATAAGAATCTGTTCTACGCGTGTGCTAGTTTGTACGTGAAGTGTGTTGGTTACAGTGAGGGCTGCGTCCCACCAGCCTGTGTGGATTCACAGGAAGTGTGAGTTATGAAGTCTGAAGAGAAAGTTGAACGGTCTCTGCTGGGATGACGGCTACACCTTAGCTCAGTGGTTGGAGCATCGCTGGCCTCAAGCGAAGGTCCCTGGTTCGAATCCTGGTGGTGACAGTCAATTTTTTCTTCAGATTCTTCCCGTTTGTGTCTTTCCCTCAAACCAGTGGCTGTTCTACTTTGTTCTGCTTTGTTAACTTTTATCGTTGTCAGGGCTTGACTGAGCTCAAATTGGAAACAATGATTGAAACTCTAGAAAAAGGTCTCGGCCAACAGTCTGTAAGTATAAAGATGACCTGCTTACCGTACGTCCGCACCTTTAAAGCCATGGTGGTAAATTCGATTATAAAGCCAGTCTCAGTTATAAAGCCATAGCCTTCGTAAATGAAATGATATTAGAAGTATGTTTTTAAAAAAAAATGAAGGAATAAGTACAATGCTAGCCAACTTCCAGCCCAGCAGGAATGGTGAACAAGTAGATTTAGATTGAAATTTATGTGTGGACTTCGACTTTTATGGCATGGCGTAGTGGGCGAGTCATTTTGCATCTAAAATATCTAGGAAAGCAGCTGTGTTTCGAATATAAGACCATGGCTTTAAAGGCGCTGACACACGGTATTATTTAGGGCTCAAACGATTAGTCCGATTAACCGGTTGCAGACCGGTTACGAAGCATTAACGGTTAACCGATAAAGATAACGGTTACGCAGTAACTTTTCAGTCAAGTATCAGGTCGTTGCAAAGTGTGCACTTTCGCGGGCTGTCACACGCGTACGCAATTTCTGGGCTGTCAACTCGGTCATATCTGGTCTCTTGGTGTGAGAGTATGTATGAATGAGCATGCAAGAGAATGTACATGTGTGCGTTGTACTAAATAGGGTACATTTTTTGAATGAGTGTAGTCAAATATACAGTTAAAAAAGAGTCCGCAGGATTGCCCTGGCTTATAGGTTATAACCGGTTAACCGACCGTTAGCTTAGCAGTTAACCGTCAGGGGTAAAACCGTGACCGTTTGAGCCCTAGTATTATTACTGGATTGTGGGTGTGTTTCCCCACTGTGGTCCATTTATTGACTGGTTTAGCTGGAAAGTGTATCATTAGAGATGGGCAGTTTTTCTCCCTGATTTGAATAATAACCAGCAGATTTATTGATTGCGGTTATCAAGACAAGCTGAATCGACATTTGTGTACATGTATACTTTATTCATGCAATGTAAAACGGTGGAGACAATGTGCAATAAAACGATGAAAGTGGGAAGAAATAGTGTAGAGAGAAATTAGGATAAACACCGCCTAAGAAATACTACATTAGGGGCGACACTACGGCAATGAAAACGTGCTTTCAGCTTAAAGGGGAAGTTAAGGCAAAAATTAAAATTTCACCAGTTGTAGTCTTCAGGGTGCTGAGTCGAATGGTCTTGGTCCGAGAAAGCCGAGACGCTCCCTTCCTACTTGAATCCCAATCGAACTCGCGCACTTCCACCGAAACTGGGTGACTGCGCCCTACTAAATGGGGATTTGTATGCAAAATGTCACTAAAAGCGCCATTTCGTTCTTATAAAAGCACGGATGACCGCGATTGGCCCATATGTTGTAGTCTTTTGGACGCTGAGTCGACTGGTTTTGGTCCGAAAAGGCTGCGATGCAGCGTTCCTCCTTTATTCCCAATCGAACATGGTTGAACAAGTGGTCACGTGCTCCTGGGTGCCCAAATCACCTGGTCACCATGCCAGCAGGCGACAACTTTCACACCAAGGTTCAACTCGAGTTCAACTCGAGTGACAGGACTGCACCCAAAAAAGGTCAAACAGGCTAGTAAGTTGTACCCTGCACAGGCGCGTGCTCGGCGATGGGCACGGGGGGGGCACGTGCACCCCCCAAAAATTTTCAATCTGGGTAATTGCAATTGTAATGTATGCAAATATGCTCTAAAATTCAAGAAAGGTTGCAAACAAATTGCAGAAAATTGCCGGGGGGGGGCTCCCCTCGGCTCCCGTGCACCCCCCTAGTTGGGGGGCCGAGCACGCCCCTGCTGCAGGCACGGTGACCAGCTGACTGGTGTACGCAGGAGCACGTGACCACTTGTTCAACCATGTTCGATTGGGAATAAAGGAGGAACGCTGCATCGCAGCCTTTTCGGACCAAAACCAGTCGACTCAGCGTCCAAAAGACTACAACATATGGGCCAATCGCGGTCATCCGTGATTTTATAAGAACGAAATGGCGCTTTTAGTGACATTTTGCATACACATTCCCATCTAGTAGGGCGCAGTCACCCAGTTTCGGTGGAAGTGCGCGAGTTCGATTGGGATTCAAGTAGGAAGGGGGCGTCTCAGCTTTCTCGGACCAAGACCATTCGACTCAGCACCCCGAAGACTACAACTGGTGAAATTTTAATTTTTGCCTTAACCCTTTGATAGCCACAGGAAAATTTCAAAATTCTGCATTTTTTTCGTGTTCCTTGGATCATAGCTTCAGTTCTACTCACTCAATCCTCACAATCTAGGGCTTCCTGGAAAGGTCTCCGCGAGAGGAAGAGAATGAGGTCGATCATGATAGCCAGCACACCGTCTATCCAGCGCTAGATCGCAGCGACAGTACGAAAAATGCCCCAAATGCGTCCAATTGCGTCCCGCTCCAGATATTTCATTTTACTCGATCGTGGAGTTCCAATTTTTTCGCTGTGTACTCTTGACAATATCAACAGTGAAACCCGTGCAAATCCGAGTAAACCAGCGTGACGAAAAGTCTCAAAATTCTCAATACTAAAGTCGCACTGCGCGCTTTTGAAATTGCCGCGATCGCGGCTCAACTTACGTCTCAGCTTTCTCGGACCAAGACCATTCGACTCAGCACCCCGAAGACTACAACTGGTGAAATTTTAATTTTTGCCTTAACCCTTTGATAGCCACAGGAAAATTTCAAAATTCTGCATTTTTTTCGTGTTCCTTGGATCATAGCTTCAGTTCTACTCACTCAATCCTCACAATCTAGGGCTTCCTGGAAAGGTCTCCGCGAGAGGAAGAGAATGAGGTCGATCATGATAGCCAGCACACCGTCTATCCAGCGCTAGATCGCAGCGACAGTACGAAAAATGCCCCAAATGCGTCCAATTGCGTCCCGCTCCAGATATTTCATTTTACTCGATCGTGGAGTTCCAATTTTTTCGCTGTGTACTCTTGACAATATCAACAGTGAAACCCGTGCAAATCCGAGTAAACCAGCGTGACGAAAAGTCTCAAAATTCTCAATACTAAAGTCGCACTGCGCGCTTTTGAAATTGCCGCGATCGCGGCTCAACTTACGAGTGATTTATCTCGAGAACCGTTGCTCGCAGCGCTTCGCGGATTGTTTCTCCCGACAGGTGAGCGTTTTCTCTTCGCCCTGGATATTTCGATCACTGGATTTGAGCGAGATTGGACTGAGTTACGATCTGTTGAAGTTTTGCATTTGAATGCGTCGTTTACGACGCATTCAAGTATGGGGCGGCTCTTAAAGGGTCCCTAGTTGGGGGGCCGAGCACGCCCCTGCTGCAGGCACGGTGACCAGCTGACTGGTGTACGCAGGAGCACGTGACCACTTGTTCAACCATGTTCGATTGGGAATAAAGGAGGAACGCTGCATCGCAGCCTTTTCGGACCAAAACCAGTCGACTCAGCGTCCAAAAGACTACAACATATGGGCCAATCGCGGTCATCCGTGATTTTATAAGAACGAAATGGCGCTTTTAGTGACATTTTGCATACACATTCCCATCTAGTAGGGCGCAGTCACCCAGTTTCGGTGGAAGTGCGCGAGTTCGATTGGGATTCAAGTAGGAAGGGGGCGTCTCAGCTTTCTCGGACCAAGACCATTCGACTCAGCACCCCGAAGACTACAACTGGTGAAATTTTAATTTTTGCCTTAACTTCCCCTTCAAGATTCAGAATATCTATTTGAGCCTGGGTGTATCTCGATTTAAAATATTAAGCGGTGAGGAGACAATAATTTGATAACCGCAATCATAAGAACATTTGTGTACATGTATACTCACGATTTCTTCTTACTTTTAATCGTTTTATTGCACATTGTCTCCACTGTTTTGCATTGCATGAATAAAGTACACAAATGTCGTTTCAACTTGTCTTGTTGATTGCGGTTATCACATTATTGTCTCCTTGCCGTTTTTTAAATCAGCAGATTCGTAAGCCTTTTCTTTGCATGTGCCACAACGTAGACACCCTCATCTCCACGTAGAAATCTGGACCCTAACCACAAGAAGCCGTAGACTCTAACCCAGACACCTGCTCTCTACGTGATGTTTCTACGTTTCACGTGGAGCAGAACCTCTGTCTATTGCTACACTGTGGCTCTCTCGGTAGAATAATGATTTATTAGTGATATTTCTAGCTAGTACATGTAGTTATAAAGCACTTGACACCTAATTTGTGTGACTGGCATCGGAATCTCACTGTGTTTCACTTTTCTTGGTGCTTGTGACTTTGCAGCAAAATTTGACGTTGACCGAAGCTCAGGCTCTCCTTCACGACAATGATGACACTCTTGTGCTGACCGTGTTTGACTATTGGCAGGCAAAACGTGCACGTGTGGTAAGATACTAGAGTAATACACTTGCTTGTTGTCTGCGTTAGCTGGTGTGATCCAGGATACAGTTCTGGCTCTTGTATGTTGATATGTGCTGTGTAAACTTGGGTTTTATACCTATGGCTCTTGCATGTCGATATGTGCCGTGTAAACTTGGGTTGTATAACTATGGCTCTTGCATGTTGATATGTGCCGTGTAAGCTTGGGTTGTATAACTATTGCTGCACATGCATTTTTGCTAATACTGCCACCTTGGATTTTGGACTGCTGGTTACAATGCAGAAAATACCTTTGATGGCCACTGTCAAGCAGGAGAAACGAGATGGTTCTTCAGCCACCGACTATTATGTTGCTTTCCGCCGACGCACTGAAAAGATGCAAACACGCAAGGCAAGGATACAGTTGTCTCTTCGTGTCCACATGGGTGTATTTGTCTCTTCGTGCCCACATCAGTCAATTACCAATATTGTTGTTGGCACGGGTAGTAAGCAACACGCATTAGCAGGTCAATGTGACCCATTTGTGAGCCAGGTGTTTCTCTTACTGAGTATCTGATTTTGACTTGCCACATATGAACACAAATATTTATCTTGTTATTTTCACATATTTGTTTCGCAATGTCATTCGACTGACACTTTGTCTAGTCTCACCAGTATTTCTCAATGATTTTGAGTTGCATGCATCTGCAGTTTCCACAGTGTCACTGGCTGCAGGTGTTGCCTTCAGCTGTGCCGCAGTTGAGTGCTGCAGTTGACTGCTGCAGTGAGGACTGATGGTGCATGATGGTACATCGATGTGATCAGCTGTCATGAGAAGTGATTGATGTGCCTGATGCCATTGTGTATTATTGGAGGTAGCACCTTCCCTATGCATATGCTATGATGATGTGGGAGAGACTATTCTCTGTCCATATGCTATGGCTTCCTCTCACTAGAACCGTAAAAATGACGAGGCTTCTTACGAACGAATGTGCAAACTGCGGCGTGACTTGGAACGCAGTTGGTAAGAAGTGCCCTGTGTTGCCTACACACTGGCTTACCTGATTTTGTGTCTAAGATATAACCTTATCTTGCTGTGTGCTGCTGGTGGTGCATAATCTGAATGTGTGTGTGTGTGGGGGGGGGGGGGGGGGGCGCAGGTGTGTGTGTGAGAGAGAGAGTGAGAGAGAGCCCATGGTACATGCTGGTGGTGTGTGTAAGTGCATGTGTAAGCAATGAACAGTGGCGGCAGGGCTAACTTTTTGTGCTGATGCGTATTGAGCTATAAAAACTGCGTCCCTGATTTGAGTTTTTCCACTTTGTTCCGCACATATCTCCAATATTACTGCTCGTAGTAGATTGATCCTTTTTTTCATTTTGTTCACCGTTCTATGTATCTTTTGTGCATGTTGCCTCTTATGTCCCTTCTAGGTAGCTGCTTGTCCTTGAATAAGGTTTCAGTGTGCGTGTGTGTGTGTGTGTGCAATGTTGCGTATAACCGTTGGTTGTGTCTGCTGTTGGCTGCATCCCGTTGCTATGTGTTGAACAGTCAATTACTAGCTCTCATCAAGCAGCGCGAGCAGAAGAAGCAAGACCTTATCAACAGCATGAAGGACATCTTTTGTCACCGGTAAGCCAACCCTCCGCATACTGGCAGGCATTGCTTGCTATCATAGCCTATGGTTGCATGGGTACGGGCTAAAGTGAACTGGTCAGCTGAACGCTGTGTGTGTGTGTGTGATGTGGACTGGTCAGCTGAATGCTGTGTGTGTGTGTGTGTGTGTGTGTGTGTGTGTGTGTGTGTGTGTGTGTGTGATGTGGACTGGCCAGCTGAATGCTGTACGTGTGATGTGCTTGCATGTCCTCCGAAGATGGCGTGTAGTTGTCAGGGGGAGTATGTTTGGGAAACGGAAAGTACAATGAACAGAGGAGTGGTATTGTGATGCCAACACTTACTGTGCTGTATCCCTTTCAGCTGGGGGTATGGGCGTTAGCGGTTGGCCCTTTTGCAGGGGGTAACGCCCATACCCCCTCCCCCCCCCCCCCCCCCTGCAAAAGGGCCAACCACTGATTCTTTGACTTTGAGCATACTCCACACTGGTGCCATGCATGTGGTAATAGTGACAATTGTGCCTTGTGTATGTGTTAATAGCAACAAGATACGAGACTGGAACAGCAGCACCTACAACTCTGTCATCGATCAACTATTTCGAAAACCCAGCATTGTACCTCCTCATCCGGCGCAGGCATCTGGCCAAATGATGCAAATGTACAATCGTCAACTTTTGCAGCAATCGCAGCAGCAACAACAGGTGGGTTAATTTTCCTTTATGCAATGTGTCATTTGTGGTATTGGTGTGCTGCTGTAACGTACTTCCTCCGCGTCATTAAAATTGTCGCTTCCTGGGGCGACTTTTCAAATTAATTTTGTCCACTCGACGGGCAAAGAAATCAGCTAGAAATTGAGGCAGAGCATTGTTGACGGACCAAGCTTTAGTTTGTGGCCTCCCGCTTCGCTGCACTTGTACCTAAGGTCGACGTCTTCATCAGAGTTTGAGGCAGACCCTTCAGCACTCAACAATACGCTGAACAAGACGTGCGTTCAAATTCAGGTCAAGAAACTTCATTTTCGAGCGATCCATGCCTTCGGGTGGGCGTGGCAGGCGATGACGGCAAACTAGCATTTTGCAAGTACACTGTAACGACTTTCCAGCGCAATAGGGTAAGCAGTTCCACACCTTCTTTCCTTGGCAAGCTATTTGCTAATTTTGTTGGTGTTTTCAGACCTGCTATCTTCGCAGCAATGTGCGCCACATGTAGCGCATTTTAGGAATTCGAGAACACTTTGTTCTTGCCATCGTCAACTTCAGCATCTCGAATTCAGGAGAGATACCAGGATTCTTATACCAGAGCTTGCAATCTTGATAAATGCTCACACGAACGATGTGGGACGGCACGAACTCCAGAAAAACGATTCACGCTCTGGGGCTGAATAGTTCGCAGCGCGATGAATTTGTTTATTGCGGAAGAGAGCTCCGACAAAGTCTGAGACCACCAGGGCTTCAGAAACAAGTAGACATTGCGCAGGAAAGGTCGCACCAATGTTCGAACACAGAAAACAACGATTCCGACAGTCTAAGATGAGCAAGTCACAAACATTGCGATGTGCAAAGCGACAATTTAAATGACGCGGAGGAAGTACTACGTACTGTGTCCACTCGTACTGTCAAGGTCCTGTGTGAGCCTGACCTACAAGTACTTTTGCCTGGATTGTCTATGTGTGTGTGTGTGTGTGTGTATGTGTGTGTGTATGTAATGAAAAGACCAAAAAGTAGGGATTCACTGGCCAGAAAAAGCCACTTCATAGCTGTGTGGTGTAGACCAGGCTGGATAGTGGCGGTCAATTCTTCAGCCTTGCAAGCTGTTGAATGGTGCAATCCCAGCACAAGCTGCTATGGCTTCTGCTGTAGCATCGCTGTCATCGCCTCCGGCGATGGGCGTCCAATGGTGTATGTATGTGTGTGTGTATGTGTGTGTGTATGTATGTGTGTGTGTATGTTGCTATTGACAGATGTCCTATCCTGGTTATATGGTTGGTGGACACGGTGTTGCCGCTGCTCAAAGTTCCTCTCTCACTCAGCAACTGCAGCATCCTGTAGCAAGTGTTGGTGAGACAAGTGCGACAGCGTCGGACGTCTCCATGCCATGGGCACAGCAGCCCACTGTAAGTCCCTTCCTTATTAACCACCGGTCTCTCTGCAGTGATATAAGCATGTACCGTATAAAGTACCGCTAGAGCGCCCCACCTTGACTACAACCAGGGAAAGGAAAATCGTATGGCAGAGTGCAACGAAGTTTGTACAGTGTGAGAACCTTAGTGTACTAAGGTCACACTTAGCAGGTTTTTGTGTGGAGCTCGTGTCCACTCGAAGGTATGTATTAGACACCCTTGGCAAAAAACGTTATGTTGTAACGGTATTATCGTAAGGGGGAAAATACTGTGATTTGGGTTCGACCTTTAGCAAGATACACGCTATTTTTGTACGCTGTTGCCACGAGAATAGCTTCTTTTTTTTGCGCGCGGTACAACCATTTTTAGTCACCATACACGCGATACAAGGTGAAATGCGTACGGACTATGCAATATTTGGCCAAAACACGTACCGTTGGTCACAACGATAAATCAGCCCCCATAACGTTTATACGCTGCAGCTTCAACGCTATTTGGTTGATCAAGGTACGAGTACCGTAAAAAATAGCGTTACCGTTGTTTGCTAAGGGTGTCTAATGACTGCACAAACGTGCAATATGTGTACAAGGTTCGTGTCGTATGACCTACAGACAGGAGACCACCTCCACAAAAACGACCATGAAAGGACGAGATAGTGGGGCGCTCTCGCAGTACTTTACGATATGTGCACGTGTATGGTACAATGTGTATGGATGTTGACCCATTTTGCCCTGTAGGATATTGGGTAGTGTTGTGTTGCTGACTTGCTGTTTTGTTCTCCTTTATGGTGTTTTGCTTTGCTCATACTGCTTCTCACGTATTGTTCGTGTGCTCTTTCAGGCTGAGGGAGCCGATTCAAGGCAAACTACGAAACAAAAAGATCGATCCAAGTAGGTAGATGTCACCGTATGCCTTGAGGCTCTTTGTGTGTGTTGCACGCGTGTGTGTGGGCGTGTGTGTGTGCATGTTCGTGTGTTTGTTTGTTTGTAGATGTCTGTTGGGGGGGGGGGGGGGGGTGCTGGGTTGGATACATCGCTGCTACATGTATTCATTCTGCACCTTGGGGGGGGGGGGGGGGGGGTTGTGGCTCAATAGCCAATTCAGGCATCTCTGTAAAATTCTAAATCTTGCTTTTCTCAGCTGGAAAGACTGCGCTGTGTAACCAGTTTGATCAAAGTGCTGGTGTTGATTTGTGTTGTGAATGTGAGAAGTGTGCGCAGCCCCTTATTTTCTCCTTTATCTGTCACTGTTGTGTCTGTATCATGTCCAGGCGCAAGCATCACAAAAAGAAGCATCATGCTCCGACACAGGCACCCGTAAGCCACTGCTCTTGGTCTTGCACGTTGTATCCTGGGGGGTAAAGCTTTGTTGAAGTACAGCACCATCCCTTGCTGCAGTTTGTGTGTGTGGTGTGGTTCGTTGAGCACTGAATGTTCTTCTTTTTCATATACATGTATGTGTGTATGTAGGTTGAGAATCCTATTGTGTTACCCGAGGAAGTGGCTAGCGAGGAAGATCATGTCCTGCCTCTGGTAAGTGCACGGCTACTTTGCTGTTGAGGGTAACACCGAATGTTCTTTTCAGCTAAATGAATGACTGCTAATAATCACTATGAATGAAAGGGATGATATTGATCAGTTTGAGGGAGATGAGCGGGGAAACAAGGCCGAAGGAAGACTTGACCGGCACCACCAGAGCATGAACAAGTGTCTACTTTTTGCATTGAGATCTGAAACAATGGCAGCAAAGGACTTTACTTCTAGCTTTTTGCATCCATGTAGACATGTATGTTATTCACCATGCCTTGGTATGTCATGCTTGTCATGCAACTGCCAATAGTGCTGGTATGCCAAGTGTCAGGCTCAGCCAACCATGACCAGCTAACAGACAGCCAGGGGATAAAGACACGAGCATGTGTGTGATGTGATTGTTCCTTGCACAGCCGCCAGTGGAGATTGTGGAACAAGAATCTACCGGACCGTTTGCCTTCAAGCGTAGACTACACGTGCAATATTGTTTGGTGAGTGGCGGCGGCAGTGAGTGTGTAGCTACTGTCTCTGTGTGGTTGGATGGGCTGCTGCTGCTGTGGTGCTGCTGGACAGGTACATGTCACCGAGTAGGAGAAATGAGGCTGGACGCAGTTTTGATTCAGGTCAGTGCCACCAACCGGGAAATTCAAACCCAACTTGCAAAAATCGTTTTTGTTCAGGGTCCTCCAAATTTTCACAGAGGATAGCCAATGGAGAGCTTCCACCACCTGACCAATTTGTTGGCATTCCATCACGCCAAATTCAAAATATGCCCATAGTAACGGTGACGGAGAAGTTACAACTCTTATGGCCGATTCACAATACAACTTTCTGCGACGCGACTTGCGACACATGCGACGAGCTGCGGCAGCGACACACGGTTCACAATATTCTTCATGTCTGCGACATCCGCATGCGCAAGTAGTACTATGCACGTGCACTGTACGTGCACCCAGGGTCGAAACTGTACTCCATTTGTGTATGTCGCGTGTCGCATGTCCCAAAAGTTAACTTTCTTCAACTTCTGCGACAGGTGCATTGCGACAGCTTGCGACAGCTCGCGACAGGCAGTTTCTTGTCGCAACTGTCGCAAATCACGTGTCGCGTCGCAGAAAGTTGTATTGTGAATCGGCCTTAAGACTGATGATTGTGTGCGTTGTCCTTATTGTTTGCCCTGGTCCTCTTCGGTATTCGCTAGTTGCTGCAAGTGCGATGCTGATCAAAGTCTGATGGGCTTGTCGTGTTTCCCTTGTGTCTGTCTGTCTGTGTGTGTCTGTGTCCACTGTTCTTTATTTTAGCCACGGGAATGTCTAGAAGTAGGCCTTCCTTTTGAGCTGGAGGGTGAAGCAGATCCAGCCGTTGAGTTGCCTAGCAACAAGCGATATCGACTCTTCCTTACCTCTATGGGTAGAGCAGGACCGTTCCTTGGCTTGTCAAGGCAGAGAATTGGTCGAGGTGGCAGGTGAGTCACTGCTTTTGTTTGCGCTGCTGGTTGCATCGTGGCGTATGTTTTTATTCGTAGGAATGGTTTGACATCAGGGGAGCTATTTCTTTTTGACGATTCATTGTGCTGCTGTTTGAGTGGTTGACGATTCATTGTGCTGCTGTTTGAGTGGTTGCATCTGTGTTGCGTTTTGTGGCCATGTGTTTTGTTTTGGTCCTAATATGGCGTGTGGTGACTTGTGCTTGTGCCCATATGTTTTCATGTAGACGGTATCTTGACAGAGGGCCATGGCCGTATGGTGGTGATGAAGAGCTGAGTCATTCCCTTCAGCATGGTCATGTTGATGTGTGTGATGTCAACATTCAGGATCCTTCTATGTAAGTTTGATATTACTAGTGGGCTGTGTGTGTGTGTGCTGTGTGCTGTGTGGGAAACTTACTTCTGTGCCAGGGCTGTATATGTGCTGTGTTGGAAACTTACTTCTGTGTTTTGCTGTGTTGGAAACCTGCTTCTGTGTATGCAGGGCATTGTATGCTAATGTGCTGGGTGTGTTGCCATTCTTCCTGTGTGTGTCGGTACTATTGTCCAGGCCGTACTACCAGCTGGATTCTCCACCGCCTGCAAAACGCGTAGCACATTCTTTTCCGTCTAGGCGTAGGAACGTTGGTACTGCGACTGCGTCATCACCAGCCGGGAGTTTCCTGCCGCCAGAAGAGCGCAGGTTATTTGCACACTTACCCATTACTCCAGTCAGTAGTGATGAAGACGATCCGGAGTCTCCTCGCAGCACACATACTAGGGATAGTGAGGAACTTGATGATCCCTGGAGTGATTTTCATGAATTTGGGGAAATAGTAACATGCGTGCGTCTTTCATCATCGACACCAGCTGGCGTTGCTCATCGTCTGCTTGAGACCGATAGCGGTCTTGACAGTAATGGTGTAAGTCCATTGTCGGATACGCATGCTAGCCGATCATCAGTCGGCCGTTCCTCTGGTGGCAAATCTTCCCCGTGCATTTCATCAGTGCATGATGGTGACGATGAAGGTATGCCGCTGGATGGCACCTGTAGTCCGTCAATGAAGATTCGTTCATCATCAGTGTGGGGTGAGAGAAATGTGGCCAGTGACGTCACCAACCATCACCCTTCAACTGCTGCGACTAGTCGAACTGCAACAGCAGCAGCAGCAGCATTAGATAGTAGAAGACAGTCTGTGAGTAGTGGTGCTGGCGGTGCTGGCTGTGGTCCTGTTGACAATGCTCCTGTCCCCATGGCAGTCTTACCACCTCAACAAGAACCGAACAATCACATTGCTACTACTGGCAGTAGTGGTGGTGGTGCTGCTATGCGTTCACAACCCACTGCCAACAGTAGCTGGCATGCGACTGGCTCGGCACCGACAGTTCCTGCATCTTCAGACTCAATTCTTAGCAAACAGCGGTAAGACACGAATTTCTCGTCTTTTTTTCTTTGCCTCATGCTTTTGCGATGCAATGTCTGCTTTTGAATTGTTTTGGTTTGTTTTGCGAGCTGTTCTGGTGTATTTCACATGTTACCGTTGCTGCTGTTGGTGGTGTGCTTGTATTGGGCAACAGAAAGATTACTAGTAGTGTTGTGAAGCTAGCAACTGTGTTCCTGAATTGCTGTTCTGTGTTCCTGAATTGCTGTTCTGTGTTCCCTGTAGAACAAACCAACCACTGCCTGGTCATCGGCACTCCAACAACCAATCTCCCATCCACAACATCCTAAGAGTGTTGTGAAGTCTCTTGTGTCCTCTTGTTGTAGTGGCCTTGCCTCTACCTTGCTTCTCCCCTATTTAGTCGTCATTCCCGGCAACTGTTCCAGGCATCGGCCGTTTCTGTCTGAACCCTTAGTTGTCGTAGGAATGAATATCTATTTTCTCATATTTTATTGTACTTGTTGGTGTAGGCGTACTTGTTCTCTTCGTCATCTTTCTCGTCGTTTGCGCTAGCCACCTGGCTCCATTATCAGCATAATGACTGGGCTGGTTTCCTTTACATCAGTATCTGTTTATGTGTTGCACTCTGTTCTGCAGTACTATCTATCTATCTCTCTCTCTGTCTCGTTGTTGGTTCTTTGTGTTGCTGGGTTGTTGTCTCTATTTTATCTCTTTATCTTGACCCATACCACCTGACTTGACTTGCTAATGGTAAACTCTATCATCATTGGAAAACTCTGTCTAGAATCCGGTTACTGTCACACCCCCGTGCCATGGCGACAGCTGCTGCTGTTGCTGCTGCCAATAGCATTGTTATTACAGATTTTTTTTAAATTGCCACGTTATGGTGTTGCTGCCGCTGGTTTATTGCTTTTCGGTGTTGCTGCTGCTGCTGCTATTCATCTTGCTACTGCTAGTGTTGTTTACTGTTGGCCTGGTGCTGATCTGTGGCAACTTGATTGAACACACACGTACACTGCACGCATTGCGCCTCTACTCACCACCCTACTAGTACTAATAGTCACCCTACTATTGCTATCTCTTAGTTTCAACTCTGTGTGTTGCTTGAATCTGTTCATAGTGGTTTCATCTGGCATCGTCACCACTAACATGCAAGTGGTCGATGCGAACATCTTCTCTTGATTTGGTCAGTATCTTGACGACTTTTTTTGCATTTGAATCCCAAAGCAGAAATAAAACGAAATGACCATGAAGTGTTTTTTGTCGTTGTTTTTTTTGGAAAAGCCTCTTGTACGGACAAGAACAAAGTAATACAGCTAGCGTGTGTTGAAGAAGAAAATGAGCGGAAACGTACTACTGTATGCTGTGAAACACGCATGAGGCATGATCAGGGCAAATGACAGCTGAAAAGAAAAGGAAAGAAAACAAGTGCTTCAAAGCCTGTCTATCCGGCGCACGGTAGCTGCGTGTACCTACATTTACAAGCTACTGTGCTCCAATCCTACCAGCCCACTTCGTCAGCTCTTGCCTCCTTCTCAAGCCCCCCCGACCAGCCCATGTTCGACCCACTCGTCTCTCTCTCTCTCGTCCGTCTCGACATGCATAACTACCAGCTTGAGACAGGGCTACCTGTCAATAGCCGGGAAAGTTGCCCTAGAGCTTTCCCCGCCTGTGCTGTCCCTGTATGGAATGCCCTGTCACCCGCCGTCCTCAGCCAGCCACCTGACCGGAAACGGCTGCAAAGTTTCAAAGTGTCTGCCTTCCAGCACCTCCGTGCACAGCAATGGCACTGGGCCACTGACACTTTGTAAGATGTATGCACATCTGCCCACACACTGCTGCATATTGCCATACGCCTCGTGCCCTGCTTACTCTTTTCTCTGGATCTGAATGTGCACCCCTTACGCATTATATAATTATACTTTATTTAGTTCTCTCCCCCTCTCTTGCCCCCAACCCTTCCCGCTCTCTCTCTCTCTCTCTCTCTCTCTCTCTCTCTCTCTCTCTCTCTCTCTCTCTCTCTCTCTCTCTCTCTCTCTCTCTCTCTCTCTCTCTCTCTCTCTCTCTCTCTCTCTCTCTCTCTCTCTCTCTCTCTCTCTCTCTCTCTCTCTCTCTCTCTCTCCTCTCTCTCATTTTTTCTACTTTATTTAGTTCTCTTATTTAGTTCTCTTGCTCCCCAACCCTCCCCGCTCTCTCTCTCTCTCTCTATTTCTCTCTCTCTCTCTCCTCCTGTCTTTATAAATGTAACTTACTCTCTCTCCTCTCTCTCTCTCTCTCTCTCTCTCTCTCTCTCTCTCTCTCTCTCTCTCTCTCTCTCTCTCTCTCTCTCTCTCTCTCTCTCTCTCTCTCTCTCTCTCTCTCTCTCTCTCTATTGCCAGTACGGTACTTTCCTCGCCGTTTGTGCTTGTGTTGTCATGTATATGACTAGTAATGCACACCCGCCATGACGTGCTTTGCACTTCTCTACGCGCGCTGTCACTATGTACCGCGCTTTGCTTGCTTGCCTCCTTCTTTTATACTGCTGTTCTTTCCATGTCCACTTCATTCCTGATGATGGTCATAAAGACCGAAACGTTGTAACGATACCAATGGATTTGTGTGAAATGCAGTGCTCTCTTGAGTGTAGGCAGGTTGCCTGCAAACGATTCAAGTATAATGAAGCTGCGTGAAGCGTCCTTCAAAATTTTGAAACAATAATACTGTTTATAAAATGCTCCTTTTTAGGGAAAAGTGCAGTGGTATTTATTGAGTCAAAGCGAACGTATTTTGAACTTGATGCTGGTGATGGTGTGGTCACTAATGACTCAGTAATGAGTGTGAGTATTATCAAAGGTCAACATAATATACCAGCGTAATTTTCAGTTCAGAGTAGAGCCCACACGCTCTCTTCCATTAACACTGCAATAGTTCAACTCATTTCACAATAATCATTCCAACGTTGTGAACCTGATGAAGGCAAATTGCCGAAACGTTGGAATGATTACTGTGAAATGAGTTGAACTATTGCAGTTTTAATGGAAGAGAGCGTGTGGGCTCTACTCTGAACTGTTTATGAAACTGCAGGAAGCCTCCCCACTTTTACTTAGCGTAATTTTTCCGTAACGAAAATGTTCTCTTCGCGCACATCATAGTGCAGCAGTGATCCACTATCCGCTGCCTCCCTTATCCAGCAGATGTTCTCTAGCAGTGATCCGCTAACCGCTGCCTCCCTTATCCAGCAGATGTTCAGATGTTCTCCAGCACAAATGGCAACCTATTATAAAGGGACCATGGAAGCATGCAACCTGCAAGGCACACACAGGCATACCATGCAACCTGCAAGGCACACACAGGCATACCATGCAACCTGCAAGGCACACAGACACACAGGCGTCTGCAATAACACTGCGCGCCGAAGAACATTCAGGCTTGACGTCACGAAAACTAATTGATTGATAAACAAGTCCGGTATTGTTGCAGAGTGAATGGGTAGAGCGTGTCTGCTCTAGAAAACACTTCCTATGACTTTTGATAACAATTGCCAATTGGCATCCATTCATTATTATAATAGTATGGTCATAGGAACTATCATATCCTATTCACCAGCAAATCAAATCGGATTTCGTTCTGGCTAAAGTATCACGCCTGATCATGGGGTGGCGGCGTCCCACGGAAGCAGAAAGGTGGTTCTTGACCAGGGAGTTGTACGACTCCTTGTTCTTGACCTGCCCCGTACGCAAACCCGTCGAATTTTTTTAAGGATCAAGTTCGCTAAGCAACCTATGAAAATTAATGAAATGGGTTTCATGAGGTGTTTGGAGCTGTTTTCCATGCACTTCCAAATTCCAAGCCGATCGGCCAATTTTCCTGGTGAAACTTCCGCCATAGTACGGTAAAAGCAGTAGATGTGCCAACCTGGGGCAGTGCTCCTCAATCAATCACATACATGTAGCCGTACATCTAGCCATGGTATCCATGGTGTACTTTTTCAGCGTACTAAACATTCTACGTTACTTTCCCTGCCAGTTCTACCATCATCTGTATCCATTACAACACTCTGGATAATGCAGACCACTCAAATCCTATACTGTACGAGGCAGAAAATTTAGTCGGTCAATAATTTCGTCCAACTCCGAAGAAAGGGAGTTCGTCCGGTTGAAAATTTAGTCCATGGACCATAAGAGGGTATTGAAAAGCTGGACAAATCGACAGTAGTCCGGCATTTAATTTAATCTAAAAGATCCTTGGACGAAAATGACGAAATTAAACTGCAGACGAATATTTCTGCTTCCACAGTATCAATCTGTCAAAAAGAAACTGACATGTCCTCTCTAAAACACCTGTATGAGTCGAGCGACAATACTGGCACTCTTGAAAACTTCTGAAGAGAGACCACTGATATTGCCCTAACACCTGACAATACAATTTAGGCACACAACTTATCCCGGGGGGGGGGGGGGGGGGGGGAGAGATGCATGGTCATGATTATTGGAAAAAATTCAAAAAATCCTATTATTATAATTATAGGATTCGACAGTTTAAGAGATAACACTATAGCCAATGGACTGTAGACGATGATCAAATCAAGGACGATGATCAAATCAAGGACGATGATCAAATCAAGGACAATGGTCAAATCAAGGACAAAGTCAA